TTTATGGACATGCATGATATGCATGTTCTCCATGTAGTGCACCCGCCGGGATTTAGATATACGGCCAACCGGGTCTAGGCCAACCGGGGATGGACGTACTGGACCAGCATCTTCACTGTTCACTTGATTATTCTGTTCTTCGGTGATCATGGCAAAAGGAAACAAAGTGGAGCTGGAGACATTTAGTGGTTGGGGAAAGAACGGAACTATCGTAAAACTACTGATGACATACAGTGTTATGGAGACGTGACTTCGTATTGCAATCAATGATAATATATGGACTGACCTTTGAAAAGGGCAACGGTGCTCTTTCCTTTGAAAAGCAGAAAGCGAAAGCTTGATAATGGCATCAGTATATTAAAGAAACCTAAGCTAGAGAAAGAGGAGGAAACTGAAGACCGCTCTGAGAAAGAAGAGACGATGTCTGTACTGTTTTTTAACTAACAACTAATCAGAAACAGGGGCGAAAATACCGGGGGGTGTGGGGGGGGGCTGTGACACCCCCCCCCCCCAATCTTAAAAATAGTCGCAGGGCAATCAAAGATTTCGCAGGGCGCCAAAAAGAGCTTTGTTCCCACGCAGAAATGTCACCTCTGAAGTTCGTAAAGGGCCGTTTAGGAATTTTGAAATGGAAATATCATATTTGTTATGAACCTACCTTCCTGATATTGCATTTTAGAGAACGGAACAGGTATGTAAGGAAAAGCTCCGTTATTTGCAAAGCGAAATCATGTCTTACCGAAAGTCATAGCCAATGGATGCAATGATTGATGCATATGTTTATGAGGGCAAGGTTAAGTCCATATAAATTAATTTAAATTGTAAATTTTTTTCATGACAGGCACGGCGTCACTGGGGGGAATAGGGGGCTGAAGATAAGAATTTGGTCAAGATAAGAATGTTTTTATCATTTTTTCTATTAATTTTTAACAGTGCATGAAATAAAAAGAGAGTAAACTGTTAAGATGCCGATTTTGTTTGATCTAATTACTAACTTTTTCACGTTTTTTTTATTATTTTTCTTTTATTTGCATTAATTCAGTAAATCACTTTCTGTATCATTGAAATTCTTTAATTTTGGATGGCCTTCTCGATACAAGAGACTGCACACTGCACATTTCTGTTCAGGAAATAAAATTCTCCCAATCAAAACAACATCTTCCTCTGTCATTCACAACTCTGTGCAGTCTGAAACGAAAGGTTGACGTTTCTTTTTTTCCCCAACGTCTATCACTAGAGTTTTAGCATGACATGCCCCTTCCTATTTTTCCCAATAAACAATAATCAGTTTTTTAGGACAATAGTATTTTGCTAAATTTTAGTCTGAAAGATGCTATTTAGCCCTATTTCAAGGTATAATTTCAAAAATTGTCTTCACGTCGGACCCAACCATGGTGGGTCCTCCTATATCACTAAACTTGATTCTTAGTCCCCCCCCTCCCCCGGGCTCAATTTCGTTGCTTTGCCCATATATTGCACCCAAATCTCATATGTCACGAGATAGAAGCTTTATTATCAAAGAAAATCGAATTTGACATACAATTTACGCTCACGCAGAGAAATAGATATTTCATAGGCAATGAAGTTTCAAATTTGTTTTTATTGCTTAGACGTTTTTCCTTGGTAAAGACCAGTGTACACTGGTGAAGCTTTCACTAGTAACCTATAGAGTATAGACAAACCTTTGCTACGAGGTCTGCAGGGCATCACTCAGTTTTGCAGGGCAGAAACCCTTTTCACCCCTGATCAAGTTACGCCCCTGTTCAGAAATGTCAATGCTCTTTGCGATTGGTTTGTTGATAACAAACTAAGCATTCATTTTGGAGAGGACAATACAAAATCGATACTTTTTGGTAGAAAGAACAAACACACGGACAGAAAAAACTGGACATCAGAAGAAGCGACATTAAGATTAAACAATACACCTGAGTCACATACTTAAGCTGTATTCTTGACGAGGACCTCAGTGGCGGATCAAGACTACCGCCATTACCGCTCGAGCGGTAGTCAGATTATTCAAAAAATCATAGAAACAAGGATCATTTTCATGTTTATCCTACTACTTTAATTAAACCATATTTAATTATTGAAAATATTTGATCGCGCTGCAAACCAAGCCTTTCTTCCTAGGAACATGCCTGAAATTTCCACAGAGACAGAAATATTTTTTAATCCCACATGTTTGCAAATAGAGGGCTAGCATGGGGGGATGATGAAATCATGGCTTGCTAGCTAGGGAGGTTGAGTTGGTGTAGAGCGGATTTGAGCTGCACTGAGCGGTAGTCAGCCTGCCTAAACCAATCAAATCGTCAGAAATCACTGCCAACCTGGGGGGATGCATACAAATTTTGTTGACAACCAATGAACGACCGAGTTGACTACCGCTCAGATGGGAGGTTGAGTAGTAGACAGGGAATTTACTGTAACAATCTAGCAAACTGGGTAACCGAAATTTTTGAAGTGGATATGACTTCTATGATGGTTGGTCGTCAATTTAAGCCTTGGGCACATTCTCGAAAATTTGTTTTTGTCACGTGATCGATGACGTAATTACACCCCGGTCAGTAAAATATTAATGACAACATTTTTTAAATCTGAGTATACCATTCAAAAGAACATGCAAAACTGATTCAAAAATTATAAAACACTTATATTGTTTGACTTATTATTTCGAAATTATAGATGTTTGAACTTTCTATGACGTCATCAAAATGGCCGCCACTGGATTTTGTAAAGAGCATTTTTTCATCGTATGCACTCTACTAAAACAATTCTTAGCAACCAAATTGTTTTGTAAACATACAAGTTAGGTTTCAGTTATGCCGAGATTAGCTGCTCTCTAAGTTACCATCCGCTAACATCATAGTTTACGAACTTAAGGCAACCATTCATCCATTGAGTCCCCACTGGACGAAAAGTCTGAAATTTCCCATTCACTTTCGTGTTCATCGATTATTGAAGTGTCCGAGCCATCAATGATTTCTTTTCTTGTCATTTCGCTATCCCCATCATAATCGATATATGTACTGGGCAATGCATCTCTTTGGTGGTGTTTTCTCTTCTTTGAAGTGTGTTTTTTTGGCCCTTAATTTCATCATCACTCATCTCCGCATCGCCATCGTTGTCATAGTTGAGATTCTTGGCTGCTTTCTTTCTGCTTGTTGAAAGTGAAGGAGGCAACTGCTTGCCTTTAAACCAGATCGGAACTACAACCTGCTTTTCCTCGTCCCATTTCCAGCTGTGATTTTCAAAGCTAACTGTCTCAATGTTAACGTCACAACAGCGGACCCAGTGGAACACTTGGTAATTTGCTCGTCTGATGGCTTGCTCAACTGAATCTGGATCAGGAGGAATTGACGATGAAGACTTTGATTTCATTTCTTTATATAGTCGGATTCTCGTTTCTACATATGACTCGCCTACCTTGCCACTGTAAACAACTGTCCTGATGAACTCTTTTACGTTGTCGATTTTTTCAGACTCGAGTCTTTGATCCTGACCGAAAGATTCTAGCATCTGGCATTTCGACGGAGAACTTAACAACTTTTTGATGATTTTAACTTTTCCAGCCTTGTAGAAATAGGAAGTGGTGTCACATCCTGATATTGCATGTATTGCTGGAAGTGCTTGACAAAGATCATATCCTAAAAATTGGCAAATTACTCCTATGTCAGCATATTTATCATGGTCGTACTTGAAAAGCCACGTTTTACAAACAGAAAGCTTTGAATATGCCCATATAAGAAGGATCAGGACATCGGTATCTTTGGAGACAATAACTACGTCTGCTGCTTCCAATGACGCATGCAAAACCAAGCGGGTGTCCGCTTCTTCATGATTACAACGGTAAATCAGCTCACATCCATTTCTCTCCACTCTGTACGTGTTGTTACCTTCTGTGACGATAAATGGCTGCTTTATCGTACCTCTAGCTTCTTCACTCATCATATGTTGTGCAATAAGCTTTATCAACTCTTCCTTATTTCCCTGATTCTGCAAAAATTCGTTCCACTTGATTCCTTTTGGCATATGCTGATCAAAACCTTCTAATTTGGTTTGCGTACCAGTTTCCCCACGATCTCTCCTTGTTCCTTGTTTCGCACTCTGCTCTCGATATGTGTCGTTAATCATCCCAACCAAGCACGGCAACGACTCTACTGGTGGCTCCATAAACTGCAAAAGGGCAATCATCCACTCTGTATGTCTTCCTTGACTTGAGTGATCTCACTGCTGCCATCCCATCAATAAACCATGCAGCATTTTTAGGTATGTTAGTTGTAGGACTCTTCGACTGTGCAATGAGGAAATTTCTCAATGAGGACTTGTTTGATTGTCGCAGTGTGCCTTCAGGAGTTGCGATGGACAAGGGAAACGTAGTGATTGGAAAACAAAATGCTTCTTCCAGACTAGCAGCTTTAGAGACTAAGAGTCCAAAAGCTTGACAATCTTCTTTTAGGACGGATGCTGCCTTGATGGTTTTCTTCTTTGCCAATATGCCTGTGTTTAACTTTATTCTCTTTATCGGGGCAAAGAAACTCTTGGATCCTTCAATAAGCCTTTCTGAAACAAAAGTAAAAAAAGCTTCATTTCCTATTTCTGATGCATTCAACATATCCTTGACCACAGCAGGATCTACCTCTGTTCCAGTTGATAAGCATTTTGGATGATCCGATGAAAATTGAGTTACACCATATCCTCTCAGGGTCTTCTTCAAATTTGACACGTGCTCAGCATGCAGTTTCTTGCCACTGTTCGTAGACTCCTTATGTTTTGACGAAGTCTTGATATTCAGCTGTTTTCTCAATGCAATCCTTAGCATGCTGTGGATGTGTATTGTCTGCACCCAGCTGTTTGCTGCCTCGATATTCGTGCTAAAACCAGAACGAAATGGGCCAGCAGTTCCCTTTGTTTCCTTATTGAAAAGTTCTGTTATAAGGTCCCCATGTATCGTGGAGAAAGAATCACCAGTGATGCTGCCACCATGACCTCGAGACTTTAAATCTGTTTCATTAGTTTGTTGGCTGTGACTTTGGTATCACATCTTCTTAGTCCTCCTTCATTATAAGGGTAGTGATCGCTTTTGCGTTTTGCATTGCATATGAAGCAGATATGCTTTGATGACAATGACGGAGTTTGGGATCTCAAAGATTGCTTTTTAGGTGATTTGGGTGAGGTCTCATCAAAATCATTACCCAGTTCGTGTTCGTATGATGCTTCATGATCCTTTGTTCCATAATTCTTCAAATAACGTTCACTGTTATTCCTAAAATGTACTCTGCATGTTGAATGTACATAGATCTCAACGCTTTCCTGTCTACGATCTTGAATCCTAGCAAAAACTTCTGTGAAATTATGCTTCTCCCCGTGAACTGGAATATTTATTCGTGACCATTCTGCGGCCAATGCTATAAATCTCTCGTACTAAATCTCTATAAATCCCTTCTCCCCAATTCTTTGGGGCTTGTCGCCTTTCTTAATTTCTTTGCAACAAATAAAACAGCAACGGTCCGGCCGAATCACTTTTGAAGACAGGAAAGCTTTCGATTGAGCCATAGTATATCATACTTGTAACTACATTTTCGCAACCTGTTCTGAATCAAACTATTAAACTAAGGGGAAAAAGCTGTTTCATACGTTCTGACTGTTTACTTAATGGTCAATGGGCACACGAAACAAATTTTCTTTTTTAATGAGAAATTTTTGAGCGAATTAATGAAATTTTCAAGTATTCTTGGCATTTAATCTACAATTCGAAGTGTGTTATGATTGATAAAAAAAGCAACTTGAAGAAAGGTAACGTGACCTCAACAGCTGTTTCTAAATTAGTTATTTCGCACTTTTCTATCAATAATATTTATGTTCAATAGATTTAGTTGCTGTAGAATTGATAACTTCCATCAAAAAACTTATTTTTAACCTCTGATGGTCATTTAACATAGCGCACACGATGAAAAATTGCTCTTTACAAAATCCAGTGGCGGCCATTTTGATGACGTCATAGAAAGTTCAAACATCTATAATTTCGAAACAATAAGTCAAACAATATAAGTGTTTAATAATTTTTGACTCAGTTTTGCATGTTCTTTTGAATGGTATACTCAGATTTAAAAAATGTTGTATTTAAATATTTATACTGTTGTACATATATATTTTACTGACCGGGGAGTATTTACGTCATCGATCACGTGACAACAACAAATTTTCGAGAATGTGCCCAAGGCTTAAATTGACGACCAACCATCATAGAAGTCAAATCCACTTCAAAAATTTCGGTAACCCAGTTTGCTAGATTGTTACAGTAAATTCCCTGTCTATAGTACTGCCACTCAACACGGCTCAAACGTTACAGAAAGATGGGGGGATGCCTTTATATTCTGCATTTGGGCAAACTGTAACTCCAAAGCCGATGTGACCCATTATTCTGTACGATACACAACTATTCGTAGGAATATATTTTAAAAGAATATTAAATTAAAAGTCAGGCCCACAATATTCGCCAAAAGTATGATTCTTTGTTTAACAAAAGTTGCTCTCAATAATTACAAATTTTATCTAGCTTTTTAAACTTGAAATTTCCAATAGGTCTGATTTTCATAAGTAATTGTCCGACTAATTGCGAGTTTTAGGCGACACTTCAAAATTCTGCCAAATGTATCTTTTTTCTCATTCTATGGTGTTCCTCGTCTAAATGCCGTAAATTTTTTTTAGAATATCCATCCTCAGAATATTGAATAAGATTATTTATTTCTTCTCATGCTTGTTGTAAGGATACATGAAATTTCAGTAAAGCACCGCTTGTCTCTTGAAAATGGTCTACATAAGAAATTATAGAAAGCAATAATCATTTTAGAAAACCGGGTGTGACCAAGAAATGTGTTGTCTAAAGGGTGTGGTCGACCCTCTATCTCATTTCGGCGATAGTCAGATTTTTGGCTGGATCCGCCACTGGACCTGTCCGGGGAATCAATGGCTACCAGAATCCTAGGCAAAATCAATGACAGGCTAAGATTTCTTTACAGAAACAGGACCGTCGCTACGGGGGTGTGGGGGGGTGCCTAACCTTGTCGGCAAATCTTCGAAAATGGAAGTTTTGTCGTCAACCTCTTGGAAACTGGCAAATTTTCAGAAGAAAGACAGAGAATTTTGCCATTTTCAAATAGATTTCATCGGTTGTTGATGACAGCACCAGTCACAGTTGAAATTTATGAAAACCTAACGAGAATAATTGATGATCGTTCAAACTCTCTCGTGCTAAAGGCCAGGCGCGGTCTGGCCCTATTCTGTGCCCGGGTGGCAAAGTGGCGATCCCCACCGGGCCCTCAGACATGTAAAGTGAAGAAAATTACGGGCCCTTTCTGCAAAAGTTTGAGTGGAAAAGATAATTTTATAAACTGGAAACTACATACAGTCACAGCCAAGGCCCCAACATGCGTGCTGGCTTCACAACCAAGCATCAAAATGAAGTTTGCGCGCAGGCCAAAGAGCCCCACTATGAGCAACATCCATTATACAGAAATTCTATTTCAAATTTCGCACAAAGACAAATCTGTCCTACTTTCTAGAGAAATAATTTGAAACTGTATGTAGAGATCAAGGAGCTGTTGTATTTAGTTAGTTGTCTAAAGTCGCCATTGTTACATTTCTAGCTAATAATGACCTTCCACACATGATCGAACGTTCCCTAGGGTCATATCACTTCAAGGGAAGAAAGTTGCGCAGGAAGAAAGCTTCTCAAATTGGGAAATTTTTGGAATCAACTTTGCGAAAAAAAGGAAATAGGAGCTTTGCAAAAACAAACTTTCGCGCTTTAGCGAAAATCATGGACTTTGCGTTAAAAACATTTCTATTCAATTGAGGTTTCCTTCTATTTTTATTCTACATGATACCAGCAAAACAACGAAAAAGATGTAAAATTTGTCCAACAGAATAATTCTTCGTCAAAGTTTTCAAGAGGATCGACAGCAAGATTTTCTGGATATTTCACAAAAATAAATTTTCGAAAGTTTAGTATTTCAGGAAGTTTTGTGTATCAATCATCCGCGATTTTAGACCATAAACGCTAAAGAATGCAAAGGTTCCTTCCCTCGCAAGTTTCTTCCCTTTAAAATTTATTTCCTCGAAAGTTTCTTCCTTGAAAGTAGTAAGAAACAGTTAAAGGCCTTCCCCTGCTGCCCTTTTAGGATTTTCTTTTCTCTGAAACCCTCTGCAAGGTGCATGCTTAAAGGTTATAATTAAGGTTTTTCTGTTTGCTAATTGTTAAATGAACAACGTGTTTAGAATAATAAAGTTTGGTACAGACTAAGGAATCTGTACCGTTTTAAGTTCTCTCAATGATGTTGTAGCCAAGATACTAACCTAGACAAATGAAAAGATGACACATAAAAGAAAAGAACATGCAGGTTGAATTTTTGATTATTTTCTTGGCTCAATTTCAGAATACTATATATGTGTTTATATATTAGGTTTGCTTGAAAATATTGCAAAAATTGTCAGACTAGGTATGTTATTTTGAACTGTTATTAGAGTTTCTTAGAGTTACAAATAGAACAATTGTTTTGCTGTTATTGTGCAGAGTTTAACTCCATACATAAAATCCTTGATTTAAATAGAGAACCACAACCGTCAATAATTGATTTGAACCGAGCATATTTTAGCCTTTTCTCGCATTAGTTGGTGTGACTCAAAAAAGTTTATCTGCCACACCCTGAACCGGGACCTTTTGGTTTGCTAGCCACCCTGCAATTATGACACTGACCAAAACTGAAATATAACAGTTCGAGAAAAAATGCAGAAGAACGCCGTATTAGGCATGGTGCGATGATGACGGTCAATTGTGATCAAATATTGCCTTATCAGGGTGAAGACCACTGATATGAAAAAAGACTGGATCGAACAACCTATTGTTCTCCTACATCAGCACGATGAAGCTGATCGAGTCTCTCCTTTTTGAGACCTCTCGCGCCTAAACTTTTGGGCTGCCATTTGTTAAAACGGTGCACACACAGTGCTGCGCCTTACGTGGTGCATTAACCATCAAATTCTAGAATATTCTAAGATATAAACAGTCCTAGGAAAATAAGTGAACAGTGAATTCTTTGTTACATAAGCTTAGTACTATGGCAAAAATCTTTAACGTCACTTACGAATGATGCAAGTTTTTGTTTCAACGGTTACTTTAAATTTTGCTATGAAAAAGCAAGTTGAACTGAAACCAACATGATTGCTCCCTAGTCTCATAAAACAAAGCGAGGTCTCAAGATGGACGTTGCAATGTGGAATCAACGCTGGGCTGGAGAAGCCCGATCCAGTCTTTTTTTAGATCAGTGGTGAAGACCCTTCTGGTGTTAATGGTTCTTTTTAAAGGCAATCTGTCACGACGTTGATTGATTATAAGAACAAAGGGATTATTTATTGTTTCCAGTCCCCTTTTAATTTATCGCATTGTAAAAAAAGGCGGAGCGCTGGAATTGTGTTTAGGCTATTGTTCCAGCTATTGTTCTCGTTAACCAATCCGCAACGAGACACATTGCCTTTAATGTTAGCAAGATAAAATAAGGAGATATTATCTTGATGTTAGTACTTATGGGTCCTGGGTCTTAGGGTCTTAGGGTCTGGTTTTTACGGTATGCCCAATCTCAAGCGATTTAGTTAACGCTCAAAAGCCCCTCGTGAAATTAACTCTGATTAAATTTCATTTAATCATCATTTTCCTTTCCAAAATTTTTCTTCATACACGAATACATTCTCCCTTTTTCGACTCCTGCATTTCACTATTCCATTGTTGTTGGAAATAGTCCTTTAAATTAGTTTCAACTACTTCCATTAGTTTCTTACTAATATTTACAAAATGATGGTTTCATACAATCGACATGCCAGTATTATCAAACAAACGTGTATGAAGCGGTCAAATGCGCCTTTGCGCCAACTATTGCGTTCTTCCGTTCTGCTCTCAAAAGGTAACACTTAAATAAAAGTAGACAACTGTAAAACCTCTTAAAAAGTGGCTTTTACTAATGTGAGTTCTTTGTAGGCAGAAACTCTCAAAAATACGGCAACGGCGGATAAAATCAAAATTCTTCTTTTTATGGCAATGATACGACTAACGGCTAACAACAAGTTCGACAAATAACGACACAGCTTCAACAGGAACGACAAAACTAGCGGCAGAGCTCCAAGCAGTAAGGCAAAACTTTCGACAAGACTACTCCTAACTTATGGAACAACCCTTTATATAACCTAAGCAAATCTTAAAATTATAATTACGTAATACAAAAAAACATATTTACAGACGCTGATGCAATCACAGCGCAATAGTGCAATTGTCACGTGATACTGTCCGTAAGGGAACCCTGTGTCGTTACACAACCATGTTAAATTTCCGACAAGATCCAAAGTTTTCAACAAAACAAAAGTTTAGCTTAAGAAAGGGGTCTTTCACCTCCTCTGACCCCCTGTATCTGTGCCCCTGCCAATGAGCAAAAGGGCGGCAAAACCCCTACGTTTCTGAGTTTACAGGAAAGGCCAATTTTTTGGGTTTTATTTTAACATGTTCTTGGTCGAGGATAACAGTTGCTGATAAATCAGAAAGCAATATTACAGAAAAGATTGATTAGAACGAGGCTCGGCAATTCACCAAAATAAGAGAAAAAGGAGGACTTAGGGCCGTCGAAACCGGGTGGGAGGGGTGGTGGCTGTCAAACTGTAGTATGTTTCCCTTATAACAGTGTACTGAATGAGAGGGAATGCAATGGGCAGTCCCCCGATAAAGATTCGTTCCGACGGCACTGGGACTAGAGAGGATTCAGAGCCAGGTTAAAAAGACAAGACTAGTTAGGGTAAGATTCACCAACTTGGAACTAATTCTGACAAAAAGGGGCTGTGGGAGCGGAGCCTTGAAGAAATAATCTTACATATAATCATGTCCTAAGATCGGGAATGGAAGAAACAAGAAGCTTTTATTGTAGCTTTTTCAGCATTGAAACACAAAAAGCTTCTAATAGAAAATCAACCCTCATGGAAAACGCAACAAGATTAGTATCCCACTTACAACAATTTTCAGGGGATGCAATTTCGAGCATTAAAGGCAAAATATCTCCGGACTTCTTTTTGAAATTTCGGACAAATATATTTTCGGACAAACATGGACCAGCGTTTGTTGTTTAAACATGGATGTTTAAAGCAAAATCACATCTGGCTTTCGATTTACACACAATTTTTAAGATTTTTATGAACTTTTAATAAGCATTGCGGATGCATAGTTCATACAAAAATTACTGCGCGTGAGACAGGATAAAGCTAGCAACCGATAATGTTCAGTTTTTGTTTACAGATGGCGAATGGTTTTTTATGTGAAACATGAGATTTCAGAGCTTCTAACAAACTGCCCATTTCTTCTAGTAAAATGTTCTTCGTTATAATTTCAGCCACGTGGGTTGGAGGAGGATTCACTAATGGCACTGCAGAGTCTGTTTACGTTTCTGGTCTGGTTTGGGCCCAGGCCGCGTGGTGTTATTCTGCAAGCCTGATTATTGGTAAGCTCTCATTTTACTCTTACAATAGGCAAAATGTTTTCAAGGAACTTTTGCTCTACTGGATAGACCACCTTCACATAACTTTGTGGCCGATTCAGCAGAGATGAGCAGTGCTTTCTTTACGATACATTTTTGGCCAAGAAAATGTTTTCCATTTTCCTACTATTTGAATGGTACAATATTTGAAAGTTATTCGATACAACTTTCGTGACACTGTCATTTTTATTTTAAACTGTAAATGCACATAAGCACGGGAAAATATACTCATAATAGTTTGCAAAAAATGTCGGTTTTGCCCTGAGCCTTCGAAATTAATACACGGAAGGAAAATATATTTCCCTGTAAAATAAAATTGGTATTGCTAACGTGCCTGTCAATGTTTTTTGACAATTTTTTTGTTACCGATGCCCCTTTGATACACGTTGTGTATCTTATTCATGTGGATCTCACCATTGAATTAGATTCTCCGACGACATCATGCAAAACTAGGAAACACTAGGGGAGACGACCGAGCGAAATAATTAAAGCATGCTTAATAATAGCTTCGTTCCGTGCGCATGCTCTTTCACTCATTAAAAAGATTTCTCTCGCTTGTCTCCCCAATGAGTACTACGAAAAATGTTTCCAGATTGGCAAACATTTGCGAAAAAGTTTTGATCAAAATGTTGCATGACGTGGTGGCCCAGTTAGAAAGCATTTTATGCAACATTTTTGAAACAAAACTGTCTCATTAAAATGTTGGATAGTTTTAGTTCGATGATCATCAAAAGAGACAAGACAGCATATTAGATTTCACTCCATCTGATGCTAATAGATACATGCCCAAATCATATTATCATCGTTTAAAGAGTAAATGTTGCTAGACCCTTCTGCAAAGCTGGTGTGTCTAAGCCTGACCGAATTCGATCTCTCTAGATAGCTAGGCCCAAGTGGCAAAGAGGAACACCAATGGCTGCCCTCTGAGTCAGAGTTTTAGTTCAATTAATGTCACATTGCTTTCTGTAACCGAAGCAGTATTGTTCAATGAATGTAACCTTCACTTTTGATACTCGAAGCCATTCCTTAAAGGTACCTTGTTATTATTGGTTATCCCCACCAAATTTAGTCATATTTCTGCCAGTTAAAAAACTTTGTTATCCTGTCACAAAGTTGTAAGGAGCCTTAAAGGAGAACTGACAGGCAAAAATAAGTTTGGCTAAAACGGTAGTTTGTGACAAGCAAATTCCAGGATCGAAAAAAATTTTTAAATCACAGTTACCGTTTTTGAAATACAGGCGTTTAAAGTTGAGAAACGACAATTGTTCCGACAACTTGAGACTCGAGGCGAAAATCGTCACGAGTGGACGATCATCTTTGACGTCACAAGTGACATGTTCTCAGCACGTATTGTGTTTCTCTATAGAAACCTTTAACAAAATGCTGCGGACAAATGTTTATTTTGTGCATGTGAAAGGAGCTAATTTTGCATTTTTGACTCATAATTGACTTTTTCAATAGTTTGGGACTCTGAATCGGAGTTTTATTACACTGATTTCGAAACAAATGGAGAGTTTCAGCCGTCTGAGTTTTTGCTACCAACCAGCGCTGCCGCTTGGGCAGACAGTCGTCCCATGGCTCAACAGTGACGATATTGTAAACAAAGAACAGTCTGGAAGTACAAACTGATATGGAATTTCTATTAAAAATAATGCTATTGCTACAATCTAAATGAGATCAGGTATCGTAAAACTAGAATTTTATTTCAGATTGAGGCGTCTTTGGCCAGACTGCTTTGTCTGTATGGCCTAAATTGGCTAAAATGCCCATGATGCCCTAAACGGAACTGCAAGTTATTAATTGTTAATATAACATTCTATGATTGTTTTTCAATGTTTTAAACGCGTTAACTGTATAGTGATATTGAATAGTAAAGGCGGGTTAAAAGTCGACTTGTGCGGATTTTATGCCATTTTCACCCGGTGTGAAGGGTTTCGGGAACTGATAAGTTACCTGGCAGTCGAAAGATCTGGATTTACGAAATAGGCTCTTAGCTCTTAGTTAAAGAACTTGATTTCTTAGTCGAAGAAAATGCTGTTCTGCTGTCATAGGAATATCAACTGGCGCATTATATTCTTTTGCAAGCAATTTTGACTTGGGTGGGGGATGGGCTTTTTGCAAGACTAGGTTATTCCCTAGTATCTCAACCTCTGTTAAAATACAATAATCAAGTTCAGTGAAATTATTATTTAGTCACACTCGCAGCTCCCATCAACCAAGGTTTTTTCTTGAAAAAACCAACTTTGAAATCAAGTCATGTAAATAACATTAGGGACACCGCAAACAACGTTTTACCTTTCCGAGCTTTTCCAAAGTGGCTGCTTTCCTTTTATAATTAAATATTCATTCAAGTTTTTTCCTAAGATCAATGAAACCCAACTATTTCCCAAGAAAACCCATATCATATACTTGCATTTTCTTAAAGATTTCTTAAATTTTGATCAGCAGCTAAAAAGTACAAATTCAGGTTATGCAGACCATTTTCGATCTTTTATCGAGTACAGCGAGGAAGAGGTTTAACAGTCTACGTTATAGCGTTAGTTAATAATAAGTAATATCCTTATTAACCGTCGGGAACTTGAGGCTAATGTCATAAGGGTAAGTTGTACAAATGCACCTTTATTCATAGTTATATAAACCAGCCACTACCACAGTGCCTAAGATAAGAAATTTCTACAGATCCACATATTTTTATAAAAATTTAGCATGATATTTAGCTGGGATTGGCACAATGGGCGTGGAAAATACAGATAATATCTGGAAACTGCCCCTTAGTGCCATGGAATGTGTTGATAGGAAACATAATTTAGTGATATCTTAATTTTTCAGCAAGAAGGTTTCGAAAGGAAGCTCGTTTCTATCGTTCTGAAAATATTGTTTTTTCTTCCTTGCACCTTCAAAACCCCCTTAACACCTTCACCTTCAAAATAACCTTTTTTCCCAGTGTTTTTGGTTTTTGGAGCCATATCTTTGAAGCTGAATGGAACTCGAAACTCGCGTGATCAAGCTTAAATATTTCAAAAATGCTAAATCAGCTAGATTTTTGCCTGGTTTAAAAGCAGGCTTAAGCTCTTTTTGCTGATGCAATTTTTTGATTGCATTCAGCCCACCAATCGACATTCCCAAAGTCTACTTTTGCTCCTCCGCAGTTTAGATATGCCCTCGAAGTAGTACGAATGCCTTAGGGATTTAACAAAAAAAGACCTTGGAAATTCAGCCCACCAAATTTCTTTGCCATCAAATCTTTGCTCTAAAAGTTTAGATACTAACGAGAACCTGGATGCTGATGGCAAATTATCACTTCTCTCACTGATGTTCACATTGTGGTGGTATATTTTGCTTCTTTTTTAGCGTAGTTTGAACAACAAACTTTATCCAATCTAGTAGTTGTAGTAACCTAATAGACTATGCGCAGGAGCATTACTTCATGTGACCTATGTTTATATAGAGTTTCAGATTTACAGTTTACAGTATTACAGTTATGTGTGTAGGCCGTTTGAAGTTAATATAAAGTTATCGTTCTGTTCTGTTCAACCCATGCGTTGTTCTTTCACATCTTAACAGTAGTGTAGAGCCAAAAAATGTAGAGGGGGGGGGGAGGGCATAGAGCTTTTTTACAGTTCGTATTGTATACAAGATGAACGTTTCAATTGTTTTCGTTTGCATGGCTCGTAAATATCAATTTCTGTACCTTCCCATTTGTTCTAGGGTTAAATTATCTTCCAATATATACATGTTACTTGAGAAGAAGAATCTTAAAAATAAAGAATTTAAAGTAGTAAAATTTTACAAGCATTTATTGACTTTTCAGTTATCAAGAGGGTTATTAAGGTATAGCCACTGCTATGTAATATTGCCAAATGAATGTTCCTCCAAGCTACCACCTAAAGGCTTATTCTCGTTCAGCTGTTAGAAGGTATTGAGAGGATTTTTTCCAATGATCCTCAAAGGTCAAAATCCTTAACTAAATCGCGTTGAAACATTTTCAGAAAACTACTGAAGAGAGATGTCACAAAAACCCCAAAAAACTTCATGGGCAGGAAATCGTAATCTCGCAGATTTACAAAAAACTTTGATCGTTAGTCCCAGTGCCTTTTTAAGTAAGCTTAGCAGTTGAATTGAAAAATTAGCTTCAAATGCTACAGACCATTCTTTCAAAATGCACACATAAGTAAGTCATAAATGCACACTACCTGAAGATGATATATTGCATCCCTCTTACTTTGTACCTAGGCTTCCAGTTCTCAATTCTCTTTGTTCTTTCTTATTGTGCATTACTCATTTCTTATAAACGATTTTCTGATAAAAAGATAATGCAATACACAAGGCTGGGATTGGGGATTCGCTTTGCATTGAAAAACATTTTTCTAATTCTAATGCTTCAATTTTAAACGTTGAGATTGGTTTTTATGTCGTACTTTTAAGAAAGTGCATTATTTACAGATACAAACTTTCTACAATTTTAAATCCACAATACTAATTTACAACTACCCAAAGTGAGTCAGATTCACGCATAATTTAGGCCCTAACTACCAACCAACCAACCAGCCAACCAACCAACCACTACAACCAACCAACCAGGTAACTACTACAACCAACCAACCAATCATTACAACCAACTAATCATTACAACCAACTAATCATTATCAACCAACCAATCATTACCAACCAACCAACCAAACACTACAACCAACCAACCTACCAACCACTATCATTCAAACAAGCAAAAATACAATCAATTGAAATTCAGATATGCAACAGAACTTCAAATTTTCACGGGCTTTTACTTGAAAACTTTTGATTTGCACTTCATTATTGGCTTCTTTTTTCAAAGGTGGTTTGATTTTTGCCAAGAAAATGCGCGAGAAAGGTTATGTAACAATGGTAGACCCGCTTCAAGAGAAGTTTTCCCCGTGGATGGGCGGTCTGCTGTATATTCCTGGATTTCTTGGAGAGATTATGTATGTAGCTGCAATACTTGGTGCCCTTGGCTCAACTCTTGGCGTCATCCTTGATTTGAATATCGATCTTGCAGTTATATTTTCTGCAGTGATTGCTGTGGGGTATACCTGCTTCGGTGGACTATATTCCGTAATGTACACCGATGTCCTGCAACTTGGATTTATTTTCGTTGGACTGGTAAGTATATTGTTAAAGTTATAGTTAAATTACAGTTTGTTTTCAAATAAAGTTGCAGCATATCACAGTATATTGCCAAATAAAAGAAGCGTTGATATATTTCCTCGAACCAATACTACGGACTCCTTCTTCTTCGAAGTTCTTCCCATAAAAATCTTTTTTATAAGAACCAGTAAATTGAAGTTCAGGCTGGATGTTCTTAATTTTTTCAAAAATTTAGGCTGGATTGTTCTTAATTTATTTTTAAATTATTATAGTGTAAGCAGTTTATCGCTAGCTATTGCGCTCAAGGGAGATGTTCTGGCCTCGTTTGCCAACAAAATTAATGAGAAATCTTTTAAAGTAGTTTCGTTCGACTGACGGTACCTCCGTTTCTTTAATCTTTTTAGCAAAAACTTTACAGAAAGTGGAAATTTTCTTTAGGTTGCACTTTTATTGCTACTTTTTGCCCTAGCCCGGTTTTTGTTTTTACGGTCTCCCCCCCTCCCATCATTTTCTCAATTTTCGCCCAGTTGGGAAAACAAAACAAAAAAGGAGGCAGACAACAGCAACATATATACATTTCTGTTTTTTGTCCACTGATCAGCGCTTTCGTCTTGAGCTCGACGTGCACCTGTTTATCTTTGCCTTGAAATGCGAAAGTATTGATCGCGAGAGTCTGAAGTATTGATCGACAGCGAAGAAATAGACGGAAAGTAAAGTGTGTTTGATGCAAGAAAGAAATGAACACAAAGGATACCCCCCCCCCCACAAACACCTTTTTGCAAAACAATACAGTTTTTTTCAAAATCTTTTGTTATGAGTACTAAATCTTCCCCTAACCCGCCCTCTTCCATCCTGCGACGGAGCCCATGGAACATTGACCATTTTTGAAGCAAAATAAATCAAAGCATTAAGGATATGCCATCTTGGAATACGTTGTTGAGAAAAATCAAGCAACATTTTCTTATGAAACTTTCACCATACATTCATAAGAAGTTATGCCCCGAAATTCTCTTAAGGTTTTACATTTACGGTCCGAAAGTATTGCACCATTGGCCAAAAATGGCCGTACAGCCGCCAAAGTTTTTTAACTTAAACAAATTCAAATAGCTGTAACAAGTAACAGAAAGTTTTAAGCCAACAATTCAAGCGGGAAATAATAGCAAATTTATCAAGGATTTGCAAGTAAGATATGAATTGCAAAAAACTTTCGAGAATCTTCTATTTCTGAACAATACCCACGATTACGAAAACACGCTAATTGACCTGTGATGATAGGTGAACCTGTAAAATGTTTCCAATAAAAAAGCTTTTCTTGGAGGATTTTGCTATGGTGAATTCAGAGATACTTACCATGTGCTTGGGTGTCTAAAAATGTTTAAATTCCTTACGGAGCAAACGAAAGTTGAAAATCAAATTCAGAAAATGCAACTGAAGCTCTTTTTTGTTGGAACATTGTAGTCTGCGTAGCTGTTTCTAAATTCCGGAGTTTCCAAGCTGTGTTTTGTTGTTGCACTGTCATAAAATTGAGACCATACTTCAATCTCTTTTTAAATTGCTCTCCTTATAGCTAGGAGATTTAGAAAGTGAAGACTATTTTTCTTTTATAGAAAAGACAGGTCTTACACATGCCTGCTTTTCGGAAACAAATGTTTATAGCCAACACCAGAAAGACAAGAGGCATATTTTTTTGGCTTTCAAAAACAGCTTGAGTCTGAAGGCCCAACACACTTAGTGACCCTCTCCAGGGTCCCCGATGATTTCAACCCTTGAAGCTATGTACCCTAAAAATGATGTTCAGCATGACACACCTTTCCATCAAGCATGACACGCCCTTTCGTCGGGCATCAAAGCTTCATACCCCCCTAATGAAAATAGTGAAGTTTCGTCCCTGACTATGATCTAGCAGTTTTGGGGTCTATTTACATTAGCACGCTTAAACCGCTATCGTGAAGACAAAAGGAGTTCGTTTTCACCTTAGGACTCTATTGGTTATATTCTCAAAAGGGAAGTGGCACTGATTGGGCAACTTCAAAAGTCATGTGCCCGCATTTCTGATTGGCCTATTTTGATCCACAACTGGGTATATATATTTCCTAGCGTAGAGTTTCCGCTCTATGTTCTGACATTTCATACTCTGAAGATTGTCAGACGAAAAGCTTTAGTTTACTCAGAACGTTTTGTACCATCAAAATATTGTTTCAATATGCAGTACTTGATTTTGTTTAGAGTTTAATTCTGTCAAAATAATGTCCATAAGGTTCAAATCAAATTTACTACTTTGCCTTTCAATCCTACCCTAGTGGTTATCGACTCCTTTTATAATGAAAAGTGAGCATGCAACGGTTGCAAGTGAAAGCTGGGTCGGAACTCTTGAGAAGCAGCAGGTTGGAGAGTGGATTGACCTGGCATTGCTGCTTGTAAGCATTTATGAATCACTTATTAGATAATTTGTTTTTCTCTGTCAGGTCTTGAGAGCAGCGAAAGGGACAGCAATCGGTTTTAGGGGCTTCGGGGGCCATGACCAAAAACATCTGCAGGACCCTTGCTCTTTTCAGTGTTTAATTGTTCCAGTTGCTGGGCCCCTTCTTGCTATCAAATATGTCGGACTTGGGCGTGCTCACTGGCTCCCCCTATATACCTCCACTGGAAAGGAATGTAGTATACAACATAAATTGTGCTGGTCCCTGAAAATCAAGATAATAAGCAGAATTATCACCCTAATGCCTGCCTGTTCATTTCACTGTTTTATTCATCTCGGTGCCAACCTTTCTTTCTTTCTTTCTATCAACGACTGTCCTTTTGTCTGTTATTTCATACATGAAATCAATGTCTATCAATTTACCTCTGTTGATACATATGGATTGTTGTCAGAAAAAACAAGTTTTTTTGACCAATGTATCTCAACTTATAATTGTTCAATCTTAAAGACCATAGGTGGAATGCCATGGCAAGCCTATTTTCAGAGAGTTTTGTCTTCAAAATCACCTGAAAGAGCCCAAATCTTGTCCATCGTTGGAGGTTTTGGGTGTCTTGTGTTGTCGATCCCTCCAGTTTTGATCGGTGCTATTGCAAAGTCTACTGGTGAGTGATGTGTTATTCAGTAATTGCATTCCTATATATATATTCCTATATATATTTCATTTTTAATCGGAATAATGCATTAACTAGTGCTAGGGATAACTTTTGTCCGAGTTGTAGAGAAGGTAGAGGCAATGAGGAGCATAAACATGAAGATTTCTGGTCGTATAATGTATACTTATACAGTATATTAGCCTTGCCAAAATTATTAGAACTTCTGACGATCGCAAAATCCTTCGCTTGATTCTTGACAAGTACAAAAACCATCAAAATATCCTAGCTACTACATTAGATTCAAAGTGTCGAAAGCTTTTGATTGTATCCCACATGATCCGCTTATTGCCAAACTACATACGTATTGTTCTCTAGTTCTATGAAGATGCTCTAGTTCTGATTTACTCTTATTTCAAAAGAAGAAAACAATTTGTTCGGATAAACAATTTATATAGGTCTTTTCAAGAGATTATGTCTGGTGTACCCCAGGGCTCTGTGCTAGGACTAAGCCTGTTCAACGTTTTCACAAATGACTCGGTTCTATTCTTAAAACAAGCAACGCTCTATAATTATTCAGACGACAATACACTAGCTTATTTTTCTAAAAGCATACCCAATTTTGTAAATACTTTGCAAAAAGATAAAGGGGTTGCATTATAATGGCTAGAACAAAATGAAATGATTGCAAACCCTGAAAATTTCATGCTATAATGCTTAGGAAACACCAGAAAAATACTAGAGGAGAACAAATAATCATTAATGGGAAAAGATCAAATCCGAGGAGACAGTGGAGCTTTTAGGCGCAATGTTGGATTACAAACTTGATTTCAACCCACATATTTCGAATCTTTGCAAAGAAGGTGCAACAAGATAAATTTTCTTTAAAGATTAAAGAAGAAAAAGAATCCAGGAGAAAAAGAATCTTATGCAGAGTTATTGCCCCTTTGTCTGATATTTTTCATTTTCTGATTCATTACAGAAAATTGAAAAGCTACAAAAACGCACCCTAAGATTTCTCTATAATGATCATACAAGTCAGACAAATGCATTGTGCTCCAAACAACTTAGCCCATGTTAGACCTAATCAAACAACATTTGGATCAAGAAGTCTTATGTCAATCGGGCAACAGATTTGGAATGGCCTTCCCAACGATCTGAAATCCGCAGAAAGTTTGATAAGTTTAAAGAATCTAATTTAACAATGGTATGGGCCGAATTGCAAATGTAGCGCCTGTTAGCTTCTGCCAGTCTATGAAAATTAATATTTTACTTTGTATCTATAATTACTTCAATGCACTAATTAGTAGCTTTGTTCGATTTTGATTAGTTAACCTTATATATGTATGTATATATATATATATATATATATATATATATATATATATATATATAGTGTTAGCTATTTAGATCGAATTAAAATAATTTTGCAAGAACAACAGCTACAACTGTAAGCACGAGGCTAGACCCAATCCCCTTTTCCGTTCCTCTTTACAATAATAACATAACGCAGCTTCAATTTTTGTTGATTCTTCTCCGACGGCATTTCTACGGTTTACAACTCGTATGGTTTATATTTTTATCTTTAAAAAATTATGGATTCAATAAGAATCCATAATGTGATGTTTTTTCAAATGCTTTTCATTGCCTTTCCTTGTCTTGACATTATTCAAAAGAAGTTAACTTTTCTACCTTTTGATCGTAATTTATCTTTCCACTGTTTGGCGAAAATCACAGCTTGTTTGGAAATGTTTACCATTCTCCTTTTATTCTAATGTTCTGAATTTTCAGTTTTCGTCAGTCAGGCTCAATCAAACTGACGAAAAGCAAATTTGGGTTTTAGAATGAGGTTTTTTGCGTTATAAGAAGAATGTTGAAGTTCCCTACAGATCCAACATACAGAACTATCTTAAGATTTCTTTTTGGGTTTTCTTTCTAAACACAAGTCTATTTCAATTCTAAAATGGTTTCTGCACATCAGTCTGAAGGAACTGTTTTCAGGTTGGACAAAAAAATTCAAGAAAACTCTAGCAATTGATAGGGAGAGGAGATTCGATTTTCCCTAACGAGATGAAGCCCAATTACTTTTGTTTTTAACTGGCTTACATACCTACATTCTTCTTCAAAAACTCCTCATTTTGTACCCACGTAAATGCCAACACGGTAACACGTGAATGATGCCAATCAAATTTTCATATCGAAAACTATACACGTTTCAAGGCCTTTTCTAAATCGTTGTTGAAGTCACATTATTGATTTTCATCGGCTTTTGTGATTCAAAAACATTTTCTTCGTTTTCAATTCAGGGTTTTTCAGCCGTATATGTCAACATAAAATTTGGTTACATGCTTCTACAACCCTGCCTACTTGACACCAACCACTATGAGACACACAATAAAACAACAATTTTCATAAGAAGTTACATAAATTATTCTATTTTGTAAACATTTCTATTTTAGATTGGTCTTCTTTGAACATTTCATTTGAGCTAATGGATGACAATAGCACTCTGGCAGACTCTAGACTGGTTTTGCCGCTGGTTATGCAGTATCTAACCCCACAGTGGGTCTCCTTTCTTGGCCTAGGCGCTATTTCCGCAGCTGTCATGTCATCTGCTGACTCGACTGTACTCTCTGCAAGTTCAATTTTTGGTTACAATATCTACAAACTCATCATACGACCAAAGGTAATTGATAAATTAGATTGCAGTCATATCATTTAAATTATAAACGTCATTGTTAAGCCTGGATGTTATGGTCATGAAAACAAAATGAAGACAGGGAAGAAAGGATGCTCTGCCATTGACAACACACCTCAACACAAAATTCCTCGTTATAAAATTTGCTGCTCCAGTTACATAAAACACCTCAGTAATCTTAAGTCCAGGTTAAAAAAGAGATTGGTAACAAGAACATAACGTCTTCATGCATGTGCAGCCATTAGTTGTCAGCAATATGAAAATGTACATAGCTTAAAATTCGACAACGTTAGGTAACTGGTTTTTCACCATACCATTATATCAGATGACAAACTTTCTGGGAACTGATTTTAAATCTCGCTCAATATCATTTTCATTTCATTTTCATTTTAAAATTATTTATGCACGGTAGCCCCGTCAGTCATGACTGATTTTCAGGGGGCCGTGCCAAAAACTTTACAAATTAAAAAATCTACTAAAATTAATAACAAAAAAAGGAAACTAATTACAATCATAAATAATTTATTTACAACTATTTGCAATAAATTTACAAAAAACCCTTTATCCTGTTCTTAAAAGAAGATAAAGAGGGAGCTTGCTTGGCCTCGCGGCTGAGATCATTCCAGATTTTTGCTCCACGAAATGCGAACGCTTTCTGTCCTTTACTAGTTTTCATGAATGGCACTAGCAAGTCAGTTTCGGCATTTCTAAGGTTGATACAATTGCGTTCAGAATTTCTAACAAATAAATTCGAGAGATAATCAGGCGCGAGACCATTAACAGATTTATATACAGTTGTTGCAGTCTCACTTCTGATCATATCCCTTACAGTTGGCCATCTTAACTCTGTAATCAAAGCTTCAGCAGGAGCATCGTAGCTGCTATTTGTAATAATTCTAGCGGCTCGATTCTGCAATTTTTGAAGCTTAACCAGTCGGAACTCTGCACAGCTCCCCCACACAGTACAGCAGTACCGAAAATGTGGCTCTACAATACCTCTATATAATTTGCAAAGTACATTTTTTGGCAAAAATTTCTTTGCATATTTTAAAAAACCTAACGAGCGGGAGACTTTGGCTTGAACAGATTTAATTTGCTCGTCCCACACGAGGTATTGGTCAACTTGGACACCAAGATACTTAATACTGTCGACGATTTCTACAGGGGAATCATCGATAACGAATGCAGGTGAACCCACAGTGTTTTCACCAATCTTTTTCAGATTTGGTCTAGATCCAATTACCATTGCCTGAGTCTTGGTTACATTCAAAGACAATTTATTGCCCTGAAGCCATTCTTTCAAACATTTCAATTCGTTGTTGAGCGTTTCAGTTAGATCGTCAATGCTCTTAGAGGAATAGGATATGCTAGTATCGTCGGCGTACATCGTAACTTTGCAGTTTTTCAAGGCGAATGGCAGATCATTTATATAGATTGGGAAGAGTAGTGGACCTAAACAAGAACCTTGTGGGACACCACAGTTGATGCTTCCGATGTCAGATTGCACTCCATTAACCTTAGTGAATTGCTGCCTACTGCTAAGATATGATTTGAACCATTGAAGCTCAAGACCCTGAATTCCGTACTTAGATAGCTTTTGAAAAAGTATGGCATGATCAACAGTATCAAAAGCCTTTTTCAAATCAATGAAAATATTTCCTGTAAATTTTCCACGCTCAATATTAATGTGCCAGTCATTAGTGCCAGAAAGCAAGCAAGTTACAGTGGAATGCAGAGCTCTAAAACCTGATTGGCCAGAATACAGAAGTTTATTTTTGTCTAGATAATCATATAATTGGTTGTAAATCAATTTCTCAAAGAGTCTTGCCAAATATAATTTCTAAAGAAGCAAAGAAATGCAGTGAATAATAATTAAAGTTCTATTTGCTAAATCTTTTTAAGACCAGTAGCTGCCACCGAATTCTAATGTAACAATTAGTTGATAGAGTCCATATTTGCCTTTTTGATTTCTTTATCATAACATCTTAAAGAGCATAACATCATTTCAGCAGACAATCTATTTAGTACCTGAGCTAAAAGTATTCCAGCATGAATGGGAGTATCACCTAAACACCTGCTTCTACCTCCCTCTTAACTGTTCTCATGTCAGTATTTTCTGGCTCTGGTAATCAGGCCAGCCAACAATGAAGAACGATATCTTATTCTAATCCTTACAGTTCTATTGCTTAATTGTCTCATCTTGGAAGTTTATTTGATGTATTCTTTTCCAGGCGTCTGAACGCGAGCTTGTTTGGGTGATAAGAATTGGCATCTTCTTTGTTGGCGCATTATCGACAGTCATGGCGCTCACAATAAAAAGTATATATACTTTGTGGGCTTTGTGTTCAGACCTGGTCTATGTCATTATGTTTCCACAGCTTCTTTGCGCCATTTATGTACCATCTGTCAACACATATGGTTCTTTCCTGGCATTTGCTATTGGCCTCATATTGAGATTTGGTGGAGGTGAACCTACTGTAGGTCTTCCTTCATTTATCAAGTATCCTTTGTACGATGAAAACCTGAAGAAACAGCTCTTCCCGTTTCGAACATTATCTATGCTTGTATCATTGGTCACACTCATTTTGGTGTCGTATGCTGCCGAGATTCTATTCAAGAAATTTCAGCTGTCAAAGAGATTTGATGTCTTTCATGTATTTAAAGAAGAAAAGGAGGACACCGTTACACTGAAGCGTTTCAATGGCAACCAAGATGAGATTGTTTCAAAAGACCCAAACGACAATTCTGCAGCTCACAGGTTCTGATACTTATATATACCTGAAGAAACTTTGTCTTTTTGTTAATGGATACTGATCAGCTCAGCCACAAGTATGGCGCTGTACATATTGCTGTTGCGAAAATTGCTTACTGATTAATGATTTTTCTACCTGGAAATTTAAGCTAGGTTTTAAAAAGCTTAGAGGACATGTTCGGGGAAAACTACGCTTATATGTAAAATCTAGCAAAATTGGGGATTTTTTAATAGTTGCTGTTTTAACATTAAATCGCTTTGAATTGAAACTTTTCATTGCTTGTTCTGGTTTCACTTCTTTCACACGTATGCATAAAAAGGGAACCTATATTTAGATTATAACAGTCAAATAAAGAAAAATGTCTGCGGCGGATTTTAGGGGGGGGGGCAACTAGAGGCAGTTGCCCCTCCATCACCGAGTTGAAGCAAGTCTGGCATCCCTTCTTTGGAAATTATGTACCCCTTTTGAAGAATGAGAATCGGATGAATAAGCTTCTGAGACCTATAGGTTAATAAACTCCAAGGAGTACCTCAAAGTTTACTTGTTTTTTCCAAAAAAAGATCATGTTTTGCTAGAAAAGTCGCGCTCAGGAAGACAACAAAGGCTATCCATAAAGTTTTGTTCCTTAATTCCTGCCTCATTCAAACAGTTTTCAATTTCTGGTTCAATGCACTTAAAAGCTGTCCAATCTTCATGTCATAATCAAACCAAATAGAGCTATGGAGCATGATTATGATGCGCCTAGAAACTTTAATATTGCCTATTTCCTGCCCTACACCCTACCGCTCGGGATGCCTAGGCCCGTTCTACACCTTCGCTGATTTTGACCCCAGACGGAAATGCCTCTTCTTATTAAAGAGAATTTTCGAAAATTTAAGCTTTCCTTTGATTTTTTATAAAAACAATGGTTCTAGCTGGAAAAGTTTAAACTTCTGGAAAACAGCAGATTGTCCTACACATATCCACCGGCCCCACCCACTCTTTCGCTCAGCAATGAATGTAAAAGAAATTTATATCTTAGCATAGGGAAACAGTATCAATCTTTCCGAAATTTTCTGTACTACATCTCTAGGCCTAAAATCTTAAAGTTTCCAGCCTGTAGTTGGAGCAGTAAATACACTAGGCGAGCGGAGGTTTGATGAATGGGTAATAACGTTATAAACATCATGCTCATTGAAATTCAAGCCACTTTTGCGAAACCAATGGAAACAATTCTGCACTATAAAATCAACAAAAACGTCAAGATATTAGCAACACTTTCATTTTACAATTTGAGATGAATTAACTTTTTAAAAATTACAAACCCGCTTCGAGGAAATTTGGGTCACATTCTGTTGCGTCTAGATTCATGAATATATCCTAACAATAAATGCATACAATCCAGTGGTGTCGTAAAGGGAGGGGGGAGGGGCTAAAGGAGGCTCAGCCTTCCTTGTTAAAATTCAAAGGGATGGCGAATACTTGGCAATGGGAATTAACGCTGTATCAATCTTTTTGATTCGATGAATAATTTAAACGATTTCATAACACAACATCGAATCTTTGGCATAAATGGAAGTATATAGGATGTGATCGTGGGTGTGGTCTTGGGTGTGGCTTCTAGAAGTTGCCTACATCACAGCCCCTCTCCCTAACTTTTTAGGATGACATCCCTGATAAGATCCCTGCAAAGAGTCTGGGTAGACTAGACGAACATCTGGGTAGACATTGTCAATAGCATCTGCCTTACACTTTTTAACAAGATAGTATTTGCCGGGTCTTGATGTTCCATTTTGGCAATTATTAGATTTGGGGTTCTAAATGCTATTTTTCCTTGAACATTGGTTTTTCAACAACTTTACACTAAAAGTGTGTAAAAATAGGAAAGGACACGGTAACAAAACTACTCGACGGGCTCCAAAGGAATACATGCTGAAGCGATGTAGATCAATGTAATGAATGAAAACAAGGAACACTTCAACGTGCCGAGAATTTCCCCAGAATTGTCAGTTTGAAAAAAGCAAAAAAGTTGAAAAAAGCTTTAGTATAGGATTTGTTAAAAAGCCTGATTTTATTCTGTCACATTGCCAGGATGAAACAGGTAAAATGTCCACACTTCCTTGCCCTGGTCTGTCTGAAAGATCATATTTGACTCGTGTGGCCTCTACTTCAAAAGGAGACCTTTCCAAGAATTCCCTTATCATTGCTTCCTTTCTGTTATCGAGGACATGTGCACGCGGGACATGAACAACCTAAGACAAGAGCTAAAGCAATCCAAAAAGAATTTTAACAGAAAATGAAACAAACAGGAAAGACATAAAAACATTGGATAAACGACCAAGCAATGTCGATCAACCAATCAAAGATGCAAAATGAAGAAGATTACTTGCAAGGACCAATCTTCTCACCTCCAGTATACCAACAAAGGTACAACTCCGTTATAAAGCTAATCAACACTTCAAATTGTAAAAAGGTTTGTATAACTTCTGTCATTTTAATAAATAGATTTTTGATTCTGCTAAAGATCCTTGATTGGTGGCTTGATCTTCCTAGCATTCAACATCTGGGCCTCGAAGAATAAAATAACGTTAACATCTGAAAATGGCTTTGAAAAGACAAACATAAAAGCTTGAGTTATGTTGTAAAATTTTGGCGTTGTTAAAGCCATCTTCAAATTTTGTACCACCAAAAAGTTGTTTACAAAGTTAACATCATAAAAAAAATTACATGCTCAAAATTTCAAACACCATTAAACGCAGAAAATTTCCGTTTCTTAATGGTATATTTATAGAAAGAATAAAATTTTGAGAAGCCATTCTCCTTGTGGCTCCATTTTGGTATGTTACTTATCTGGGCACTTGACTCTGTAGCTCTTAAATTCATTTCTACATGTCCAAGCTTACATGAATCATATTCGTAAATCCTATTTGTAATTAAAAGTTGATATTTTTTATTGAATTTAATTGATTGAGTTTAAAATTGTTTGTTTTTTCCAACCTGCACCCTTCTACTTTTTAGAATATTATTTAAACAGGTGTTAGACATTGGGTGTTCTGAAGGAAAACTCTTGACAAAGATGAAAATCCACTGTCAGATGTTGGAGGTGATATATGGTCTTGATATTGATAAGGATGTTCTTGAGGAAAACAAGTTTAGAATCAAGCCACTGATGGCAGAGTACCTCATAAAAAGAGGACAACCATTGAAAATGGCACTTTATCAAGGTGAATTAAAATTAAAATTAAGTGAAATTGTGCTATATTTATATAATCAAATGTGTTCATTGTTCAAAACACAAAAAATGACAAATATTCTATTCAGACTTTTTCAGAGCTTTAATTTTCAGGAACTGAAAAAGTCATTTTTATGATTGTTTTATTATTAAAATTGTTATAAACATTTTTATTAGGTTGTTTTTAAGTTGGTTGATAACATGAGCAAATACTTCATAATCTAACTCATGCTGAAAACTACACTCAGTAGCTGTTCTGCAAAATATTTCAGCCTGTGAATTATAGTATGACAGGTAGTAGGCGAATCAAAATTGACAAAACCAAAGATTTGTCAATGTTTTTTACAAACCAATTATGCTCTCCTAGGTGAGCAATTAACATTCATGATTTGCCAAAATTTTGATTCACACTATGTAGATTAAAGTTGCAAAAACTGAACTAGGTTTTGAAATTCATTTTATTTATGGAATGTGGAGAGCTTTTTCATCAAAATTAGTCTGTGTTTAAAAAAGCACAATCATTGAGTTACATTAAGGTTATAAGCATTTCAGGAAACTCTGCTTACAGTCACAAATTTTTGAGCAATTATTAGAGTTATGAAAACTGGAGTCCATTGTATATAAAAAAGGTTACAAAAAGGGCTTCCTGGCTTCTAAACAGGTGGCAGTTTATGCAATGCAGTCTTGTTAGCACAAAACATGTAGTATCCTGTACAGATGAAAAGCTGTAAGTTGTTGTATACTTTGAGCTAATCCTTGAACCAATTACGTCTCAGAAACTTTTTCACCTAATTCACCTAATTTTGTTCCTCGATAATTGTAAATTAGTGTTTTTTTCAAACGTTTATGGTGAGGCAGTTTTTAGTTGCAATTTGCATAACAATTTCAATGTGGTCATTCGTTGGTGAACATTTTATTACCACAAAACGTTAGGTAAGCAGCACAATCTATGCCTAATGTCATTTCTCAGTTCAGTTTGATGCACAGTTCAGTGAAAAGATAGTTTAACTATGGAGTTTAATCATTAAGCGAATAAAAAATCATGTATAACTCATAATGTTGGCACCACTTGGCATTCAATAATTAAATAAAATTGTCATTATCACCCCACCCTCTCCCTGCCCCTTGATATTGTGTGCTTGCACTCTTAACCTTAGCTTTGAAACATCTTTTTTCTTGCATAAACTTGAAGACATGTTTCCTTGGTCAATCCTTTGTGTGCACATTTAGAACATTAAAGTCATGAACAGAGAATATATTACAGTGATTTGATAGGAAAAGTGTATGTGCTCATGTGGCCATAACCCATTCAATTTTCAACATCATTAATTTAGAACTCTAAACAGCATAACCTTGCAGATATTTTTACATTGCGATATGTCCCAGTTTTGTCTTTACTTTTATCTTTCCAGGATCAGTTGCAAAACCGGATCCATTGTTTACAGATTTTGATTTTATTTCTTGCATTGAGGTGTAAGTTCCCCATAGCATTTCTTGAATTCAATTCATTTTATGCAATATGATGAAATCTAGTTTCATTAAGATCCTCAAAAGTAAAATGTGTTTACTGTAAAAGCTCTATTAAGCCCCCCGGGGCGTATCTGTTTTTTTAAGTTCTAAAGGGGGCTTGAAGAGAGGGGGCTTATTAGAGAGAGGGCTTTTTAAAAATTTGAAGCAAAAAATGTTCTAAAATGCCCTTGGCTAATTTTGTTATGAAATTGGTTACAAATGTTCTTAAAAATCTTTGCTAGCAGCTTCAAAAGTTTAATTAATCGATTATAAGTTCCTCATCTTCATCAACATCTTCAGAACAAATTTTGACTGATTATTAGGTCGTGCAAGTAAGTGTTTACATAGGCCGTATTTAATGCACACGATCTTATCATCATCACACCCGTCAAGAGACCCACTAAATGGGCATGTTTTCTATGTTTGATATTAAAGGCTAAATAGGGGGCTTAATAGGGAGGGGGCTTAATAGAAAGAGGGGCTTAATAGAGATGGGGCTTAATAGAGCTTTTACGGTATATTTCTTTAAAAAAATTTCTGTTAGAAATTTTCGTTGATATATAATTAATGTCTTCAATTACTGCTGCAAGCCTGGTTTATAGTTCTGAACTTATTTGCAACTTATTTAAGTGACTTACAACTGTAAATTTTTCAGCGTACGCTTATTCATCTTACATATGCCAATTGCGTTAGTACATACGTTTTCCGCATGTCGATTTAGAAAGCTGAAATTGATATGCTATAAGCTTTTTGGGTACATAGTTTCCTGACATGCTATCGAGAACGGTTTTTCTTGCGCTTCTACTTGCTCGTAGAAGAAATGGAACAACAAACTTGTTCGTATAATCGGTCTATAACTTTTCGCACTACCCGCGGGGATTATGCTGTAAATTGTCAACGATTTGCATTCGATTTCAATGAGTCCCGTATATCAAAGAGCCGTTTTTGCCTGCAAAAGCCCAAAAATAAGAAACTTCCCCGAAACTTTACGTTTCCTTACCCTGGGTCCCAGAACGACTTTCCCTTAGCGAGTAAATTAAACCGATGGCGATCTTTCTGTAGCTCTTCAAAAAACGTTGCTTCGAAGTCGGCCATTGCTAAGAAATTTTCCCTAGGGAACGATAAAAAACTTGAAGATTTCTCATCTCGATAAGTTCAAGGCTTTCGGATTTGCGGGAAAAGAATAAACTTTCGTATGCAAAACGTATGCATCTGATATGAGGCGAAATTTAGCCCGCGCTAGTTTTTTGGCGAACCAACACCAGACAAGCTGCCCCGCCAGCCGAGAATAGAAGCGTACAGGTGTCAGCTTGATATAATGTCCAGGTGTCCAAAAAGGGTATTCAGTGAAATTTGATAGCCTGAGATCAGAGTCGGTGGGAAAAGGCTCGGCTGAAAAAGAATAATTAAAAAGAGACCCCAGCCTGGTCTCAGGCTAGAAAATTTGAGGGTATTTTAAGAATGACTAAATACCATAACGGCGACAAAAGATGAATACCCTGTTTTCTTAATTTTCTCAATAGAATCGAGCATCTCACAAAAGAAGAACTTGACGCCTTTCCAGCTGCAGTTTTTGGCATTCTACGTCCTAAAACTCTTGTTATCACAACTCCTAATGCAGATTTTAATATTCTGTTTCCTGGACTGGTTGGATTTCGACACCCTGATCACAAATTTGAGTGGACAAGAAAAGAATTTAATGCCTGGTCAGTTGAAGTTTGTTTACCTGCAATTTGTTTTTTATCTTGTTTTAAAGAGCCACTGGTATGCAAAATGAACCAAATGTTAAATTTTACTGAAGGATTAATGGATCCGAAAGATTTTTTAACCCTTGCATTTTACCGGAAGAGGTAGGATGTACCCCGCATAAACAAAGAAACGCCAAAGAACTTCGTGTATAAAACGCAAAATCATATTTAGATTAGAAAAAGCTCAGCCGCAGCTAGCTCGTTTTTGTTCTAACGATTTCTGGCTACATGAAATGCACCTCGGCTGGATTAAGCACGCTGTAGACGTCGCCTACCTGAGAAAAACAATCCAAGGAAGATTCATAATTAATCACATCTTTAATAGGAGCAGATTTTATATTGACGACACATTCACTAATCTCGTTGACTGTAGGGAAGGGTCTTTTTCCTTATCAAAATTGAAGTTGTCACATCTGTCAAATTATTGACAAAATTCTGGAAAGAGAGCCACAGAGGGGGCACGTTACCTCAGTAAACGAAAAGGTTAAAACAAATCAGGGAAGCTCTTTGAATATTTCTTCGGTATATGGAAACAATGAAAAGATTTTCGCTGCAACAGACTGCAGTGAAATACTTAAAGTTAATAAACAAAAAAACACTAAAAATCGCGGAGAATAAAAATATGAATGAACGAATGTATTACTTACAAATATTTTCCATTGATGTTTCGTATTTTTAGAGTCACTGGTGTCAAAAAAATTATTCCTTACTGTTTTGCATCAAAACTGCAAAACTGAAGATTTTTAATGATGATATTCGGTTTTCCAAGCGGAGACATTTGAAATCACTTTATCGAAATTATATTTTTGCGGTCGCTATTCAAGGGCGACATCTTTTCAAGAAAATATGATGATCCATTGCATCTGTTTTGCAAGGTGTGAAATGTGTGCTAGACAGTATGGATACTCGATATCGTTGTCGTTCATTGGAAACGGCCCGGAGGGAACGCAACACTTGGGTGGCTGTTCGCAGATGGCTCTTTTCACAAGAAATACTCGTCATGAAGTTAATGGTAAGTCAGAGCTTTTCTTTGCTAATGTAAACAGTTTCGAAGCGGTAATCAAAGCTAGGCAGATTTTGTACGTTTATAAATTACATTATTTTTCCTTATATTTCATAAGTCAAGAGATAAAACTAATTTGTTTCTTCCTTTATGAACGTTAAAAATGTACCGATAATTGCTTTTTCCACTCAAATTTAGCAACGAAAAACGGGACAAAGAGCCAATAAATCTCTTTTTTGGGTTAGGTAGGGTTAGGGTATGGTCAGGGTAGGGTAAGGAGGATCATAGTAGGGTTAGGGTGGGGTTGGGGTAGACTTAGGGTAGGGTCGAGTTTGCATAGGGTATGATCAGGGTAGAGTTTCGGTAGGGTCAGGATAGGTTCAGGGTAATGTTGGTGTATGGTGATGGTAGGGTTAGGGTAAGGTTTGGTTAGAGTAGGATCGGGGATAGGGCTGCAGCTAGATACATCTTAAATCCACCGCTACGAGACGGAAATAAGAAAATAAAGTATTGCGAAACTTGACTTCATAATAGAAAAGGTTGCAGATTAGAATTAAATGAGAAACCTGCCACGCTTTTTAGCTTTATGTAAATTATGGGAGAAATGATGAAGCTTTTTCACTTGATATATATTGTGTATACATGGTTCAAGTATTAGATATGTATTTGCCATAGAAAACTTTCTAGCCTGTAATTCTCAAGGTGTCCTGAGTCTGTGAATGTTAACAGTCCTCTGAGCTACCAGAACTTTAACCTGCTTTGTTGAATAAAACAATATTGAATGTTATCTTCTCGCAGTCTATTTATTGTTTTCTTCCCGTTTTCCAGTTAGATTTGAGTTTGTCTTCATTTTATTTTCAGACACTCTACTCGAGAATGCTGATCGTGGACGATTTGAACTGGTGAGTCATATCGATTTTTATATAAATCCCATTAGTTTTTGCAATGCAATCGTTTTTTATTATTTTTTGAGCACGCGTTCATTGGTTTTACAAGAAATTGATATGCATCTTTTTTATTGAAATTTTTCACTATGCGTGTGTTAGACATAACTTAGAGAACTAATTGCATTTGCTTTTAATTTAAAGATAACAGAGATAATATATCCCTACGAGCCTCCGAAGTCGGTCGAAGAAAGACTATCAAATGAGATCCGGTACCTGGTGAACCATTATTTTAACATTGAAAGCAACGCCGATGTTGTCAACCACAATGGCGATAGTGACCCAGACATGCTATTCCGATCGATACCAGTTAAATATCTGCAAGAGTCACCAAGCATAAAAACTATTTGCAAGAACCCAGCAGCTGTAAGGTAATTGTTTTCCTTTTTCTGTCCAAATCGGCCTCCTAGCAAGCCCATAAACTCCTAAAGGGCCCTGTATTGTGTGGGCATATTTTGATGAATGTTCTCGAGTTTATTTTCAGCAAATCAGATTTCACAATTGCTAACCGATAAATGACTTCATCTTTACATCATTTTATTTCTCAACCATTTCGATAAATAAAATATTTTACAGTACCTAAGAACCACATTTATAGCAGTGCAGTGTTTGAGTGATTAATTTATCTAAAGTAGGCAGACCAACTTTTAGCTATAATTTAATGAAGATAAAAACAATGAAAATTACTGCTTACCGGTCTGTCATAAATCGCTCGAGGCTATAAAGTTAGAGCTATACACGCTTTTTGGTGTATAGAGCAGGACGGTTCTAAGAACTAACAAGCATTCACTCCACTCTAAGTTGAAGTTTCGTCGTGTCAGTGACCCGAAACCGTAGACTCTTGAATTTTTCGTCTAAGCAGTGAGCCATCCTAACACTAAGCTATTTTTAACAACCAGTTCCAAGAGTCGTTGATAAAAGTATTGATGCGCAGCACTACTAAGATTCAAGAATCAAATTATAAAAAGTTGTCACAGTTAAACTTCATGTTTAGTATTTAATTACCGCCCTATTAAATTTTCCAATGATACAACGCGAAACGGTAATCTAAGTGTTATATGTTTCTTAATCTTACTAAGATTAGCGGAAAATTTTGAAAATACTCAACCAACCAGGATCATGAAGATTATTATATTCTTGCAAGATATTTTTTATGGAGTCCAGTATAGTTTGAAATTATCAAATGCTGACTATTATATTAAAGGTCTAGAGATTCTGATTATAATGAAGAAAAACTAAGCGAAAGTAAAGGAAAAGCATCGAGTTATTTTTTGTCTAGTGAAAGTAATACAAGCATTTTTATAACGGCCTGTGAAAAACAAATCTCTAAGATTACATCAAAATTGAACGCTGATTGTATAAAAATAATTCTTAACCTTAGGGGCTGACGCATTTTAAGATGTATTGAGCCCCCCTCCTCCCCGTCCCTAAAGCTTCAAATGTTATCAAATGAATTCTTATTATTTTCAGAGATGCCGTTTGTCGTTTATACAAGATTTCCGACGATCAAGATTTTGTTATAGTCCCTTTCGAAGAAGACAAATATGATGCTGATTTTGACGAATATTATGAGGATGACGTCGGCTATACGGATATGGAGAAATCTAATGAAGAACCTACAGATATTCTAAATAGACGAAGCCAATTTGATCCAGAAGAAAAAGAGTGGTGGGATTGAGCCTCCATTTTCGGATGGTCTTTTCAACAGATATTGTCGTTCTAGCAAAGTAAGGTACCCATTAGGGCTATTTTTCACCTATTCATCTGAACTAATATAAAAATTGCTTGTTGTGCATAGGAGCATTTAAACTGAAGGCTCGCAGAATGAATTCCATTCTCCCAATGCTTTACAGCATTTAATGAAATAAATTTACATCAAAGCCTTATTGTACAAACTAGGTCTTTCATTACCAAGAAATCTTTTTTTTCTGAATCTTCTTCCTCGTTTAATTCGAGATTGGCTTATACCCATAAGTGCCATCGATGTTCCTACCACAGAATGCTTTACGCGATGGGATATTACGTCGTCGATTTTAAGTGTGCATGTGCAGATGATGCAAAATTTGTGCATGGCCGTCAAGCAAATGCTGTACCCATATTGTTGTATTGGTACAAATTTAGCAAATTTTTCCAATTTCTTAAGACGAATTGTAAGATATTTTTCGACATAATTTAGGCATGGGCAGAATATCACGAGGTTCTGAGGCAATTCAAAGAAGTTTCAAACTTAGTTATTTAGAAAAACATCTAGGTAGAAAGATCAACAAATTAAATATTTTGTCCTATTTGTGAAGACCAATGATTCAAAAATAATAGGATAGTGAACCTTAATGCAATGATGCCTTGTGACAACAAATTGTCGAAATGATTCCAACATATCATGTGATTTTTTATGATCGGTGTGTTTGTGAAGAGAGTTGTTCATATTGTTGGCCTAGAACAGTTCGATTTCTCGTTCGTTTGTTGTTTTTAGAAAATATTTGAAGTTGTATTTTTTGATACCTTGCAAAATTTAAAAAGTAGAATAGATGGACTTTTTTACGCGATTTTTCGTTTTTTTTCGCTTGGCCACAACTTTGGAATTGTCTCTTTTGCGGCAAATGAGTTAAAGGGCAAAGTTCTTGGGGGAGAATAAATTCTTTAAAAATAGCCTTGATAACTTACGGTATTTGTTTTGCCATTTTTCAACTTTTCATGCTAACATCTTATTTTGATTTTCAAAAGAGTTTTGATCTCATTATCGAAGTATATTGATAATTGCCGAGTTAAGGGTTGAATAAAGAGTGGCAGACTAGCGACCTGTGGTCGAAATCTTCTCCTGCAGAAACTATAAGGCACCTTTTGGTTGTTGAGGTAGTTACCAAACAAATCCTTTTTAAGAATATAAGAATCCTTAGAAATCTCGAAATAACGTTCTGCTGAATAGGTGTTCGGTCGGCTTGAAGCGTTTTGTTTTCCCAGTTGCAATCATACCGTGGCCACAGGATTGCCTTACTATTCATAAAAGGAATCAATGTGGGACGAAAATGAAGTTCATTAAAATGAAATTTTATATCACATCGCTTAAAATGATTTGGCAAGATAGTCTCCATTTGTAGCACAGAAAAATTTGATTACGAAATAAAAAACAAAACTGAAAATAAATAAACTTCTTTTGTATAAATACTTCCATGGCAATCTACATAAATACGATGTATGTATTGTTCAGTTGAATTTTTATCGTTTGCATCCAGCCACTCTAATAATATGCGTTTGATTTGAAGATACGTATAAAGGCATGACCACTGAACCCACCAATCTGCTTCGATGAAAATGCCACGTTGATGTCTCTCTCGCCTTCGAACTATAACAATACAATCAATGATAAGGTAAAGTAAATATAAAGGTTTGAGATTTGTTTGATTCAGAGGATGAACCTGTTGGATTCATATCTAGCTCCATTCGCTGTATTACTTTAGCTAAATTTCCTGCGAAAAATCCTTGAAGGTTTGCTCTGAAAATTTACCCATTTCTAGAGAAAAGGCCAACATTACACCCTATATCCCCAAAAAAATGTTGTTTCTAGAGCCAAATGTTATAGAGACAGAAAAAAAATTGATGGAGGTTATGTGCGTTAAAATCACTTATGGAGGAAGCAAAGTGGAAGAGGATGAAGATTGGATGAAGAGAAGAAAAAAGACAAAGTGTAGGAGGAAGAAGAAGATAAAGGGGACAGTGGCGTACCCAGGGCTGCAGTAGTGGGAGGGTCTGGGGTGCAGCCCCCAGAAATTTTTTTGGACCACGCCCTTCAAACACTCGCAAATGCGAGGAAACACCCCTTTTCAAAATTTCCATCCATTATTTGATTCATGTTAGCTACGGTAAATAGCAAAGCATTTTACAATTGTTATTGACACAAGCATACAGTATACTACACCCCCCCCCCCAATGAGTTTTACATCGTTTTTGGGCAAATCATGATGATCATATTTTATAGTATACAGTATACTACACCCCCCTATTCCCCCCCTCGGGTACGCCACTGAAAGGGTAGAAAGAAGAAGAGTAACATGTGGATAAAAATGATAGAAGAAGGCAAAAAAGTATGGAAAGAGAAAAATAAGCGAGAACAAGAAAAAAAAGAAGTGACTCAGTAGCTATTAGCAATTGAAAACGAGGATGTATTGTGTGCTGACACTTTTGTCTTTAAATGGATAGAAAAGACGAAATAGTTAGCTGTCTTAGAAAACGTTATGTTTTCATGGCTGTGAACCGGAGAATGGCTACCCAACGATGCAATAGTTTTGGGGAAGGCAAAAAAACTTGAAAAGATTATATAAAGTTGAAGGAATTTAAAGCAGTGCTTGAAATTTTCTTAACTTCTGACAAAGTGTTAAGACTAAAGCATAGATACTTCTACTTAAATTCCATTTGTTGGAGACTTTATTTAAAAGATACCAGGTCAATTTTGAAGAAGGCCAATCGAGCAAAGTTACATCCAGAGGATTGCCTAGGCATTTTCTGAACTCTGGAAGCTAGGACGACCGACAAGAAGATTGTGACCGCTATTATGTCGAAGGTAGATTGAAAAGACAGTACCGAAAATTGCACACAGTTAATTATAAAAAGCAATGCAAAGTAGAATCTAGTTATAAGTTGTAGAAGTGATGGATGACAGGATAAAAATGATGTAGAAATACGACGATAGCGAAGGAAATATTTTCCGAAAGAGGCCAAAAGAAAAACTAAAAGAGGATGAGAAAGAAGAAAAAGCAAAAGAGAAAGAAGAATGTAAGGCGAAGAAGAGAATGGGAAGATGATTAAGTAGAAACAAAGGAAGGGGAAGAAGACAAAAAAGAAACTGTAGAGAAGTAGATACAAGAGAAAAGAAAAGAAAAGGGTGAAGGAAGAATGGGAAGAACACGAATAAAATGAAGGAGAAGAAAAATTCGAAGTACTAAAAAAGGGGATGAAGAAAGGAAAAAGAAAAAAGGTAAGGGAAAAGAAATATGGAAAAAATTTGTTAAAAGACCATTAAAGCACACAAGAGTTCATGGATTATTGGGAAATGTAGTGTACATATCAATTTATGAAATCCACGGAGTATTATTGGAATGCAGATGAGAATGCAATAAACATTTACCACATTTGAAATAACTAGAGATCGATGCTTGAATGATTAATCAATGTAAGCAAATCAAATCAATTGAGTGCTTGCATTACCTCTGGGATCAGTACTACTGACATCTGCAAGCTTCCATTTGGCTGAACGTTTCTGAAACAACAAATGATTATGATTATGATTATGAGATTGTAATATCACGTTTTACCTTTCATCGATAATTGGATTGGAGATTCGAAGATTGAAAAGAGACTTTCCCATCCACTCCCATCTGAATTGGAAATTGCATGACAATTGCATTTTAATTCCTTTCGATTTTGTAGAATATAAAGTCATGAAAGCGTTCTTATTTAAATGCTCCTATTTGATTTTTCAATCATCAAAGCATAGACTGGTGATAGTATTCACATGCTGTGAATCGATTTTTTTGAGAAATGATAGAACAAGATTTTTTAATTCTCTCTATATTTTCAATCATATTTCCTCTAAAGAACGCCGCGGCGTTTATTACAAAATCTAACTTTTTGATGAGGCGTTTAATAGAGGGTGGCGTTTATTAGAGGGGGCGTTTAGTACAAAATAAAAAGTGTTTCAAATGAAAAATGACAAGAAAATAACGATAAAGGATAAAACAGACTTTAAGCAATGTTTTTTTCAAATTTAAACATGTAATGAAGATTTTATGAAGTTTACATTATAGAAAATCAACGAATGTCAAAAATGCGGCACTTAGTAGAGGGCGGCGTTTATCAGAAGTCGGCATTCATTGGTGAAAATACTTACTTTTGTGGCAAAACAATGTGTCCTTTCATTAGGTTTCCATTAACACGAAGCACACAGTCCGTTAGCTGGACGTTGAGTGGATTTCTGACTCGCACGTAAAACATGACTTGCTTTCCAAGCTTCCATCTACTTGGGAGTGCTTCAAAGGTAAGATCAGGCCTCCATATAGTTACAATCTCCTCCTTTGCAAAGGCTTGTCCAGTTTCAGCTACCAAACACATTACGTGTATGCTGAGTCTTGGGTTACTTTGTATTTCATTCAGATACTCCTGAGCCTCGATCACTACCGAATGACGAGTAGCTGCAAAGGTTGATAATGATAGATCATTTTAGAAAATGTTATATCCATGAAATGATGACGTCATTTAAAGTTATGCGTAAATTTTTAGCTCTTGATTATGTAGTCTCATAAAAATTTTAAAAAATCCTCAACTTTGAAAAATTAACTGAATTGCTTCAAATTGCAGATGTCAGATAAAGGCTCCTTTCTAGTTATATCTACAGTATTTTAAGCCTTTATAATGGCCTCAGTGCTGAGGAAAACAGAAGTAATGTAACCAATTTCTTGCTTTTTAGAATTGAAAAATTCTTCCTGTTGTTCCTATATCAAAAATTTTTAAGAATCTTCTTTAAGAATTAAATTGACCTAACCTTTGACAACATTTCAAGAGAAATGAGCATGCATGGTAGCATATGTCTACATTGAATTACCTCAGTTTTTATCGTCATCGATTATAATGAAATTATTACACTTCTCAATAATGGACTTTCCTCAATATTGATGTTTACATCACATTCACTCTAAGAATACAACACTAATATGTTTAGTGTTGCAGCAATGTAGCATACGTAATACTGCAGTAACAATAAGTGTTAGTACGTACTGTTTAATAACGTACTGTGATATTCATTTTGTTATCAATAGTTAACATTAGTTTGCAGAAAGAACCCCAAATCTTTGACCGTTACCGAAATTGCTTCCAAGCTTTTTAACGAAAAGATGCATTTCCACAGTCACTTACTATAACTGACCTCGGTACTTTACTAGGCCCATCTCCGAGTATGATAAATTTTGGTTTGCTAAGAGTTGCAAATATTGTGAAAGCAAAATAAGCCTAATTTCAAACTTTTCTTAATTCAACATTTTATGTAAAAAAAGAGAGAATATGTTGCATACAAGGAGCTTTTTGTCGGACGCTACTTAAAGTGTAAAACATTTTTTGCAGACTTTTTGAACAGAAGCAAATGAAGAGAAGTGATGGTGAATTTCGTTAATATTTAACTGATGAATGCTTTAATTGGTGATGGTAAATACAAGTTGATAAAGAGACGACATTGCAAGGTATAAGAAGAAAAAGCATTTACTCACATGCGTAGGGACCTAGTTGGACGTCAGTTTTTTGCGATTTTAAGCTGTTTAATGATACTCCATTGTACATCACAACGTTGCCACTCACAGTTGCCTGAATCTTCAGGTTTTTCATTCCAGTGTTGCGCATCTCTATTGTCATGCTGACGTCATGACCTACGTAAACATAGCTGGAAAGGCGCAGGGTGAACAATACATCTTTGCTATTAGGCCGAATCGTTGGATTATTGCTCATGCGCAAAGCACGTCTTACAGCAACATCCTCGAGCGAAGTTCCCTCAGCATATTTATAGTCATCAGTAATATCAACCCGATTCCAGTTATACCTTCCAACGCCTTTAGTTGATATGAATTGTCCTGAAAGAAAGCAGTTTTTTTTAAATTTCTTGTTGCAAATTCGCGTAGTTAGCATTGAATAGATAACGTTGGAGGTAAATTGCTTTTATAGCTTTTTTGTAATTTTTCGACAGGCTCAAAATTGAAGTTATAGTTTCCTTGATAGTTCATTAAGATAAAATTTTTAGTTGATATTTTCATTCAAAAGAATTTCGAAAAATTTACTTAAAGGAACCCTTTTGACATGTGCTCGCCAAATTTATCAGAGTTTTTTCTAATAAATTTTTCAACTTGGCGTGAAATATCAGATAGTTGATTTTATTTATGCTCACTTAAAATTTTTGAGCATCATACTATTTTACAAACTTTCTTATTCACAAAATGCAGCTTTAAAATTTCTAAAGGATTTGATTCGCAATAAATGCACGAGTCATCTGTAAGAATGCAAAGTTATGTTCAGAACTTTCCTCCCTCCAACAATCAGAAATGCCATGCTGGTTTGGGAGAGAGGTCTTTATCCTCCTCTTCTCTCTAACAGCCTTCCACCGTTCTCGATCACTGAGGCTCTGGTACCCAGGGTAGTTTTGGTCTCTAGGGACTTGTTTTGTCATTTTATCATCAATATTAGAAGTATTGGGTATTTAGTATAATCAGAGGTTAGAACACTAACTTTACCGTTAGTAATTTAAATATTGAATGAAAGAATTTTTCTTAAAAGCATGACGTAAAGATCACGTCAAAGATTATCCGAAAGAAGTCCTTCAAATTGCACTTTTGAATAAAAAACTTATGTTTGGTTTAGGTTTAGGTGGGATAAAAAAATCCGAATTCTATAAGAGACTTTACACTTATAATTAAAGGAAATGGTTCATTTAGCAACCGATATTAAATTTCATATTACAAAACAGTTCTGTGAATAGCCAGACAGTGGTATCTTTGCTCAAATGTGATTCAACTTTTCGATTTTCTCCGTCAGTATATTAAGATCAAATCAGGATAACCGCTTTATTAAAGTGATATGAATCATGCGATAATGTTGAAGAGAAACAAAAACAATTTTCCTGATTTAACAGCAATAAATGTTAGGACCTTGATCATTTTCTCACCTATTGATTTTTTGTCCACCTCAAATGGTTTGAAAGATCCACCGGCTGTGTCGCGCTTCCAGTAAACGGTGTCTGCGTTAACTTCGGCAAACACAAACCGCGCGTCAAACTTGATATCGACATTGCCTTCTTTCACTGCTTTCAGTGGCGCAGGTCCAAGTTGAAAAAGCCCTAGAGGAATAAGGTTGATATGAATTCTTTTTTATCTTGTTTGGATTGGTAAAATGTGGCATTCGACCCATTTAGATACACATAAAAAGGAGTTGTGGTAGTGTATCTTCAAACATATTGAATCAACTTTTAAGAGAGACATATCTCAAGACTAATAGGCAAAGTGGGTGGAAATTTCCCAAAAGATAAACTAACAGTCCCTTCAAATCAAAACAGAAGGAATGTAAGCAAGAATCTTGGTTCTTAAATCGAAAAAATGCCTTTTTACATGAGATTAAAATTGAAATATCCAGCTCTTACTATTGTTTCTACTGATCTTATTGTCCTCGATGAGCTTCCTTGTGCTACAACAGGTTTTGGTGCATACACCCTGTAGTTTCTTAACACACAAGTTTTTCAGGAATCGATAGTATTTCTAAAAGCCTTCTAAAAACATTACAAATACCTTTACTTCTTTCCTGTGGAGTGGCATCCACAGCTTGCCATCCGCCATAACTAGGAGCAATATCTGGCCTAGCCATCCAACAATCATTCCAGCAATGGAAGTTCCTGATAAAATTCAAACAAAGATTAAACTGAGTTTTTTGCGTTAAACGGTTGTAAACAATGATATTCAGGAAGCAACTTCAATCGAGTAAAACATTTATCACATTTTATTTTTAAGTTAATTTTCCGTTTTTCTCGAATCGTTTCACTAAATAGCCGAGTCCCGAGATCGCATCCTTGTCGGCAGCGTTACCAAGACTTCCCTTGTCATGCATGAGTGAAATAACACTGTTTTCTCTTAATAATTATTGATGTCAGTGTTGCAATAAGTTTTATCATAATTCTTAGATTTTATTGATCTGACACATATACACATCGTGGGACAGAAGAGGCCAGAAATAATTTTGTTCGCCCTTTTGTTACTTGTGTGTGCCATAATTTGAGTTTTATGCAAGTATAAATGTGTCACCGACTTATTTCTACTTCACAAACGCAAAATGATTCTAATTTATTATTTGTTATTCTACATTCTGGGACTTTTACAGAGAATCCAACCATTACGTCTTCGCTACAGCCCTCTTGGCCCTCTTTCCTGCAGTTTTTGCTTTTCAATTCGATTCTTTGCATGTTCTTTGCGTGTATTTTAATGTAGCCCTTCTCCCTGCAAATCTGCATGATGTTTTGATTAATTCAACTCAGTGTCTAGAGATAGAAAGTCTACCAATAACACGTGCACCTTTGCAACACGCTTGACTTGAATAGTGCATACAAATCCATAATTCATGCACATCTACAACAAGAAAAAACGTACCATGCTGAATCCCCAGACATCTTTGGAAGAAATTCTCCATTTTCGTCATAGAATCGATCATATGTGCAGTTGGAGTCAGAGTCGTGTGCTGAATTGAAGTTGCTTATAGGTCTCGTAGGCACGCCAAGGGCTCGCATGACTGAAAAAGAGTGGCTTTTGTCAACAACGTGGTACAATCATAAAATTTTCTTTTACGGAAGATGCGGAGATCTACACGAAAACTCAGTCGTTTATTAACGTTTTCAACCTCCCATCTACACGCCAGCGATAACTCTGCAAATGAAACGCCACTTTTGAAAAAGATTTTATGCCGATGCAAAAAGGTATTTGTTCATTGAGCTGACAACGCTATCTTTTTGCGCGTAAATTATTGAAGAACGTTGCTAGCGATGTTTAGGCTGAGCTTTCAGATATATCAAGCTTGATCCTAGCAAAATGCTTATTAAATTTTTAGTAATGCTTTACCTAAAAAGATCTTAGTTATAACTATATACCCTGCCTCAATAAAAACTTTAATGATTCAAAAGGACGCACTTGTCGTAGTCACACCACAGAATACCCAACACTGGCCGTACTTAACCGGCGTCTTTGTTCTCATATATTGCTCCAAAATCTCTGTGCTTCCCGTCCATGACCATGGCTCAACACCGCCAGCGAAATCTCTGCCCCAGTTACCCATCACGATGCCTCCTTCGTCATTTGCATTTACCTTAAAGATTTCAAAGATAGATCTAGTTCTTGATAGATCTAATTTCTATCTATCTTTTTCCACTCAATTTCAGCCTTGTTCGCAGCAATTATGTAAGGTTAATTGTAGAGTTGAATCTTAAGTGTAGGATTTAGCTAAACTAATTTCACAATAGATAAAATTACTTGCTGCCGGCTGCATTCCATTACAAAGCACTGAAAACGATTTATATTTGATAATAAACCAACTTTAGCTAGCATATTGCTACTTTTCTCAGAATAACGTGATATCAAGAAATTATAAAAAACATAAAAGTCGAGAACTGATGCTATTCGAATCTGGTAGGGAGGATCCAAGCAATCTGTTGCAAACGTACTTTCTAAATGAAGTTTACCGCTGCCTAGTTACGTTACACGATGAGCAAAGGTTAAAAATTAGCAAAATTATTATCCAGTGTCAACGTGATTGTTATTTTTGTAGCCATCCTTGTCACCATCTGTACCAAGCTGTTTTTTATCGCATTTAACAGGCTCTGTTAATGGTTTGTTATTTCTTGAGTATATTGTACAATAAAAAAGAAGCTAACCATAGCTGAAACCCTCCTGGCCACTTCCCTTGCAGTGTCTCGTCCTCTAATGCTTGTAGATTCTAGTATATCAAATGCTGCTTCCAGAGATATTTCATCGAACTGATTTGAAAGGAAACATTTTATCTTAATTCTATAAAGTTTCACAGTTTGATAAAGTAGCAAAAAGGCATTCATTAATATAGTGGTCATTGAAATAAATTAAAATCGAGCCTGCAAGGCCTTCTGGCCCTGACTTTACAGATATTCAATGACTCAATAGTGTATTTTTAGTGTTTTATTTTTCTCAATGATAGCGATATGGCAATGTAATTGCCTTTTTACGATTATCAGAATCTCTAGTATACGCTTTTAATATTTCTTGTACCTGCCCAAAGTACCATCTCGTTGCACTGATACTGTCTGCAGAGCCTTGATACAGGATTCCGTGGTCGTTCAGAATATACTCTTCTAACCAGGACTCTTGTGGCATGTACACCTCGTCATCTGCAATTAATTCAAGTAATGTATAATTCTTCAAGTAATTCTTCAGTTGTTTTTATTTCTGCCTTTGTGTATCTAGCCTGTGTGCAGACTTTCCTTTCCGTTGCGAAGGAGAGCCGTCCGTCCGCCCTGGTTCTCCTTCCCAGCGGAAAGTAAAGTTTGCACGCAGGCTATTGTGTATCTTCCTACTTTAAAAACTTTTTTAAAATTGTTGATATTAAATGCGTATGTAAGATGGCTTAGAGCCGTTATCAAGCAAGCTGTGGACTGTGGTCCGAGATGTACAGCCGAAATTAATACAATTTATCAGAACTTTCAGCAACTGACGTTGGGGTATGTCTATGTTCTTCTTGAAATTTTGCCGAGGGAAGCATTATTTTCTGGGTTACTGAAATGAGATATTTCACCTATCCTAGTGGCTTTGATGCATATACATATATGGCTATGCATTCTAAAAATATAATTAAGGGCACAATGTTCAAAGTTACTGTGGTAGGAGAAGGCACACTTAATGATTATTGAATATATTCAATTTGAAGTATTTTAATCATAATTTAGTGCCAGAGAATCAAATGCTCAGAGATAAAGATCAGGGGTGATGAAGGTGATGAATTCTATTGAAAGGACTTTTAAATATTCTCTCAGTTTCTTGATTGTTTTTTCGATGCCCTAATTTGTTCATCCGCATATTAAACGCATTTTACACAGGTAAACATGATTTACAGCTGCTCCACACAGAGGAGATCATGTGAACAGTTTCTGCCTTTTTGCAAATCAGCAAAATAGTCAGCTTCTCGTCTTTTTACGTGACCAAATCACCAAAGTTCGCACTACCGCAGGTTCTCTCCTACTTTCATACTTTTCATTTCTTCCTATCAAACTTTTCTGTTTCTCTGCTCATTCTTGTTACTGCCGTCGCCTTTTCGTTGCAGCAACAGTCTTTTAAGCACAGCCATTGCTTCTCTATTATTAATCGTCCTATGTCAAAGAATTTTTTCCTCCATCCCACCACACTACCTTTTAGACAGCTCCTTATAACTTCTTTAACCAAGCTTGGAACATTGAAAATAGGTCTCCTTGGTTACTGGAACAGCAAATTGCGGGCTTGGAACTCATTTTCCAAATGAGGTTAGAAACTGACCTCTAATTACTGTTGCTGAGGAATGGCGTTTTGGCGTCGCACAGTTGAACGGAAATTTCTTTTTTTAATGACTCCGTCGTTCATCAAATCGCAAATTAATTTTTAATTAAAACGCTAATTTTTCTCAGAATCGTCATATGTTAATGATGGCTTGCCCAGGGTGTGAGCTAAAAAAATAATTTACCTTCTTTGTTGCTGGATACGAAGCACCTGTATCTGGTCTCTGCAACTCAATCTACTGTAGACATAGCTTTGTAAAGCATCCCTATAAACGCTATAAATTTTTATTGCAACAAATCCTCCACTTACCTTCAGCCCATGGATTGAATAAGACAAATAAATGCTCATCCTTGTCATAAATAGTTCTCCCTGCTGCTTCAATTGATAATTTATATTTCCCTGCTATCGTATCTGCCGGACTGCTTATTTTCAGCTGCAACCGTTTCGCTGTAGTACCAACGATAACCATGCCCCAATTTCCTTTGTCTAAATCTTCTGTCTTGCGAATAAGGACTTTTGAGCGATCACTCTGTCGGGGTTTTCTGCCAGTTTTGAGAACAACTTGGAAGTCATGTTCATGCTCCTTATAATCAGCGGTTAGATGCAGGTCAATGTAGAAGGGCTGCCCTCTTCGTATGACTAGGCCCTTTGATTGAAATTTGTCTGTGTGATGGCTTTTCTCATTCCGCTCCTTTTGCAAATCCACATGTGAAACAGGCAATGCTAGCAAAATTTAAGCAAATTTTAAGATACAGTGCTATCATGAGATAAAGAAAATCTAATAATTCTTATACTGCTAGCAATGATATTATTGCAATGAAAGCAAATTTTTACTGAACTATGCATTTTAAGAATCAATTCCGGCAATTTTATGAAGGGCACTGTACAATCGAGGACTCTATTAGATAAAAGTAAAGCGAAAATTGTTGTGCATTGTGAATCAGACTGACACAATATGCTCTAGAATAGCCTGATGCATTGTACTAAATAGTTATCATGATATGAGATTTAACTATTTGATTTCAACTCACGTTTTCTTTATTGGGTGTTAGAAAGAGCCTTTTGGGTAGTAATATTTTGTTCAAGCTTTGTTCGCCACTGGTTTTGTAAATATGCACTATCAAGATTTTATCTTGGTACTATGTAACTAAATTAAATTTCTTTTAGCGAAACTACTTTTTGCAACAAACTCTTCATTTTTAGGGGTCTTAGATGCTAAGAAATTATAAAACGTCTCCTCTTTGTCTGTGTATTGCTCAACCTGAAAGGCTAGGGCTATTTTTAAACACAAATTGCGTTGATACTGTTCTGAAAAATGAGTCAAATGTTTCAGGGTATATTACATGCGAATGACATCGGCTGGCGTAACTCAAATCATCAAAAGCATTACATGACGTGAACATCAGATACAAAATTCAAGTGGGTTTAAGTTAAAAGAATACCTTTGGCACATCTGGCACATCTACTCTAATATCTTTGTCTTCCTTAATGATTACAATCAACAATCCTACTTTATCAAAGCATGTTTCCTGCAGTATTATCTATTAACTGATTAGATTACAATTACTATACTTTTGCCTCAGTACCTTTATAAGAATAACAGCAGCGGCTATACGAACCTCCCATTCTTTTGAAGCTTCTAATAAGACTCACAGGCAATAGCAGTCCAAGCAGATACGACCAAGTGGCTCTCATCTCTTCTTCGCTGTTCTCCATTATATGTAATGATGCTAATTCCATTTTGATTTAGGGTTCGTCTATAAAAACTCAAATTCGGCAGCTGGAATCGTAATGATAATGAGGGGTAGGGCATGCTTTTGAACAATTTGGCAAGGGAAACGCCTTTCATTATGTTGCGCTTCTTTTACGCCTATTTTAGTTACATTGTCTTGACGGAAGTTCAAGTAAACAAACCGCACGCGAAACGTTGATTGCTTCCCAGATTCTGCTTTCTTGAAATTTATTTCTACTGTATATCAAGCATAAGGGAACAGAAAATATTCTATTTTTCTAAAAAAGGATACTTGAGGTTAGTTTTAAAATGCGTAGAGCTACGAATTGTATGATAAGAACTTTAAAAGTCCATAAAAAAAGCTGAACAATAATTAGATAGGAGGTACACACTACTCTGCTTTATCTTTATTTGAGGCAATTTCATAACTCATCGCCAGAGCTAGAAGTTAATAGCAGGAGTTTATGTAAATATTCGTAGATAGTAGAACTGGATCAGATCCCCTCCTCGCCTTTCAGAAACAGAACCTATTCGAAGCTCACGGAAGTGCGCCTTTTTGCCTACATGTGCTTTTCCCCACTTTTGAAATGCTGCCTGAGTTTATCTTTATATCAAGACAATAGCAACTAAAGCCAGTGGTAAAGTCATTGAGAAAAAAGACACTTGCTCTGATACTCACCGAAACTAAGGGGGTTTTTCGAATAATCAGTAACTAATGAATGTCTTCTATAATCATTCTCGATAGCTTTATATGAGACAAGAGATCATGGTAACGACAAATAACATATGTAGCTTACAGTCCCATGAATTAAACCTTCTGCTTCGTTTCCAAGCCAAATATAATTGGCTTTTAGTAATGATTTGCTGCATATAGTTATTTTTTCCTTTTTTCATTGTAACATTAGCTGATTAGGTTTTGTGGGTGATTATTTTGAAATGAAGAATGAAAACTTTTCTAATTAAAGAGGACCAATCCTGTCCAAACAACTCAAAACCCGATTGCATATTTTGGTATGCTAAGAAGAAAGAAGAATTTGGAAAGAATTTAATTTGCAAATGATTTTTCAGGCAAACTTAAAAAATAAGGAAAGAACAATATTTCGGGTGTATTGTTGACGATTAGGTTGCAATCTTTCTTTAAAATATTTTCAAGAGTTTTAAAATTATGTTGAGCCCTGCTTGTACCGTTTAAAACAATTTTTTTTCAATTAAAGCATCTGGATCTGTATGTGACCAATGCCCAGAAAAAGTGGTAACTCTGACAGATGCTATTTACCCCAAAATATGCTTTATAGGTAGCTTTTGTAGTCTAAGAAATAGTCTATAGTAGGGGTGTTAAACTCAATTGCACAGGGGGCCAAAGTCCAAAACACACTTTAGGTCGCCGGAAGAACAGGATAGACATTGATTAATATGAGGTTAGATCTGTGATAATGCAAAATTACTTAAACTGCAGCAAACATCTTGTCTGGTGTTATTCGCTAACATTTTTCGCCTGATATCTAATTTGAGAGAGAGTGTAATGTTCTTATATATTTTCCTTTGGTAATTCATATGTAATTTGTCTTAGTTTTTCGTGATGCCACGGAGTAGTCATAGTATTTTGCACCCAGCGGCATCGTCCTCGTAATGTCGTTAAATATTTTGTAAGTATTGTAACTAGCAAATTTATGTTGTAAACTTTTATTGGAATGTAAAAAAAATCATTTATTGACCACACTTTATAAAGTTGAAAGAAAAAAGAGAGGAGATGGATTTGTGAAATATATGTGATATGAGAAAGATATGTTCATTGTAAGAGATAAAGTAGATAGCACATGAAGGTGAATTGGTGAAACTGGATTCACGTAAATGACTTGCTTCCACATGAAATAACGGTTTTTGAGTTGATTTGGTTCAAAGATGATGGTAGCATTCAAGGAGAAATACGAGAAAATTCAGGTGAACGAAGATTGCTGCGTGCGTATCCCACCCTTTTGAAGACAATCAGAGGTAGAGCATTTGATATTTCCTTTTTAATTGAGTATCTGTCTGAAGTTGTTATGGCGGGAAGATGCATTCACCCTTTCTTTGATTTTCTGTTAAAATAAATTTTATATAAATTAATTAAAATAAATTAATTAAAATAAATTATAATAAATATGTTTAGTTTAGGTTTTGAGGAAAAAAATTAAAAGAAACTTTGAAGCACTGGTCGAAACATATCTGTAAAATATTGTCTGTAAAATACTGTAAAAATGTTTTCATTGAAGAAGACCATGATGTGTCACCTTTAGAAAAAAATGGACTATACTTGTGGACACTGGTAAACAATGGACTATACATGGAGCAAAACCGCTGGAATTTTTTTGAGATAAAATTGTTGTTGAAAGGCTTATTCTAGCGGTAATCATTGTCTCTTGGGTTTCAATACTGACAAAAGGTGAGGGGCTCTATATTTGACATTATCTAGGAGCATACAAAATTAAACCAAAACGTTCTAAGTTCATTTAGCTTCTGAAATTAGTGAAATCCAATCTACACCCAAGTTGGTTATTTTTTATGGCAACAAACTATTATTTTCACTAAACGGCAGGTTAAAAAGTCGTTCACCTGTTATCATTATTAATAAACTAAAGCCTGATATTTTCTTGGCAATATATTAACAGTCAGATCAAAGGTTAACGTATTAAGATTCAAGTTGATATGAATCACCTTGTGCTTATTAAGTTTCGCTTGTACTTTGTCGAATTCTTTACGAATCCTTCGATAATGTTTTCCACAAATTTTTCGGAGCACTCGACAAATATTTCCCTGACTCTTTTCCCAATCCAGCAGTAAGACAATCCTTGAATTTTCTCCTCAAAGCCATTGGAATTACCGAAGGCTTTTGTTGCTAAAACCCCTTATAGCGATGAACTTCCATTTTAGAAAGTTGTCGGCTTAGACCCTTGGCTTCCGTAGGCGTTTCCATTCTTTGGCGACCCGCGAGTCCCCTTACCCGGGTACCAGACTCACTATATAAATAAAAAGGAGTCTTATCTTTTATAGAGTGAGTCTGGTACCCAGTGTAGAGTCCCGAGTGAAGGTACATGATTTATTTTATTTGTCGGTTGAGTGGATGGTTGATGTGTGTGAAAGCTTGTCGATTATCAGCATTTGTTTGATTGACAAGTTTAAGAACCCAATTGTTCAGTGGTATTGTGTAGTTTCATGAAAAAGTTCACAAATAGTTTCCCATTTCCAAGATGCCAAGACTTGGTGAAAATAAAAAAAATCAGCCACTGATTAAAGTCAATAAAGAGTTTAAGTTAGAGAAAAAACAGGTCCAATACCGTTATTTGAACGAATGTAGGATAATAGTTTAGCAGTTGTTGCAATCTCACAAGATGCATCTCACAATGAACAATCGATATTAGTTTGTTTAAACGTTAAAGGCAATCTGTCACGACGTTGATTGATTATAAGAACAAAGGGATTTTTTATCGTTTCCAGTCCCCCTTTTATTTATCGCATTCTAAAAAATATGGCGGGAGCGCCGGAATCGTGTTTAGGCTATTGTTCCAGCTATTGTTCTCGTTAACCAATCCACAACGAGACAGATTGCCTTTAATTTGATAGAGAAAAAGAACATTATATGATCGAGTAACTATACGTGAAATTTGTCAATTTTAGAAAGAAATTGGTAGAATGAACTGTCGAAATGACTTGATACATTCAGGTGGATCAATTTGTACCTCTTGATGATTAGTTGGGTCAAGAGAAGAAAAATAGAAGCATCATGTCTAGGAAACATGAATAAGGAAAGATGGCCTTCTTAAAAAGCACCGATTGTCCAGCGAAACCTCTTTGGAGTTTAAGGGACCCTTGACATACAAGTTAGAGGGAAAATTGCAAATGGGACTGAAGATCTCCTTACAGGTTGATCCATGATTCCCAACTATGGGCTAGTTTAGAATATGACGAAACAAAATATGGAATAAAAATGTAATATAAATGCTCCTTCAAGGTCAATTTTTAGGTCACCGAAAATAAATCGATGCTCAAGCTAAAAGGCAAAAAAAAGGACAATGGCAAAACGAGAAGGTAACAAAAAGAAGTGGACAAAATGTTGTCATCTGTCATTGAAGACAAAGATATTTTATTTTGTGTTATCAACAAAATCCCCGATAGTCATTGCAAGCAAAATTCTCCAACGCAGCAACCTCAATATTAGCACCCTATTTTTCAACTGTTCCGTCTCTGCTGTATTCATATCGCATTGCTGAAGTGATGCCACTCTTTAGCTGATTTTTCAATACATCTTTCACTAAGACTTTGTAAAAAAATCATAGTTAATAGAACATTTGAGAGATTTAAGTAGCTTTAGGATCACATGAAGATTACTAGGGGTTTTCGGATTTCTAAAAGATTTCTTCCAGACTTTCGGATTTTCAGAGGGGTTTTTTGAACGCAATGTCCCTCGCTCTGCTCGTGGTTTTGACTATTGATTAACGAGAAACAATCGATACTAGAGAAGGATTTTTAAAATACTTTTCTAATTTAGTTTAATTTAGATACTCCAAGTGATCTGAATAATTCAGAAATGTGCAGTTCCTAATTATTTTTGTGACCAAAAGAATGCTACCCATTCTTTCAACTGCATTTTTCTCAGAAGCAATTTTGTCACTACTTACGAAACATAGCGCATGCAAATTTTTTCTGAGAACTGCAAGGAGTAAATGTTTACTTAAAAGATTCGCTATGAGACGGACAGTGCATTTTGGATATTTAATGTTTCATGTATTATGCCTAGATCATGCTTAGCTTGCCCTATTTTGGATAGAAAGAAGGCAAATATATCAGTTTTTTGACTAGTAGCCTGTCTTTACAAAAATGAAGGTATCCTTTGCTTGTGTGAGAATCGCCGGAGTCTCAGTAAACGTCATTTAAGGTACAATACTGTTGTCTTTTTTATTCTTGAGCAAATCTACGACTGTCGGTGTAGAAGGAAAAGCTTTTAAAGTTATTCAAGTCAATTCTTTTATTGATTGCTATGTGGTGCAAAGTTCTGAAGCCAATCTATACGATAAATCGTTGCTGTAACGATGTATGAAAGACCCAAATACTGCTGAATTGTCAAGAATCGATCCAAATTTTGAATCAGTAGGAGAAAGGAAGGAGATTTAAATTTTCGAAAAGCTGAAATTCCAGAGCAAGATAAGAGACAGTTATAACAAAAAGGCATAAATAACGGAAACGTTTTTGTATTTCATAGATCCTTGTTATTGGGGTTCAACACGATTTTTGAAAAGCTAGTTCTTATAGCAGCTTAAGGTTTTCCAACAATGCAAGAAAGTTGAAAGGTGCCGTCCTCTAGAAAATGGTTCTAGAAAATGTTATGTAGAACATGGTTCTAACAAAATGACTTATTTTCGGCACATTGGTGATTAAATTCTCAGCCCTGGAGAAATCTTCAATTTACAGGAGGCACCACGGAGCATTGAAAAAAATTGGGGGGGGGGGGTGCTAAAACCGTATTCGAAATTGTTGGTCCATTATTGATTCCTTACGCTTTTGTGCTTGGCTTACAGTACTCCCAATATCAGAGTTTAGGAGCTCTTAAGCAACTTTGTATTTTATTTGGGAAGCTTTATGATCAGCCCCCTGCCCCTAACTTTAAGTGGAATTAATTAGGGCGTTGGTCCTGCCTTGCCTTTCAGGGGCGGATCCAGAGCAAATTTGAAGGAGGGGCAATTTGTAATAGGGAGGTTGAATTTGTAAAATTTTTCAGAAATTGGTGACAAGTGTACGCTATATACAACAATTTCAGACCTATCCACTTTGTAAGAAAATTTTTACAGTAATTGTCTTATACCTTGATTTAATCCTTAAGTGAATTAACGTATAAAATAAATCTCAGAAACGTTTTCACCTGATTCTCATTCTTCAAAAGGGACGCACAATTTCCAAAAAGGGGCGCCAGACTTGGTGCGGGAGAGGTAACTGCCCCTAGTTGCCCCCTTAAATCCGCCACTGTTTCCTTTAGTGACATAAAAGTTACGCATGCACACCTGTGAACATGTAAGGCACAGTGTATTCTTATATCACTGGATTTGGTCTCTTTGAATTCAGAAACCGCAACTGTCCTCTCTTTTAGACTAAGATTGAATTACATGCTAAGCAAACAGAACAAAGTAAATGGCAAATACAGCGATTTAAAATATTTACGATCAAATTGGACCAGTAAGCAAGTTTGCTTTAATATGCTTTGGCTAGATTAATACTTCTGCAGACAATCAGGCTATCATCAATGAATGATTGTCTCGCAGATTTACTGATGTTTGAAGAAGAAATTCATTCATGGATCTTTGATATGTTTTATAGATTTGATTTAAGTATTAAAACTAAAAAATCCACATCGATTATCTCAACCCTTTATGCATTCTTTAGCAGATATATCAATAGAGCTAGGCCAGGGTTACCACATTGAACAGTAACGGGCAAAAAAGGGGGAAAGGAACAGGGGCTCGGAGGAAGTTTTTTAGGAAGGGGAGGATAAAAATGAACTTTTTTTAGAATTCGAGAAAAGTAAAAAAATTCCGAAAATTTTCAATAAATTGGTGCTGTAGGGGCAGGGGCACTGACCCTTGTTAGGAGTCTGAAGGCGCCAGCCAAAGTTTACAAGGTCACACTATTTAAAGATTTTTTTAACAACCTTTTTCTAATCAAATATCTTTTTAACGAGGCTCTAATTTCATAACGGATAGCATGCTCATGGTAGACCTATACAGCAATGAAAGTTCCATCTTAATTTAATATTTTGAAGGAAATTTAATATTTTAGCAAAGCAGTGGGTAGCCCCCCCCCCCCCCTAGTATGAATCTCGTTCCGACGGCACTGAAATGCTCTGTATTTTGAAAAGCTAGAAAATAATTTAAGGTCAGCAATCGAAAAATTGAATTAAAACAAAGACCTCATCCGAGAAAACAGAATTCGGATTAGTATTCTTGAAACAGAATGCCGATTGCCATCTTGTTTTGAAAAATTCACCCTAAGATGCAAGAAGCACTATCCATTTTAATAGACAAGTATTTTTTACAAAAAACTACGCTAGAACTAAATACACCATTGCTTAAATATTTCGAGGATTTTGGTGCTTAAAAAGCAAATTATAAAGAGCTTCTTCTTAGAAACACAATTTATAACGTACTATGAAATAAAACACTGAATCAGTCGCAAGGAATTCTTCTTTCTATAATCTTTAAACCGCATCAAATTTTCCCATTTTGTTATACACCCATTTTTGTAATAAGAAACAGTCTGCAGGAAACTTAGCACTAAGGTGACCTATCGATCGTATAACCGATCACCTTCAGCAATCAAAAACTTCTCGAAACTCCTCCTTTCCAAGACGAAGTGCACTTGATTCCTTGATTCCTTGATTCGAAGGTTTATAAATAGAATAAAGATCTTCTTATAAGGCATTCCAGCTCATGTAATCACATGTTACGTTGCATTTGGTATTTGATGAAGCCCTTAGAAAACTTTTAGCAGTGAAAAGAGCCCGGGTGTTAATCCTGTGCTTAGTTTCCTATAAAAATCAATTTCAGATTTTGTTTTTCTACCCCCTTGTTACCAGATCATACTGTAAATAAGTTATCATATTTCCAGCCCCGAGTACTAACCCCCCCCCCCAGGCCAAGCCACAAGTACCGCAGCTATCATCATTCTGGGGACAAATGCTCTCCAGAAACTATGCATATTCATTGCTAGAAACGAAAAATCCCCTTTCGATCCTATTCTTTAAAGCAACAGTTTCCCCACTAATGCTCAGGTCACCAAGACGTTTTAGGGGCCTTGGGGAAAAGCCAGAAGACGAGGCCCCTTGCAAGTGGAGCAAGCAGGATGTTTTTGCGACCACGCCCTTTACATAAGCTCAGATACATTCGTTTGAGATGCCTTTTTACTTCCAGACTTAATTTTGTTACTTTTATTTAATTCCACAGATTTCGACAATTTGCCCCCAAGCCCCCCTTTTGGCAGCCCTGCTAATGTCATCCTTTCTGCGATACTGGTATCCTTTCTCTAAAGCATTTGCTCTAAAGCAAAAAATTGTTAAATCTACATGCTTTATCATATTTGTGCTTTTGCAAGCTATCTTAAGGTATACATTTAGTCAGTGACGGTACGTATATAAATCTTATACAAGAAATATAACAACTGTATCTTAATTATATAGATTGTGTGTAGTTGCGCTGCTGATTATTTGCAAATCCTTTAAGCATTTTCCTTTAAGGAATATTTCCCTTGACCTTTGCATATTCGAAATTTTTTCTTTACTTGGTCGGTGCTCCTGTTTTTTAATCGAATGCAACAGCTGCCATCTTATCCATCTGCCCGAAAGTTTGAATGCTAACAATTTGTATGCATTGTTTGGGAAAGCTGTATATAATGCTACAACAAGTTCCAGCTTGTATCGATCTTGCTGCATAACAGCATTTCTGTCACGTGGCTATGACTAGCCAATAAGCTTGCTGGCGTTGTCGCCCTCCGGCGTCGGTCTTGTTGCCGCCACTTTGGTTGGAATAGTCATGTGATCTTGACAAGCCAATGGGAGGCGTGCTTTACTCGACAGGCGTCGCGCTCTTGGCAGCCATCTTGATAGAAAAGGTCATGTGATTTCTCTCAACCAATGAACTGTCGCCATCTTAAACACAACGCTGCTCACTTGAGGGATCTGCCATCATACATCCCGATTTAGAAACAAGATAGCTATGAACGCCAACTTGTGCTGTTGATAGCATATGCTCTCTATTTTTCGTGGCATATCAGCTAAGGAAGTATTTGGATTTCATATTATAACAAATGCTCTGTGATGCAGTAGTTAAGGTGAGTTTTCGATATAAATCATACCTTTACGTGGTAAAGTATCCAATGTTTTGCCAAGACAACTGAAGCCTAGGCCCGACTTTTGGTGCCAAAGCCAAGTCTCCCGTTTGTGAGACAAATCACAGTAATAACTACCAAGATAATTGGTCACTGGGTATGTCCACAGCTTTGAGATCTTTTACCCAGTTAATAAAGATAAATGAACCAGATGCAAAGAGATAATGTCAAAGACATGTGGTAGGTTGCACCGTTGGAAGACATGATTTCATGACCATTGTCATGGTATCGAGGGTTCGATCGCCGTCAACAGTAATGTTTTGCATATTTCATAAACGTTAAGATTTGACATCACTATCTAGTCAGGGTTATTTTGCCCTCAAATGGCTAAGTGAATCGTATAAGGAATACCGATTTTGTATAGCAATGTCAGTCAAGGCCTCGCGAATTGGTAGGGTTTGATCGTTCAATCCGAACGGGTCCAATTTCAATCAAGGCCTCGATACTTTGTAATGATTGTAACCATAATCTTTCGAAAGCAACCTTCGCAAATCTTAATGATTTTCTGCATTTGATCTTTTGGTAGGGTATAAAACGTTTGATTGGATTGTAGTTTTTTGTAGTTTCCTCCCTATTTATTGGCACGATCTGTCTGTTGTTTATTTTGATTATAGACGTGAAGATGGCACATCATTATTCCTAGTTGAAAAACCCGTTATACATTATATTAAAGGTTTTGTTCTTCTGAAACATTATGTGGGGAATGAGGACTTGAAAACTTTACCAAACAGTTGTGCTTTGGATCTTTCGCCCAATGTTTTTCTGTTGTAGTTACGATAACAAATGTCCTAGCAATATGATTTCGCTGATGGACGTAGATCTTCAGTTCGAATCATCAAACTGTTCTTTAACTTTGAATGTATGTAGTAAGTATAGAAAGTCTAGATCATTAATTTTTGTAAAAACTGATTTGCTGTTGTCGCCAACAAAACACGCACAATGATTTTCAAAGTCGTGACTCAGAAAATTGAGTTCCTGTTTAGCCGTGCTCCACTGCGCTCAAATAGTCGAACTCGCTGCAGGAAATTTTAGATTTTGGGTGACATATCACTAAAATATGATTTCTTGAGCACTCTTTGGACGCCTTAAGCGAGACAAAACTAAAATCTAAATGCAAAGTGTTTTTTTTCTAAAGGAAGTGATTTTAATGCACAACTTGGTCGATGCACTTGCTGATCGGTGAATCACTGTCGTTTATGTGCATTTCAGCGGTCGCTTTGCCCTCGAGACAAATAGTGACGTATTCTTTAAGGTCATACCAGTGCCACTGGCAGGGCCCCAATGCACCAATGAAGCAATTGCATATTCTGATTGTGTGGTTCAGTGAAATGATTGCAGATAGCATTTTTCCTTGTCAATTGATGTGGTGAAATTTGATTTTGGGAAAATCATTTATGTTGTTCGTAACAAATTTCCCTGTATTTATGAGTCAATTTATGTCTCTGTTTTGGTTGTTCCTTATTTTTTCTAGCAAGCACAAGCATGCAAATCATGACAAAATCACATAAGTTTTCAATAGCTGATTTTTATACATTCTCCTTTATTGACTTAGCCCAGTAAACAAAGGTTGTCTTGCTAATTTTAGGTTTGAATATGAAAATTTGTGAAAGTATCTGATTTTCTAGTCAAGTCAAAGCATGGAAATAGAACATGTTAATGATACCTTCACTTCTCAGTTTGAAATATGTTTCCTCAAGCACTGCCTGGACTTGTAGTAGTCCCTATGACTAATTACCAGTGGCGAGGAATATTTTACATCCAATGACCAGGTTTTTCCTAACAAGTATATATATTATAGTGGAAAACTTTTTGTCAGAAATAATTTTAAGATGAAAGATGTGTTTCATTGTTTTAAAAAATGTTTTGACAGGGTTTTCTTTTTTGTTATGTCATTCAATCATCATGTATATAGATTTTTTCTTTGTTGTTCTCCTGTAGAGGCATCTGTAAAAGAACAGATTAAGGAACATTCTTCATTAACATGCCTATCCAAGCTCCACAATGGACAGAATTTTTAGTATGCCCAGTGTGTACAAAAGAGTTCAACGAAGACCCTCGTCCACCTGTGAGTCTTGGATGTGGACACACAATCTGCAGGCTTTGTCTGTCTAAGCTTTCAAAACAGCAATGTCCCTATGACCAGACTGAAGTGAAGACACTGATCAAAGACCTACCTGTGAATTATTCCCTGTTGCAATTGCTGATCCAAGGCTACAACTGTCCCAGTGTAGTAGAAATTCAAGATGAAGATGTGAAGCTGAATCAAGATAACTTTGATTATGCAAGAACGTGCATTGAGGATCTGGCACTTTACCTTCTACCTCTAACTGCCCTTGTGATTAATCCAGCAAATGGAAGTGGTAAGAATGGGATGATCAACAGCAATATTGGAAACTCTGGAAATGGCACATTGACCAAGCCCATGCAACGAAAAATGGTTACTCTTGTAAGCTGCCAGCTTGTTGAAGAGGAGGGAAGATGCAGGGCAATGAGATCTGCTAGAAGTCTAGGGGAGCGTGCAGTAAAAGAGTTGATCTTGTTGCATCAGAACCCACAGCACCTTTCTGCTAATTTGTGGGCATCTGTCAGAAACCGTGGTTGCCAGTTTCTTGGGCCAGCAATGCAAGAGGAAGTCCTGAAGTTGATTCTTCTTGCTTTGGAAGATGGAAATTCATTGTCACGTAAAGTGCTTGTATTGTTTGTGGTGCAAAGACTGGAACCTAAGTTCAGCCAAGCTTCAAAAACAAGCATTGGTCATGTGGTGCAGTTGCTGTACAGAGCATCTTGTTTTAAGGTATGTAGTGCAATGTTATCTTTTTGGAACTATTTGCTTTCACATGAATTTGTAAAAGTAAAATTATATAATGAGGCTGTTAAGAAGAAATGAACCATGGGATGGACAACATCATTCGTACAAATGTCTAGAATGGTTGATGTTCATCTACCAACCATTCACTTTTATTAGCTGTTAAAATGCTCTGGTCATAAACTTAGCAATTGCTTGTTAGCAACTTGCAATGTTGTTTCATTTTGCTTGATTATCTTGTTTTGAATTACGCTCTTTTTATAAGAACCAGTTAATTGAAGTTCAGGCTGACTGTTCTTGATTTCTTTCAAAATTTTAGGCTTGATTGTCATTTTTTGTTCTTAAATTATTTGGGTGTGCAGGCCTAATTTCCCAATAAAGTGCATGAGACATCATTTATTTGCCAACAAGTTTGAAAATTCACCAAATATACCCCTATATGACAAAAAGCACAACACTTTTGGGATAAACTTTTTTAATTTTACACAACATTGTTCAAATTTCATTTTACAATAGCTCAGCCTTGGATTGTTCTAATTTTGTTCTAAACTTTTGACCAATTTTGAGGCCTATGTTCTTATATACTTTTTCTTATATATTGGTTCTTATAAAAATAGTGTATTAGGTAGCAAAGCAAAGCATACTAGAAGTCTAGTATTGTTAGCTGAAATTTTAGGAAAGTAAGATAGCCTAATGATGAAACTTCAAAAGAAATATGTTGAGGTTGGAAGGAGAGCTGCTGTGTGTAATAAATGTATGTTTTTGTTGTTAATTAACACATAAAGGCTATAAAACATTGCATTTATGGTGTAATAATTTTACATTTATGCAAGAAAACAATTGTTCATGCTAGTCATGGCAATTTAGTGTTTTCTCTACCATCAAAGAATGTGAAAGTAAATCTTTGTCATTTTCTTAAGTCCCAAAGAGGTGGGCTCTGCCCAACTAGGCAAAGGGGGGCTTTTATTCTTTTGCCTTTTTCTTGTGATGATGTCAATTTGATTATAAGATGGGTCTTTGCCTTTTAAGTAACAATCTACGTACTTTTTTCAGAATTACAGCAAATTTATTTAGCTTTGGGTGTTTGTGAAATACTTTCAAAAGCATTTGCTGATTCTGTTTTCTGACATTAAACAGTTAGTCCACTGGGTTTTTGATTTACTTTTTAGTGCACTCAAACATTCAGGTCATCTTATCTTCTGGTCATATGTTGTTGCAAAAAGTGCACATTTGTGTTGTTTCCGTAGAAAATATGTTTTTAAGGTTTGCTTTACATCATTTGCAACATTTCATCCTAGAAACCAACTCCAATTCTTACTAGACAAGTAGGTTCTATCAGGTGTTTTTGTAAGATAGTCACAGTACCCTTATGTGTACTCATCATTATGACGCTTTTGAGAAGCCAACTTCCTGTGTTACATTTCATCGAAATCCAGAATTTGAAGTATAAGAGCGTCTGGTTTCGAGTTGATAAACAAATCTCAAGTATGTTATGTCTACACTGATTTTTAAGAAGTAGAATCTGAATTCCAAATCAGGTCTGTTGATAATAACCCGCAATAATCCTTACATTGAAAATCTAGGGTGGCCTTCTTGAATAATTTTGATTCATCAAGACGGCCTGTGGCACTGACATGTGGGTGTTTAATAACAATTTGTAAATATGTAGATGCCTAATCGATCCCAGTCGCCTTGTGTTAGCGATGTCTTCGCTGTGGAATTCGCAAGTTAAGAAATAAGGAGAAATTCAGAACGAGAACATTTAAGCAAATCAATAAAAGCCCGCCATATCTGTTTATGTTGATTCAGTGAATACGGGCCCTCGCTTTTGAACATCGAAATTTAAAATTCAGCCAAGGTGTTCTTCCTAAAAGAAGGGAAGCTTTGTCTTGCATGCTGATGAATTCTTTTTAATAGAGAAATTCTAAGAATGATTTTCTATATGCTTTGATGAAGAATATCACAATAGATTGGAGAGAGGATGGTTACGTTCAAAGTGAGGCTGAGTGATCTTGCGCCTTTGTTATGTTAACTCTTTCCCCCAAGAATAACGAATGGAAAGAAGATTGCATGTTCCATAGTGTCGTGACTGATGACATTTTAGAGATGCCCCCGCGGCGAACCTCTCGCAAACCAAGTACAGGCATGCGATCACTGAAACGTATTTGTAGGAGTATTCGCACAAAAAGAGTTGCGTGTTTGTGGAGAAGCCTTTGCCTGGGCCAGACATTAGCAATAATAGTCTGAATGTTTGTTTTTACCTAGAATTTTTATTGAAAAGCTTCATGCTATACCCTAAGTCATACCAACTCGTTTCGATTAGAATATTTAAAGCTGGATCTGTGAGGTATAAAGGCATTCGAGGAGAGATATAGAAGACGTTACGAGAGGCATTTCACTCTTGCAAATAGCGCACGAGATTTTCCCTAAAACAAAAGGATTCCCGGGAATTTCTGATAAAACAATAGGATTCCCACAAAATGTGTACGAGATTTTCTTGGACTGATTTGCCCCTCGATTTGTGATTAACCGTCACTTCCGATATTCTGAATTGCTAGACGAGAAGTGTGCATGATTTGAAAAGAAAAAGATTTGAAATCATTTTAGCAATAAGAGTTTGGTAAGCGCTTCATAGTGACGGAATGGCCAAGGTTGGAGTAACTGCCCCATTCTCCAAATTCCATTACGACTGTTGATATTTTGAAACCAAAATCGGATATTGGTTAAGAAGACCTTTCAAAAAATCCTCACGAAAATTACGGTACGCTCGCCCTATAGTACTAATTTCTAAAAGCAGTCCTCTCAAGTAGGAAATCCCTAAGATGACAGAAAATAAGAAACCATGGTATTGATCACCTTCAACCCTAAAAAACATGCTTGGAAATGATGTCTTCTAGGCGGCAATGAAACTTTAGGTTATTATACACCCGTTTCTGGTTCAATTTTACAAAAATAATGAATAGAATAACCCCTAGCGACTGTCAATGTTTTTGTTATTTTTTAGTTTTGTCAGGCTCTTGTTACGCCACATCTTTTTGTGTTATTTGTTTATTCAAAATATAGTAATTGTATTTGAGTAACCATTTAGAAACTTGTATATTTGAATCAACAAAAGAATTAAGAACTGAGTATTAATCCTTAGCTTAGTTTCTTTTACAAGTTGTGTGCAATAAAAAAACCCATTTCTGCTAATGATGTTAAGCAGTAAAACGAAAAAGCCTAGAGACTTGAGGTGGTCCAAGTTTTTTAAAGACTAAATATTGTGTCGATTGTAGTTTATCGCGAGTTTATCGCCTTTGTTTGGCGTTTTCAGCATTTCAGCCGTAAGATGAGTCATGTTTGTTGATGTTGCCTGAAGCAGCCTCAATGCAGTTCAAAAGCTAGCCTTCCTATTGTTGCACCTCATCCAACCTATAATGAGAAGCAAGCGAAAATTGAGATTATTAGATTGATAGCTGGGTGTCGTTGTTTGCAGTTTTAAAGCAGCGCAAATGAAACTTGGTGTGCTCTCCAATGGAATCTTGTTTGCATTAGCCCGTGTTTTTCTTTCGCCTATTCTTATGAAGATACAAAACAGCTGCCCCTTCTGCCTTATCAGTCATGAAATGAATAACTTGGAAGAAATTTTAATTGATTTTCACGGAGAAGAATTACTCAGAATTCGTAATCATGTGCTTCGATTGTCTAAAGGACACCATTGTCTCAAGGACACGTAATCTCGTTTGCTCTAGCCGTTTCTGAGTGTGTTGAAATCTATAACATTTTGTTTAGGCAGTTGTTTCATTCACCAATTAATCGACTTGCAAACAAGAAATCAGCAGTCAATGAGATGAAGCTTGTCCAATCTTCTTTCCGGAAGTTTTTGACCTCTCGTTCGTGTCATTAAGCAGTTACGAGTGTTTATGCATTATTCATTTTATTTGTCAGCTCACTCCATAGTTGATCAATAATTTATAACACGTCTTAAAATATCGTCTGTTTCGAAACAGAAATGAGTCAGACAGTGCAGCCTGCTGCCACACTTTCTTTATTTAATGCATTGTGAAGCATGACGACACAATCTTAAGAACTGATATAGCTTTACAGCATATGCATTGCTTTATTGCAAGGTTTTTCTTTCATCATATCCTTAAAAATTAGTCAGACTTTTACAACAAATAACTTTCTCGGATTGTTACCAAAATATTGTTGAAGGTGGAGTATTGTCTGGCCGTTTATCATTTGCCTTTGTTTCCACTTGGTGCTCACTCGACACAGGCGACGGGAGCTTAAGCCACATCCCCCCCCCCCACCCCCAATAGTTTCCAAAATATACTCAAAACCATACAAAAATCGCCCTGCTCTTGGTTTCTAGCATGATTAGCCCTGCCCCCCCCCCCGAAAAACGTTTTATCCCCCTCAATCAGTAAAATGCTCCGCGGTCCAGGTTTTTGGCAGAAAAAGCATTGTATGAAGCGAGATTCGGAAATATGGCGAATCAATGAGTGCCGAATGATTTCCGTTGAAAGTAAACAAAGTTCAGTCAGTATTTTGCCGCGTGTGATCACTTTATGAATGAGAATAGAGGTATCATTCAAGGTATATGCAACTTTGCTATGCATTTCGTTTCGAAAGGGCATAGTATGCTTTATCAAAACCAATATTTAATCGCGCGGTAATAATCCAGCACGCTGCACACGACAAAAATAACTGATGCTGATGCTCCATGCAATAAAGGTTCGCTGTAAATATTGACAATTTTGTTAGTCACTCTTCAAATCATAAAGTACTAAGGGTGCGCAACGTGTCAAATGGAGGTTGAAGCCCTCCAGGAAAATCGTAGATAAGCGCCCCGTTACAAGGGTCTCCTATAGCATAAAGAGTGAATGACCGATAACCTTCCCGACGCCTTTTTGCCATCCAGATTAAGCCTCGATACGTTGTGTTCAGAGCACGCAGACACAGCATGTATTTCTATATGTCTGCGCAAGATTGTCATCTCAATTAACAAGGTTGGAAATGAAATGAAATTAAATCTCTCCTGTTTGTAATTTTTTCTGGAAATAGAGATTTCAGTTATTTTTTCGTTTTTGTAAACCCAATGACAGTCTTTGCGAGAAGAGTGTAAAATTCGCATCTTCATCTTCACTGTTGGCAGATCCATGAAATAGCATTAAAGGGCTCATCCCGCTCCCAAAATATGAAGTTTAACCATAGGAGAGACAAAATCATCCCGCGTGATATTTTAGAGAAATATATGTTCGTCCGTCGTAAGAGGATTTAAGCATCTTGCCTTTTTTAGGCCGCAAGAAGTCGAGTTCCTTATTTTAGTATTTGAAATGAATAATAAACTTTGTTTATACATCGAGCATGCGAATTTGTCTTATTATGAACTTGCAAGGGACTGTATTGTGTTTTAAGAAACTTGTTAAGATTATCTCGCCAAAGAATCTTCCAGCAATGCAAGTTTAGTGTTTTTTTTGCCATTGCCTGTAATGCATTTCAGTGAATGTTTATAATTGCCCTTACAGGTGACAAAAAGGGAAGGCGATTCATCTCTTCTGCAGCTGCATGAAAAGGTGTGTTTATTTCCTTGCCAACTTTTTACCTTTCTTATCGTTTCTGGTTTATGTATCTTGTCGTCTTGGTATCGAAATATCTTTGTCGAGAATCCGATATCCTGGCTCTTGAAAATTCTCCATCAGCACCTCTGCTTCTTAAGCTTTTGATTTCCGATTATTAACCTCATTTCTGTTGTTACACGATCGTTTATAAGAATATGGGTTATAATTATATTAAGAATCAAAATTGCTAGAATTAAAAATTAAATTGAGAATACTAGACAAACCCAAAGTTCGTCAGAAGTGATTTTATTAATCAGGGTTTTTCCTTGAAGGTTTCGAACTTCATTGATTGCTTTTAAACTGCTGCTTCGAAATAACCATGATTTTCATATGTAAAGATGTCACTCGATCATTTTAATTTAGAATATACGTAGGCTCGGTATCGAGAGCTTTTAAAAATATCGAAGCTTGGAAATAATCAAACAAACTCCCTCTAATTTTATTATCATCATGTTATGAATTCTTTGACCATGCTGCCCATTGGAAAATTTACCTGTTATTCATGTGCACTTTTTGATACATGACATTTTCTGACTTTTACTTTTCAAATTTGCCTTTTCTTAATATTTCCTTTATACCGCTACTTAGTTCCGAACGTACACTGCATTGAGAAAGGAACACGATGCGCAAATCGTGCAAATTGCTATGGAGGCTGGGCTCCACATTTCTCCTGAGCAGTGGTCAGCATTGTTGTATGGCGACGATGAGCACAAGTCTCATATGCAGTCCATCATCGACAAGGTGGGTATTCGGGTATCCGGCCCTGTTGTATGTGTAACACCATTTAAGAACTAATCTGTCCAGTTGTATTTGCGAGGCTGTACCTATTTGTCTTCAAAAGATTTTGATGTTAAAAGAGAAGTTTATTACCTAACGTTTTGAACACCCCCTACCCTCCCCCAATACTGAATAGAGTACCTTTTAATTTCTTTAAATTGAACATTACTGGTTTTTATCGGACTGGACCCTTCTTAGACAAAGAATTGGCGACAAAAGCGATGTTTTTGATGTTCTAAAATTTTTCCTTCGATTATCAAACTGAAATTCCATGTCTTACAACATGGCCAATATGAAAGAAAACATCGATAAATATCGTGGAAACATGCAAGGTTTTCACAAATGTTTAGAAAATATATGTTAAAGTGTAAACTTTTTGAAGCTTTGATAGGCGAAAGTTATATGGAAGGTTGCCGTTGTCCATATTTAATATGAAGGGCAATGAAAGTCTGTTGTTTCAAAATGTTGCGATGTCCTCTCTCACTCGCAGCTCCAAACTCCAGCATCATTCGGCTCCAGTATTCAAGAGCTCATAATAGCATTGCAGCGGACCCAGGACCCGGCGGATCTTCAGCGACTGCGTGTGCACCTTGAACGCCTTGCTACAATTGATCCAAGCTCCGAGGGACCGCCGCCTTCATGGGAAGAACTCAAAGATGTCATGTCATCACTAAAAGTTGTAGTCGAAGGATTGGTTGACTTTGTACAGGTAAGAATTTATTATCGTAACCTTAGGACTCTTTGTCTCTTGAATACTAGTCGGACTGGGTTTACATATTTTCAGCCGATTTTTTTGCATGACACTGTTCATGACACTGTACAGTGGGACTTCGATATAACGGTGGGGCCAGAGTGACTGTTCGATGTAGGGAGCTGACCATTGTAGGAAAATGTCCGTTGTAGGAAAGTTTCCGTTGTAGGGGAGTTGTCAGTTGCAGGTAAGTTCCATTGTATGGAGGTTTCCATTGTAAATAGGTTTCCATTGTAGATAGGTTTCCATTGTAGATAGGTTTCCATTGTAGATAGGTTTCCATTGTAGATAGGTTTCCATTGTAGATAGGTTTCCATTGTAGATAGGTTTCCATTGTAGATAGGTTTCCATTGTAGATAGGTTTCCATTGTAGATAGGTTTCCATTGTAGATAGGTTTCCATTGTAGATAGGTTTCCATTGTAGATAGGTTTCCATTGTAGATAGGTTTCCATTGTGGGGAGTTAGGTGTCCGTTGTAGGGAGGTGTCCGTTGTAGGGAGGTGCCCATTGTTAGGAGACATCCATCCATTGGCTATAGTAGAGAGTACTTTCCAGCACTATCGGCGAGACAAACAAGTTTTGAATAAGCATTTTTCTGTTGTTTAAAGGTTTAAGTATCCGTCAGTTATCTGCTAACTTAGTTGCAATGTCAACGCAGTACTCTTGGACGATTGAAGCATCTTAGGTGGACGCAGTAAACGCAAAAGTCTTATGAATATTTTTGAAAATATATGGCTTGGAAGTACCATTATAAAGTTGATGATGCAGATGCTAGATTTCATGTACCGTTAATATCGAACCAAAGTATTATAGTTCAACCGATTGATATACTTAAAGGTTATGTGTCCATATAAAAGGACTGCATATACCCAACTTTTCAAGTAATATCAAAATAACGGCTTGTGATTGGTCAGTATTCTTGCGATACAAAACTGCTCACATGAAAACCAAACTTCACAGCCGGGTAAATAAACAAAATGACCGTAATGGCTGTGGCGATGATATGAAAAGTCACATGTTTCTGAAAACCCCCGCAGAGTTGCTTGCTTTAGCTGGACACATTACCTTCAAGGTATTGATAACACAATATAAATTGTTTGATAACACAATATAAATTGTTTGCTGAATGGAAGGGGGTAGGGACAAGTGCCAAGGGTAAACAGTGGGGCTATCCCGTTAGGCACTATATCATAAATTTAGTATTTCTGTGTTTCTTTTCTTCAGAACCACAGTGGCAAGCTTAAAGGCTCGATGGAATCCCAGCAGGTAAGAATTTTTCTACAATATTGTCAGCCAGATCTTTGAGTGCTGCTAAATGTCACCTTCACCTTGCAGCGTTTGGCAGCTCGAAAGGAAAGTTATATGTGATTACTCTTTGTTGATGATGGCGTGGTTGTTTCTTACTTTTAAAAAAGAAGACGTTGTCAGGCCCTGCTTTCTTTATATTCTGATTTTCATATTATGTGATTTTCAGTTCTGTTAGGTTAAATATTTCCCAGTTACAGTGAAATCAAAAACTTTCTCAGTTAACGTGCATATACCATCTGGAAATGCACAACGAAAATCTCTATTCTGATTTACCTTTTTGGTTAAAATCTGAAGGGAAGATAAATGGAGCAAAATGGATTTTGTCACGAAAGACGCTTGAAATCAGGCAGGCAGTAACAGAATTCGGCTTTTTTGGCTCGTGTTTCTGCTATATCAATTCAAGTGAATTTGACAACTACGAAAGTTGACGATTTTCTTCTCAAATCAGATGTATTTGCGAAATTGCCCGAGTCCTTAATTCCATTCTAGTTACAATTCAGTTCATATTTGATTAAATTTTCACGAGCTGAAGATCATTTTCGTATTGGATTTGGAACAATTGTTGGTGTTATTTTCAATTTGGCATTAATGTGAAAATTTATAGGTTTCCAATCAGATGCGACAAGGGTACAACTGTTTGCATAACTGATTACCAATATTCCTTGCTTGTTATCGCGTGGTACCTCTTGAAGGATCAGGTAAGATATTGCCTTTCCCAAATATGTACAACTTTTCTTTTTTCATTTAGACTCCAAACAGCAAGTACAAGACAAGCATGTGCAGAGACATCCAGCAACGAAACAGCTGCCCCAGAGGTCCTCAGTGCAGTTTTGCTCACTCTCCTGATGAACTTGAAAGGTATGCACATACTTAATGCTTAATCTGAGCGTCGCCACATCGTTCGTTTTACTGAAACCTGATAAAGTTTTTACTTACTTTTTGTGGTGTATTTTTCTTAACTGTCTCCACTTGATCGAAACATTGTCAGCTGGGGTGATAACAGAAAGCTGAAAGAAATTGCCGATACTTGGGAAGATTCTAAGATGGATTTTTGCATTAAGAAGGCAGAGTCTAAAAGAATAATTTTTGTCGTGGTCTACGTTTAATGATGGTATAAGATGCTACATTTGCATCACTTTTTTGAGTTGGCAGTTGCTCACGGTTATTTCGATGCCGACCAGCTTTTTACGAGAGTGTCATATGAAACGAGGTGATGTGTCTACTTGAAGATTAGCAAATGAATACTCATTCATTTTAAGTGCAATGCAAAATTACGGAGAAACCCAACTATAGTCTAGTGTTTGTTTGCCTAACAAAAATTGTTTTTTTTGCTTTGGAGTTACAACGCTACATCAATTGTATCGTTACGGTCTCTCTAGTCTGTTAATCGATTTGTATATAATGTTCATTAGAACTCGAAATTAGAGTTTGATCGAGGCAGGGGCGCAGCCATTACTTATCCATCTGTACGTAAAGAATTTTGTCTGGAAAATGAAGAAATTTCCTTCTAACCATGTAGTTTAATTGTAACAAGTTAGTAAATGCAAAGAAAACTTTGAAAAACAATCCTGGGTCATAGAAAATTAACGAAATGGAGACATTTAAGTATTTGTGCAAGGATATTACTTGTTCAGGGATTTTCTTATCTTTCTTAGCTGCAAAGTCAAGCTTATCTGACCATTTATAAATTGGATTTTGAGTGTTATACTTTACTTTTATTGGATGATAGGCTTGATAAATTTTCAGTATTTTCAGCATGCTCGTTGCAGAAGCCTTCTTTAATCTTTGCACAAAACTTTTAATGTACATGTGATCTATATGATTTGTCTATTTAATTCTTGGAGTCATATTTGGTGAAAATAGCCATTTATTTTTAAAACAGGAACCAAGTCTTTATTATCGTTTTACATAGATTAAGACAAGCTCCAAGACATCACCTTCAGCACTTTGTTTCTCAGCTAGACAACATTGTTTTATGTTTGACAATTTTTCTACATGCTTCACCCTCCTTTCACTCGACGTTTTTTTATCACTCATTTAGCAGAAGCCATTTCTCATAACTGCTGTTTGAAGTTTTCATTTCAGAATAAAAAGGTTTTCAGTAACCGAGTAAATTATTGCATGAGTATTCCAATTCTGTCTGTACAAACTTTTAATTCTATTTACTTTTTCATTATCTCCTTTAGCCTCTTTTGACCGCAATGCGTTAATCTTATAAAACAAACGACATTACCCTTAATAAATGAGAAAATAGTTGATTGAAACGGTGCAGAAGAATTTATGTTTCGTTTTGAACTATATAAATGCACTCGTTGTCAGGAAATTCTAGGCGTTGCTCAATAATCCTGGATTCTTCGGAAGTGAAAATAATACAGCCAATATTTGTATTGTCTGGAATTCATATCTGGTTTAGATGAGCTGTCCATTTTTGGCTAGTATTGAATGACTGGAAAGGACGAAATAGGAAAACAATCATTGTACGAATTGACAAAAGTAAAGTCAATGGGCGCAAAGATAAAATTAGTAGAAATAAGCTAACTACTAAGGAAAATGAAAACAGGAAGCTAGACGGTATTGCGAATTTCCTTACAACTTTTCTTTGTTACAAATTGAGAATGTAAGTAGCGTATAGAAGAGGTGAATTTCTCTCTCAGTCTATGAATCTGCGTTCTTTATTCTTGTTGCCAAAAATTTGGAAATAAACAATTTTTTATAAGAATATAGTCTTTAAGAATATTAAGGCTCGAAATCGCTGGAATTTAAGAATAATTTGAGGAAAAAAAGGCTCAAGCTTAATCAAGAATTAGATTTTTGTTTATTTGAGTTTTTTTGGAAAGCTAAGCAAATGCGAGACTCAGCAAACAATTAGACGTTCTTATGAAAGAATGTGTAATTTTAACCAGACATCTGAAACACAGTGCATTATAACAACTACCACCTTAACACAACTACCACCTTAAGACCACTGCTACCTTCACACAACTACCGCCTTAACATAACTATTACCTTAGAAAATGAGCAATCAGACAGTCAACAATCGACAATCAAATGACAAAACTGTGGAGGGTAAGTAATTGACATGTAGAATGAGTCCCAGAACGAACCCTCATTTTACTGTTCCGCCTGAACATATGTTTCTTTCGCGATCCTTTCAACAAAATGTCTCATCTTCAAATACTGTTTAAAGCTTAATGAAGAAAATTTACGCAGTGGCTTGTATGATTCATCAGAAGGAATACTATGATTTTAAATCAGGATTGTCTGGTGGAAGGTTTCTGTTTGAGGCCTTATTCATACGACCCCTTAATTTAGTTAAAATGTGGAATTGAAGTTAATACCAATCAGGTTTTGCTTTCCATCTCGTATAGGCCAAGGAGCACAGAGAAGGAGGCTAGTGTGCTGAAGCCTCGCAAAGGTTTTTGAAAATATACTTCAAACAATGCTTAAGGCTTTTTAGCCCATACTATGCTCTGCGGTCCCTGTTAGAATGCGCTCTGCAGAGTCGAATGCGATTATTTACGGTTGCCCACCACGGCCACGGCACATTTTTTCACGGTTCAGTTATATATTTCTACGACACTTGCACCTCCACGGCACACGTTTTCCAGCATGCCGGCATGAGTTTTATTTTGGGTTTAATGTAAAGGGCCTCTAAGAGCTAATCTGGAAGTGTCCAAAAAATGGATCCGACGTGCTGCCACGCTGGCTTAAGAAAAAGCTTAAATGTGTTGTTTTATGTTGACTACGAATAGAAAATATGGCCAAACGTCCTATTTCGTATAAAGGACAAGAATTTGCTAGGAATGTTCGCAATATCTATCACTTTTGTCTTTTTAGATTTAGGAAGAAGCGAAATGCAAGTCACCAACTAATTGCAATTGGCTTGAACCGAAGTGGCTCTTCTATCTCGCCTGAAACTGTCAATTCCCCAAACAGCCTTGAAAATAGCATAAACAGCAGTCGTGACTCCCCAGACGAAATCGTCAGGAATGGATCCCTTCATTCAGGCTCAGGTACGGTGTTTTCACCATTATTATAAGAGATTATACGTTATTTTGTTATAGGAGATAGTAATTGTAAAGTTGTGTCCTGTATATCCGCTATGATATTCGCAACTTAAGCGTTGATATGGAAGTCAGTGACGCCCGTTGCAGGGCAATATTTCGACGGACAGTAGGGTCTATGAACTATAGAAAAGAAAATTAAATCAAGATACTTTCAAATCATTGAAAAGAATTGATTAATTAAAGAATCATGGAAACCTATTAATCTATTAAATTTAAAATGAACACGACGATAGTCGTTAGTATCGCACGCCATCGCACGCGTTAAGTAATCAAGACCTGTGAAACGCCGCATGCGGTTCATTTTCATTTTACAAAGACTCTTTTTATGATCTTGAGGTACAAGAATTGCCTGCGAGAAAGTACACAACCCGTGATGAGACGGGTTGGCCGGTTCTTTTATTCGCTAACTCTGACCCCAATGTTGCTCCCGGGTACCCATTTTCTAATATAAATGGATTTAAGACATAACAGATGTAAATTTCTTCGCATTGAATTCTTAAAAGCCTGTTTAACGAAAGTTTCCATCAAAGTGTGGTAAATTTCGATTGCTGGGTGTCTGTAGCCTAAGCCGGCGACTTTCCGCCCCACAAACAATGCTTACTTTCGCGATTTAAACGCTAGGGGCTTTATGGCTGTGCTTTTCCATTCATTACATAAATCTTCGAAGAACGGAGAGCATGAACTTAGAAATTTCAAGTTGAAAATTTTTAGTGATTTCTTCACTATCTTAGTGAATAATCCCTGGGGAAAATTCCGTCTACAATATTAAAAATGTAATTAAAAGTAAAATCAAGGTTTTTTGCATTTTTGCCAGCTTTGTATTACATGATGGTGAAATAATGTCGTCATTAAAGTCTTAATTAGCTAATACTACAAGAATGTAAGCTTGTTGTTGATAAACGCGTTTCGATATTCGCAACTTGGATGCATTCGTGGCGTTTTTTATATTGTTTTACCACAGGAATTGCGTATTTTGAAGAAATCATGAACCAATTATTCCAAGTGACGGTGGAAAATGTGCTTCAATGTTGTGATATTTTCTCCCAATTCAAAATCAAATTAAAAGGCTGTATTCACACGTGCTTGTGTATTTGTAGATGCAAGGTCATTTAATCTGTATGCACGTCACTCAAACCACTCATAAACTGAATAATTATTCCATGCATCCCAATCGCCTCTTAATCTACCATTAACGAGTTCAAATTGTATTGTTATTCAAGCATGTCACAAATTCATATTTCCTTATTTTGTTCGTAAGATATCGAATAAGGACTGTTGAACTTCTGGTGAGTTGCTCAGTACGTCAGAGGAGAAGAAAAAGGAAGGGATGAATAAGTGAAAATGAAACTCCGTGTGAATCTGGATAACTTTTTTTTTCTTTATAACAACAAACTTTATAAGAATATCAAGGCCAAAAAATTGGTTTGGCAAAAAAATGGAAGTACACGACCAGCCTTAGATGAAAAAATTAGAAGAAAAAAATATGGTGTTTCTTGTTTGTTTTTCTTTAAATTACTGTCATGTTCACTAAACGGAAAAGGTTTAATCAGCTATTCAAGTATGTGTGTCCTTGCAAAATTGTAGATAATCAATTTAATAATGAGAGCAACGTTATTTGGACCAAATGATAATTATTAATTAACGATGCGATTGATTGCCGTACTGTCTCATTCGGCCTTGATTGTAATATAAAAGAGGTTTCCTAGACCACGTTGGTTGAGAAAGTACAATCATTTGTTGCTATTCTGATGACTGCTAATCCTTATATGATTAGGTCACTCTTTTTGCGTGCCTTCGCCTCTGGTAACTGTATAATTCTGTCCTGTTATCAAAAAAGATCACGGTAGTCTTTCCCAGCTACCTTGCAGTGACTGCCATCAAAAAAGCAAACTTTGCATTTTAGAATTCGCTTTTATTCTGTTAAACAATTTTTCACAAACAGACCTGATGCAAGGAACATACTACAGAAGTAACGGTGGCGGCTACGTTGGTAGTACTACCCCAGTTGTCAATGGCACGCATGTGCAGAATGGTGCGCATGTTGCAAACGGTAGTCAAATGACAAATGGCACAAATATGGCCAATGGTTCACCGATGATGAATGGCCATCAGGTAGTGAATGGTAACCAAATAAGTAATGGCTCTCATTTGGCAAATGGAACAAATGGCTCACGTGTCACCAATGGGACTCATATTGCTAATGGAGGTCCATTGAAGAACGGTGCACATATGGTCAGCCCTGCTGGAATTTCGAATGGCTATCAAAGAATAAACTATCAAAGGCCACCAGTTATTCAGACAGGTATAACTTATTGCTGTTGACGTATACGCTGGTTAAACCCGCATAGCACGTGGCTGAACTTCGCTGCATGTGACTAAACCAGGGAGGCTTTTGCAAGATATGCTTACAAGTTATAAAAATAGGAATAGATATTTTCCAAGTTTCGTGAGATATTGGTGTAAACGAGATTTGTGAATAGAGGGAATGCCAAGAAACGTTTCTTTTCAAAAATGCGCCATTGATGTTAGAATTTAAATTTGAAAGCTATGTTTAACTTTAACACGTATCTGTGTTCGAATTGGCATTCTTTGTGACTAGGTAATACACGGCTGCATCCTATGTCCATTACGGGTTGTCTAGGTAAATAGCTTCTCCTTACAAATGATATGTGCTCATATCCCTCGTATATGTTACCTTATATATGTAGTAACACTAACTGAAAATTTGCTTGTGTTTTAGATGGTTCAATGAATGCTGTCCCTGTCACTTATCTGCAGTCACCAGTTCCACAAGTGCCAGCTAGGAGCATATACGTGAGCAATGGGGAGCAAAGGCTCGATCTTTACCCATATCCACACAACCAAGCTACATATATCCAGCCTGGAGTGCCTTTCTTTCAAAACGACACACCACTTCTTCAGTTGTCCCGTACATACCAGCCGTACATGCAGCCACAGTTTATTCCATACTGTGCTACAGTTGCTGATAGAGGTACCAAGGAGAAAGACAGAGATGAAACGGAATTGGAGAGAAACCTGGAGTTCAAGAAAAGCTGTGTCAGCAGAAGTATCCTTTCTGACAGCATGTGTGATGAGCTGAAGGTAGGAAGCGACTGCATGACATTATTTCATCTTTAAATTTCTGCAACAAAATATGTGCTCTTCTATGAAATTGTTTGTTTCTTACTGGTTCCTTCCAAGAAAGCTGCAGTAATGATAGTTTCTTGTTTGGCTATATGAAAGAGGATGTCCCTTTGGTCAACCGTTCTCGGCCCGTTTGCAATTAAGATATCGTTGTATTTATTTCTATAGACTTTTGTATATGTATTCCGGCCGATTGGAATTTAGGTTGTTATGAAACATAGTGCCTTTAAAATGAGATTCCCTAAAGCAAATTTATCCCCATCTAGACCTTGAAAGTCGGGACTAGCTAGGGGTCATATTTAGGCCAAAACGGCACTTCTTGCTGCAAGCGAAATTAAATCACTATTACTGAGAAGTTGGGGCACATGTCCTCTGTGTCTCCCCGGTTCATATAACGTCTTTGTTTCAATGCATTGCGTTAAAGACACACGATGGTTAAAAAGCTAACTTACTTAAAAAGTGCTCAATTGTTGAAGGCTTATAAAATCTAGAAGCATTACTCGTCTTAACAAACAATTGTTCTGTCGTTTGACAAAGAGGACAAAACCAAAGTCGAACAAGCAACCACATGCATAATCTCACAATCGATGCTTGTTGGCTGTTATTTCTAGCTTGCCCTGACCCTTTTCACAAGACTCCTTTTTTATCTGTCGTATGTCTTCAATGTATATATTCACAATTGTTATATTTAATGAATTTGTAACAGTTTCAAGTATGTTTAACAAAGAGTAACATTTACAGAATTTCGCACAATATTGAATCTTTCTCCAGTATGACAGCAATACATATTTTTTAAGTATCCCCAATACAAATTTCGTTATTTGTCACGATCGCTCTTAAAATGATTTGCATTGGCGCTTTGTTAAGGATTTGTATATTTCTCCTTAGCTTGACTCTGGCCTAACATCTAGAACATCAAGTTCCTTATTTAGCGGCAAAGGTGATTCTATTTGGAGGGATGCTAACGAGAAAGCAAGAGGACCAGGTTCTGGTAGTGGTCTTGATACCTCCTCAGAATATTCTTCGGAGACATTTTCACCTTTGTCTACCGACTCGAGTGGCTCGCCCCAGCCCTCACAGACATATGCCAATCCATGGAAGAAGTTTGAAGCTAATCACCCTGCCTTGAATGATAGTCATGAGTTTTCCCCTCAACCCTCGATGCGCAAGCAAAATAGCTTCAGCAGCTCGAGGATTTGGTCCCAGAGCAGCGATGACGATACTCCACTGGTAAGGAATTATCACTTCTCTGTTTGTCATCAATATCTTTGGTATCCACGCTTTTTCTACATTTGATTTAACACCTATCTACATTTCTTCCTTTTTCGTAATTTCCGTCTATAGTTTTGAGAACATGTTTTGTACCTCTGATCCCAGCATTTCACAACCAATTTTTTTTTACCTCTGAGAATTCTTTGTTGAATATGTTAGCAGTTTTTCTGTTGATAACTAGTTGAGTTGTCACCTTAAAGTGGATGAGCTAGCGTCCCTTTTCTTTACATTGTAAGCATCCATATGAAACTGCCCAACGGCTTTGCTATTTTCTGCAACATGGAAAAACAAACATTACTGCAATGACGTTATACTGAGATTTTTGTGGAAACATGGCTAATTTTTAAGGAAAGCGTCACTCTCAATCACAATGGGGTATTGGGATATATTTCTTACCCGCCTAATGATAAGTAGTGACAGAAAAAAGTCATAGGGCAAGGTAGATTGTCTTATTATTAAGCCATAATTTGATCCTGGTTACATAAGACCAATTGTCATTATATGATTGTGTAGGTAGAAAGATCTCATCTTCCAGGCTATATTAGGCTTAGCTTTCTCTTGACATTTATTTGGATCCCCTCCTTATTACAGTGATAAATTATCTTTCCTTGAACAAATTATTCCAATCTCGAATACTTTTCTCATTAGAGTAAGTTATAAACCGTATAGATTGACCATTCTAATCAACAATTTCTTTTAACATACGTCAATTCATAGCCTCTCATTATTTAATCATAGTTAATCTAGATTATTTATCTCGTTTGAGAATATCAAATTTGACGTGAGAACTGACAGTTTTGAATCTAAGGATTTTTAACTGACATTGCCATAGCGAATTTCTGTTTTTGTGGTTAAACGCATTTAGTACTGATTTGCCAATAGACCAATTCGACTTACGGCCTCATTTTGAAAAACTCTTCAAATTATTTTGTACAAAATTTTTGACCTCAGATTCGAATTGCGAGCAATGATTTTAGTATACTTGGAAGTTTTCATTATGGTATTGCTCACGGTATTGATTTTATGACGACAAAAAGATAGAAAGTTTATAAGGGATTTGACCGTGATTGGCGACTAGGGGGGTAAAGTTTCCCCCCGAAAGATTTTTGCGATCAAATCTCTTACCGGTTTTCAAATTTCATTTCTCCGTATAATCTAAAATATAAGCACAAACAATATAAAAAATTGTATCCGGCCTAAAATAATGGTGATGAAACCAAATCTGAACTACGTATAATTAGGTTAGGAGAAATTTTCAAAACGAGGCCATAAGTCGAATTGGTGTATAAAATTATGGGTTTCACAAAACACATGATTTATTCCCCAGGTGATGCTACCTATTGTTTGTCAGTGTCTCATCGTAATAAAGGAAATGAATATGAGCATAAAAATAAACATTTTTTTAATCTGCATGTCAATAGCTCAATAGCTAATTCGTTGTCACAAAATTTCCAAAACGGAAGTAATGTTTGGAGTTGCCAAATTTATTTTATCTTTTTGCCCAATTAATTTTTTCCGAAATTGATGCTTTCCGAAAGGTTGCAGTTCTGAGCATTATGGTGCAAAATTGACACGTTGTGTTAGAGCCTAAAATTTAGCGTACTTGTATTCTGTAATGCGTCTTGTTCTTTCAATCCTTGTCCGCCTCCTCGCATACCTTGTAAAGATGCCTACGTTTTCTTATTTCAGAGCTATCTGACGCAAAACATGAAACTACAGCAGTATAACACAGATTGGGACAGGAGGTACACATTATCTGTATCTATTCATTTTTAACACTAATAGCGACCTAGAATTTTGGTTTTTTACGGTACTGTCTTCGCGCCACAAAGGATTCTGGCGTTACCTCATTCATGGATGATAAAGATATGAATTTTCTCTGTCCTCGTGGCACAGAAGATGATAATGTAATATGTCCAGGTTAGTTTAGGGCGTTCTCTAATTTGATCAATTTTCCGTCGTGAGTTCAAGTGGGATAGTAATCCAAAAGACCTTGCAGAGACGAAAAAACTTTTGACCTTCCTTTTGCGGATGAGCCAAACAAACAAGAACTCTGTTAAAAACAATTGAAATAAGTTTTAGAATGGTTGTTGGTCGTGCAACCATTAATTATATTGACTCAGGGATCTTGTAATCTCTCGAAATAGTAATTAGGCCCTGTTCACATGATACCGGATTCATTTTGTCGGATTCCCTGACTCAACCACACGTTAAGCTCCAACCTGTCCTGAAGGTGCTGTGTGCGTTTTATCACGACATGTGTGGTTGTTATCATCGTTTGGCGTTGCTCCACAATGCTTGCAATGAATCGATATACTTGTAAAATGAAACATCTAAGATTATTCAATGGAAGGATGGAATTTAATCATACACAAGATTAAATCTAGCTCTGCCCGTGCACAATAGAAAATAAGACTTTGAAAGAATAAGTATGATGAAATTAAGGCGTGAAAATAAGTATGAAGTATATGATTTCACAATTTTATTAGAATAACATGAAGATGTACCATCAAGCGTATGTCACTTATTATTAAAAGGCAGTGACTGATGAAAAGTATCCTTAGGCAATAGTAATATAATATTGTATGCAAAACCTTATGCAAAAACAGACAGGAGATGGAGTTTCAGACATTCACACGGACCTGAAAGAAATGTGAACAGGACGCCTATTATATGCTGTAAAAAATAAACCGATATGCTTTGAACCCCTTGTCTTGTCAGTTCTTAATGGACAATGTACTGAGCTGGTTGATCGCTTCCCGACCTTGATAGGGTCATCTGCTAACCAAAATCTAATCGAAACTTCGCGTATGTTTGAAGTCTTATATATCTTGTCGTTGTCATATCATAATTTTCTCCAAGCAACGTTACTGAATGGTGATAGATCACCTCAACAATGTCGCTCTTAATATATCTTTTCCATTCTTCTTCATACTTGTTTTTTATCTCACAACTATCTTAAGTTTTTAATGAAAAAACAATGTTGCAGTTCTGGCTCGATATTCGTGGATTCTTGTGCTTTTTTCGTTGAATAATTTCGTTATTTTTTAATATCTGTTGAATCCTATTGTTTGCAATATAAAGTCGACATCAATAAATGCTTAAGTGCTTTTTATTCATTATTTGGTTGTCAGAGCTGTGTAATTGGATACATTGACTAACAAGTAATACACAGTCTTTGGCTCCTCACTTCTTTAATTGGAGAATTCTTGATTGCTGGTACGCAAAGGAAAGATTCCATAATCCCCTTCTCCTCAACTAAGCCCGACCCAAATCTACAAAACATATGACAATTTGTTTTTAGACACCAAAGCCCCATATACAAGGGTTTGATGCTTCATGAAGACGAGGACAAAGGCTTAACACTCAATCATTCTGCAGATACGCAGGTGAGTTATCCCATGACATGTTCATATGTAAATGAGAAGTTCTTTAAAACTGCAGTATAGTCCGAATGATGACATCATAAAGATCTTTTTTTAAGTTTTGATTAAATAACCAGTGATTGAGTCATGAGGTACTCCTAAATGTGTAAAATCAGTCAAATATGCACTACAGCCATGACTGAAAAATTTCCACATGAGTATATTTGTGAATCAAGCCAAAATCACCTATTATCAATTATCTGTTAGCAGACTAAAAGTCTTTCTTTGGCCATATCTCACCTGGATTTTGACATATAAAACTTATTTTGCACTTTCTGAAAACATATTTGTTTCATGTTAAACGTGAGAACTCTAATTTAGGCCTGTCGTTTAGAAATTTGTCTTTTTGGAATTAAATAGGGCAGATGATTAGAGATTTTTCTTAAAAGATGTTTTTCGATGAAGGGCAGTTTTATGAAAAATGTTTCGGGCAAAGGAAGGGATTTTTCATGTTTTGATATTTCTCTCCGTAACGAAAGTTTCCAACTTCTATACTTCATTGATTCAAATTGTTTCTAAGCTTGCTTCAATCCCGATTTTAGTCAAGCTTTGAAGAGGCGTCAAGTGAGGACCTCTATTCTGGAAGGTATGAATGGTCTAACAGAGTTAATGCACCCCCTGGATTACAACCGCAACAGAAGCATCAACCTCAGCCTCAACAAGCTCCCATTGGTACAAAGTCTTCTGGTGCATCTGGAAAGGCACGTCCCTATTGGGACTTCTCTAGGCAAGGTGGGCTTTGGCCTTAATTTACTGACTGTTTGTGCACAACTGGAGCCATTTTTGACAGCTTGCCGTGATTAAAAAGGTAGTGGTCTATTTTGAATGGCCTTTTGCAAGTTTATCGTCGATAGATGCAGGATCTGGCAGGTCCTTGATTAGAAATTTTGTTTTTATTGTTTTGTTGAGAAAATCAGTAAACAGTGTTTTCAGTAGGAGCTTGTAATCTAGGGGTCAGTAGTTATGGCTGTTTGACTTATTTTGCGTTAGCAAGCTGTGATCCCACAGCAACAATCTGCAGCAAGTTTGGCACAAGATGGTTTCTTTAACTCCCAATGTCTCCTTGATGAAATTTTGTTCGGCCAGAAATTGACGCAGCCAATGACATCTGGATCGCCGATGATGCAGAGAAACGCGCAGTTTAACTCCGTTCATCCAGTTTCAAGCAACCAACAATCAATTTAATAATGCAAGTGATCTACTACAGCATGCTCCTTTTTAATCAGTGTCCACTTCCTCTGTAGTCTCGCACAGCGAGAAAGGCATACTTCATCTCATGATGTAATAACGACGAATAAACACAAGGATTTAAAGTAGAAATTATCCAACCATAGTTCGTTTGGTTTATAACAACCGGCTTTTCAAATTATTGTGTTAGTTAAAAATAAATTCATTTTGTTAGCAAAATCTTTACTCCTAATCAATACTGTTATCGGTTCACTTACAAATTAGATCTGCCAAATATTCGTAGATGCTCCCGTTCTGAGGATTACTTACTTGTTCTGTTCAATATCCTGTATTGTTCATGAAAGTGGAGCAATTCTTTTTTTAAATCACAAAACCTTTTCTTTGCAAAACAAATCTCCCTGCCTGATTCACCAACTCTTCTCGTCAATTTTCTTTGGCGATAATGTCTTTCGGACTTATCCACTTTATTTATTTGCAAGTAGCAAAACACATTCGATATTCCTTCTTTTTTCATATAGCTGTCGATATTAGAACAGGACAAGTTCCCAAGTATCCATATAATGCAAGGCAGTCCCTAAACTCTGCTGTCTGGCTTATCCAGACTAAAAATAATCCATTATTTTCCCTGAAAAGCATAATCTTAATCGTGATTGCGTGACTTAAATGAATTCGTCTATAATAAGAATAATGAACATAAACATCATCGTTAAAATGGTATATTTTTATATAAACAAATGCGTTATATTCTGATGTCAATGACCAAGTAGTTCTGTCAGAATTGCATTTTATGCTTTTAATACCAACAGACCATCGTTATGTATGACAGGAAATGGCACCTTGCCAAACAAACACGTCCGTCGTCAGTAACCATAACTGTTGTTAATGTTGTAAAAACAAACAAGTCAAAAATTAGAATCATTAAAATAGCACCGATAATTTGATTGGAAAGAGCAATCTAATAGTTTGTTGTGAAATGTTGGTCAGATTTCCATTTGATTAGCTAGCGAAAGGGAGAAAGCTGCAAAGTGGCCTCAATAGCTAAGCTATCTGTCATCTATCTAGCTTGATGCTCCTACTTTCTTCTCAGAATCCGAACTTTTCTCTCAGAATCCGAACTTTTCTTCTCAGAATCCGAACTTTTCTCTCAGAATCCGAACTTTTTTCTAAGATAACTTGGTATTACCATTAAATTGTGCATAACCCTTGGTCTCGTGTTGCACCTAAAATCTCTCTAAGAAGACACTCCTCTACGCCAACCCCCCTCCCTCCTTTCTATGATTGCTGTTTTCAATCATAAACAAACTACAGAAGTAAACAATAAACAGCTTGAGAAAAGCCCACTATCTGTAATTTGTATGTGTAGAGAGATGAAAGTAAAAAGTTTTATATAGGTTAAAAGTACGTTAAAATAGCATTGTTTAATTTTAAATATCGGCATACTGGTTATTGATCAAAACTAGTCCCTGCACGCGCCTAAGCTTGGTTAAAAGGATGACAAAGTTGAGTTGATTCAATGTGCGGAGGCTTTTCCATAGCAGATTTTACAAAGGAACCATTGTCAGGACTTGCACCAACAAATGCTAGAGAACATAATCGAGCCCTGACAATTTTTTTAAAATGAATATGAAAACTTGCTTGCATGTTTGCTGCTGTGAATCATCATAAAAGCAAAAGCAGAAAAGATTTTTGTAGATCTATGGTAGTTGCAGGTTTAGTTATTTGTATTCTAAATCAGATTTCTCCATTTGAAGTTGCACTAAGAAACAGGCTAGCTACCTGTTACCATTTCACATTGGTCATAGATAGAGAAAGAGAGAGAGAGAGGTCTCTTTTCTTAGATCTTAACGATTATGGACTGCTAAAGTACGTAGTTTGAGGTGGGTTGCTAGATATTCAGCCGTTTTCATCATTAGGATGTTGATATCTTAATTTTTTATTTCAATTGAACTAGAGGCATTTTTGGCAATTTTCAACTGCAAAGAAACAACCAACCTTAGCTCTGCGAGAACATGGTTGGAAAATCTTTAGTTTTTTCAATGTTTACGTGAAAGAGTTTTTTCACTAAAATAGCTTTGCAGAAATCCTCCAGTCATTATTTTCAATGTTCATCTGCATTTAGTAGATATGAAAAAGGTTCTTTCCACTTTGTTTCTCGCACCCTCTACTCTCGTTTGTCTGTAAAGTATCCAAACAAGAGCAAGTGCGAATTTCTTTTCAAATGATTTTCTTGCATTGAAAATGCCAAAAATACCTCGTGCGGGGATGATGCGAATTTGTTCCTTATATTTCTACTAGCGCATTTCTACGAAAGACATTTTGTTAATTTTTGAGTTTTGATGTTTTGTTAGAATACTATTTATCGTGTAAAATTTTAGTTTAAATTAGTGAAACTTTTTATTAGTGGAAATGGATTTTTTAACATTGTTTTATTGTGCTGTTTTGTCTTTATGTTCGTCTGGTTGTTTTGTTTGGTTGGTATCGCGTTGTGCCATGTCAGTTCTAGGAATTCAGAATCACTTTCCTTGAAATAAATTGGGAAGCATTTATCTGTGGATCACGGGGCATTGCTGTCTTTGTTGTCCGCCAGTCTTACATGTAGCGATAAAAAGCTGCTATTTTAGGTGTCAAATTATTTGTACTTCTTGTTGGTCTTTCTGGGGGATGTTTTGCTCCACTTGTATTTTAAATCGTAGTCGTATCTCAAGTTCACTGTCACTGTCAGATGTTCACTGTCCCCTGTGGAGTCAATTGCAAAAAATGAAAAAATATTTTGTCACTTTCAGAAAGAGTCCCCTTTTCATTATTAATTAACACAAAGTTGATTAATTGTTTTAATGTCTCCTTTTCTATCCCTGTGGTTGCATTTTTTTCTGGCATTTGGTTTCAAGTTCAGTAGACTAAGAACCTTTTTATTAGTCAAAATCCAGTTGACTGTTGGCACCGAACCTTGCTTCTTCCTTTCTAAGAGAGAATGCACGCCCTTGGGCTTGTATTGCCCTTCCAGCAAAGGGCTGTCACATAATTTCGTGCATGTTACATTTTACCACAGTTACGATCACCAACATGAAACTGTACAGGCTTTTGCCGCCCTCAGGTTTCCCATAGCTTCCAAGTGCTTAATGTGATGTCACTCAATAGCGTGTAACAACAAAATGAGGCAGCTTTTTATACTCGACAAGTAAACAACATCATTTTATGATTCAATGATTGTACATTACAATAATGATTGCTAGTAAATACGGAAGACTTCAATCGCTACCGGTTGTTACCATCACTAATTTGTTAGTTGCTTTATATATAAGTATAGAAATATATATATCCCGTTTTATTTTTATAAAGGTATACACAGTTGTATAACACTCAAGCAGTTAGGTTGGCTAGCCAGCGCAAATTGTGTTCGCCGCGAATTTTTACCAACGTTTATTCTGTATGGTCTTAGATGCATACCCATGCGCGCCAAATCCCCGCTTTTTGTTCAATTAATGATTGTTTGATCTTCTTGATCATTGTATGAATATAGTGCTTGATATTTGAATATTAATTGTTTTCCACATTGTTACTGATGGCTTTATCATGTTAGTGTGGGTGCCTAGTTAAGGAGCGGCGAGACGTAGCCATGGCAAGGCCCCCTTATCGACCCTTGACTTCATCTCTCATTACTCCCATAACGGTATGGCCATTTTTTATGGCCCCCCCAAAGGTTGTTTATATTAACCCCTTGCTTTTCTATTGTTTCGAACATCGAATAGTGTTTTCAATAGAGATTTGCCAATCTATGATTACCTCGTGCTTGTTGATCACCACTCCCTCCCCTCCCCCCGTCTCAAAGCATTCAGTCTGCATAACATGGCGGTTCCCGACAAGATCTCTTTTATGCAAGAGCAGATGAAAATATGCTTATGTATCCAGAAATAGTATGCAACCTATTATGTACACATGCCACACTGTGCAGACTGGCTTGCACCATACTTTCAGCCCCACCCTTTAACAACACCGCCCTACCCCTTCATTTCCCTGGGAGATGGAGTGCCTTGTTTCCAAGCTTCTACCCAGATGCCTGTATATCAATATATCGCCTATGTATTGGCGACATTCAATGAAAATCAACGGAACCCTTTTGCCGCCGCCCGTTACCAACCCGCGTTGCCAATTTTGGTTTGCATATTGCTCTCCGCTCTGTCGCCATGCTAACGCCGAATAAATAACATCTAACGATGAGTATTTTTACACTATTATCGATTGCTATTACGCAATTATTACTTTTCTAGTTAGACTGACTACATTATGTGTACCAGTAGAGCATTCGTTGTTTAACAATGTGTGTTTTGTTGCCTCTGTCCCTTTCTACACAGTTCCTTCTCAATGGCTCATCAAGGTTTTGAATGCCGCATCCATAAATTGCTACATTTGGTGTGCAAAAATCGTAATTTCTGCAGCGCTGCTTCGTTTTAATTACTCAAACTAGTACTGTCGCCAATCTATCGCCAACTTATAGGCAAAGGTCACATATTGAGAAGAAGAAAATGCTCAGCTCACTCGATTCGTTTTGCGCCTTTGGTTTTCGTGCTATTATCTGCTCCGGTTCTAAAAATGGTGCCCTGCGCTCGTCTGGCCTTCCAATGCAACGAAAGAGGATTGCGTGCAAGACTGTTAATGTAATAACTTAAACTTGGATAGCTTTGAAAGATTATTGATGTGTTAAAAATTGCAGTAAAAATATTTCGCTCAATTTTAAATTTGTTTAGGTGATGAAAATACACATTCGCTTGCCGATTTAAAATGGCTATTAGAGTTTATTTACAATAAAATGAACTCGAAACTATGATTAATAGTCTAATTTTTAGATAACAATAGCAAGAAAATTATAATAGCAAGTGTTTCTGTTTGATATTTTTATTGTAGAAAGTTAATTGCGATTTGAGAAGAAACAATTTTTCAGTGAGTAAAAAGGTAATGATTGATACCTGCCAATCATTGATTCGATTCATAAATGAGTCTTTGCAAACTCAGGTGTATTTAAATTCTGAGAACATGCTTTTGCCCACCAGAGTCAATAGCAGTAGCCTGATAACGAAGAAAGCCAGCTTAAACAAAATGACGATGAACAGAAATCAGCACTCGGAAACCAGTGTAGACAACTGGAAGAGATATGCCCAACGATGAAATATCTCAAATTGAAAATTAGTACCTATTTACACGTGGCAAGGTTTCCGAGGAATCAGCTCTAGGCGTTTCAAGCATAACATAAGATCTTGACCAATCCAATTTAGATATTTCTTTGGGGATTACATTGCTAAGTCTACTTGAAAAAATCTTTTCTGTGGGAAAGGTTACCGTTTGTTTCCCATTTGAAGATTAGGCATCATCAGGAATTGGCATCAAGCTTTAGATCGCATCTTTACTTAACATTAAAACATAGCTCATTTGAAATGTCGAACATGCGCCTGAATGCATCTGCTTTGCAGATTTTTTTAAACAAAATTAGACGTTTTATTGTAAGGTGTTACTGTAAACACGTCTTAGCGGCTAAAGAAAACTCTCTAGATATAGTATCTTCACTCTGTTGTAAAGTCAAATCTGGGAGGCAATAATAGCCTGGCAGATTGTTCGAGGAGTTAGACAAGGATGCAAACTTGGTCCTATCTTGTTTGCTTTCTATTAACCTAACATACAAAAATTATTAGCAAGATGTATCCGGGGATATGTCTAGAGGTCATTTTAATAAAATTGCATTGCTCTACTCTGACGTGCTCTTTTTACGATAGTGCTGAAGTACTACAACATGATTTTACCGAACAAGTTTTGGTACTGTTTTTTAATAGGCAAGTGGCACCGATTGGGCAAACTCGACAGTCATGTGCTCGCGTTTATGATTGGCCAAATTTGATGCAACACTGGGGATATATAATTCTTAGCGCAGAGTTTTCGATCCATGTTCTGAAGTTGTATACTCTGAAGAGTGTCATATGAAAAGCTTAAAATATTTGCCCTTTTAAAAGCCAGTTACAAGTAAAAGGGACATGTGACTGGGTACTCTTGAAAAATTTGTATTTGAGAAAGCTTTAAGGAACTTCACTGTATTGCACTATTATCTACCTAGCTTCAGAAGACAACGAAAAGCTTTGCTTATCGAGCAGTGTCCTGGTCCTTCTTCTCGATGTGACCACACTTCGTCTTTCCTACGTATGCAAATAAAGAGAGCTTGTGACTTTTCTCTCACTGAGAGAAAGTTTTTGAAAAAGTCATGTCATGGACTCGAACCACGGACACTTGGAATAATCAGCGACGCTGAATAATCCCCACACCTAATTTTCTATCCTTCAACTTTTAGCTTTAAATTTAATAGTGAATAGTGAATAATGCTGTATTTTTCTCGAGTTTTTAATCTATGATAGCCAAGTTGCCAAGTAAATGTGACACTGCAAGGAAGTACAAGAAGTCTTGGGAAGTGCAATATGTTTGGCTTACAGAGTCTAGTGACGGGAAGGGCAACGGATACACTGCAAACTGTGCTTTTTTTATTGCGCACGCGCATTATGACGTCATTATCTAATGGGTAAATTTGGCCTATATTGACGTGATTTGGCTTATTTTCATTAAGAGTTTGGCTACTTTGGTTTCATTAAGAGTACCCAGACCACCTGACAACCCTGCATAGCATAGATTCTTCTTAAAAGAGAGTGTAGTTTTGGATTCTTAATCATATAAAAATAGATTTTTGGGAAACCTTTTAGAGTGAATACGAGGTAAGGTTTAATATGACGTCATATTGAAATCATACGCCACTGTGTGAAGCTTTAATTGGACACTTTTTAACGTAACAAGATAGTTCATTTGTTCACTGCCGCGAGCTGGTCATGGTCGAAGAGGATTCAGTTGAAAAGAAAATGGAATTCACATCCTTAGATGAACAAGAAGAAGACTGTCAAAAGCCAGGTATTTAATTTCGAATAATTTCATTTATTTTAACAGATTAACATAAGAAAACTCAATATTTGTTAAAGGATACGTATTTTGTGTAGATACCATGCAAATATATGTTACAGAAGCCAGAAATGAAGAGATGCTTTATTGAAAATGTTTTCCCCTGTAGATGTATTATAGCAAACTGAAAGATGAACAATATTAGACATGGCTCTTTCATCCCTGTTTCGTCGTATCAATGAGTTATTAATGCTGGAAAATTCATGATTTGATGACATGAAGAGGCCTACAATTCTGGACAAAAGTTAGGAGACATTCGCTGTTATTATCATTTATTGCAAAAACACCCAACCCCCTCCCACAATATGATGTTTATTTTTTAGCTTTTCTGGCTTCCACAATCAGCTGCCATTACCCACCACCAACATTGACTTTGGGGGGGGGGGAGGGGCATACCACTGGTTTTGAAAGCATTTACGCAAAAAAATATCTTATAAAAGAATTGTCTCATAATCTTTTGTCCAGGATTGTTGCTACCCGTTGATAGCTGTAGATGTGGGTGCATGGCTGCCTATTGTCGGCACTGCATTTCTTACTATGCTCTGCTACAATTACAGCAGAGAGTTTTATAGGCAATCATTTTTTCAGAACTTGCTTTTCTCACAACTCTGATACACGTAGCAACATTTTTGATCCATTTTTATGAGTGAACAGTTTTTATGCTTTAAATTAGATATTTGCTTTTTTCAAAGCCATTTTCAAATTCTGTACCGCAAAAAAATTGCTCATATAAAAATTTGCTAAACACTTTCAGTTATTTTGATCTTACTTTTATCCACCGTTGTGTTTACGATTTGCAGGATGGTCATTAAGATTTGCTAACGGCCATAATAATTATGTTTGGGTTCATGTTTGGGTTAATTTACCATCTTTAATTATAAGTAAAACTGCACTGATGTTTATCAAAATGTTACCTCATTTGATAAACTCTGTTTTAAAGTTTACTTAAACAAGTTACCGATTTCAAACAAAAGATAGATTTTCACTATATTTGCTTGACAAAAACTACTATGAAAAGTTTTAGCAGAACCGGAGGACATCCGCGGAGCATATCTCAGATTGAGGGGGCTAAAACGTTTTTGGGGCTAAAAATGCTAAAAACCAAGAATAAGACGACTTTTTGTTTGGTTTTAAGCACATTTGGAATTATTGGGGTTGGCTTGGAAAAAAGCAAACATTTAACTAAACTGAAACTTTTCGTCTAACTCTCTTCAGAGTTTAAAACGCCAGAACATAGATCGAAAACTCTACGCGAAAACTCGAAATCAAATTTCTTCTTTGATATGCAACAGCCAATAAGGACACATCCTTTTTACTAGGATTTTTGTTAGGCATGTCACCTCTTTCGTTCTAAAACGGCGATTTCTCCCTTGTTCTCCACGATAACGTTTCCATTGCTTTTTGCATTGCTAATTTTTATGACGGTTATCAAACTTTGTTGTTTACTGTAGAAATTGAGATTTTTGAAGGGCCAATGGCTGTTATAACACAGGGAGGCAATGAACTGATGCATAGGTAAGCCAAGCATAAAGCTTCAGCAAATATTTATTTGAATCCTGTTTAAATCTTTTTCTTTTCAACCCAAATATTTTGGCATTGGAATACCATTAAGTAGATAGAAAAATTTCTAAGTTATCCTTGAGTTTCCTGTTTCAAATTCATAGCAATTTATGGCTTTTCCTCATCAAGGTAGATGATTGAAATGACCAAGTATAATACTTGCTACTTATCAGTTGATGGGGACGTCATAAGACCTTTGTGCACCTATATTATTTGATCACATTTTTCCCTATAAACAAAAAGGGACACATTACCGTAAAATACAAATATAGGAAGAAATTAAGTAGATAATGTTAAAATGACGTCGTCTTTATTTTCATTTTTTCTTATTTTCTCTTCACAAATTTTTTCAACTTTGACGCTGCTCTTTGTAATTGTCATCTTCCAAAACATCCTCTTCTTCTTCCTTACCTTCTCCTCTAACATTTCTGCGCCATTTTCTTCTTCATCTTGCGAAAAATCTTCCCAAATTCTTTATTAGTAGTATTGTCTCGTGTTTTTGCAGCTACAATAATGTTACCCAAAACTTGTTGAGGAAAGTGTGTATTCTTCATGAAAAATTGCAAGACAAAGACAAGTGAGTTGAGATCTAACATATACTTCTTTCATTCACTGCTTCATTCATGACGATATTAAATCCTTAGCTCACAGTTCTGCAAACTGTGTTCTTGCATTCATCTTTAAGCTTTTAACTCTCAACATGCGTTGTCGTGGAATATGCATGCTTCTGTACTTAGAGATATTTGGTCTCTAGCAAGTGCAAAAGTGTCCACAATTATAGCATACTGATAACAACGGCATGAATACTTTTCCTTTCTTTACTCTCACGCTCCCATATTTTCTTCAGAGAGTTATCCAGGCTAACTACTGAAAATGAACGTCTCTTAGAAAGAATTCACGAGCTGCTAGTTGGAGCAGAACTGAGAGAAGAGGCCAAAGAAAGTAAGTAAGAATTTAAAGTAGAAGATAAGTGTGTTTAAAGCATGTTGTAAAAATTGTTCCGCTTTTTCGTGCAATTTGAAAAAGAGTTATCAACAAACAATTTGGATGCAAGGGTCCTAATTCCTCAATGGAATGTTTGGCCTCTTGAGCTTTAAATACTGAAGAACTCTTGCTCTTGAACATGAATATTTTTGTGTGCATGGTCTCATTATGTTTACAGCAAAATAAGTATGCACACACTATGTTAAGAGATCCATCCTCTACATTTTCTTGATGCTAGCAAACAGTTTGCCCTTGAGCATTTCTGAGTTTGAAATGTATTTGTTAACCTTCCAGACAAAGCGAAGGCAAGTTATTGCAATAGAAGGAAAGGAATAATTCAGCTGGTGAGTAAAACCTTTGTTCAGTTTAAGCATAGTTGAACTCACATCTGTGATGAATCCAAATCGTACGGCAGATTATTGTTTTCAGATCTGTTTTATATGCCTCAACGCTGTATATGCAGACCTGTACATGCTTTGGTGGGTAGAACAAAATATTTCTAAGTTGTTCTATGGCTGCAACTCACAGTTTCAAGCCTAATGCGAACGTCAGGACACTGTTCTGTCTGATCGTAGTCAATGGAAATTAACTAGGCCCTGGTGATTGCACGATCTGTAGTTGAAACACAGTGCAACCTACCCTGGGTGCCAGAGCCTCAGAAGAAGAGCAGAGGAAAGGCATTGCGAAAGAGAATGGGAGAGAAACGCGATTCCTTTCCCCTGTTCTTCACCTTTTCCCCGTGCAACTGCGACCATGCTCTTAATATCAAGAAGTGATTTCAATTCGATGTATTTGGAGAGTTTCCGTGAGAACTGTTCCAAAATATTAGAAAAAACAGCATTGCAGTAGGACAACCATCAATGTTGCTTTTATACTAGCAACATGAAATAAAATTGCAGCGTTGCTAAACCAAGGAGACGCCTATCATTTAAGAATTCAAATTACCTGCAAACCTGCAATAGGTATTGTAAATCGGCATGCTACACTTTGTCAAGCAAAATATAATCAATATTTAAGTACAACTTCAAGCAAGGTACTCACGAACTCCCATGAGACATAGGCTTCACATATGCACGCCCCTTCAAAAAATAACATTAAACACCCTTTGGTTGAAATATTCTACAACATGATCGATACATGGCCAAACCTTCTGTCAATTTATGTCATGTAGTCTAAATTGTTGATACAATTGAGTTGAAAACGCAAAATGCAAGGGATGTTCCAATGGCAACTGATCAATCACAATGTGTCCTTAAAAAAATAAATTGCTTTAATTTGCCGTTTTCAGCTAAGGAGTCTGTACTGAATTTTTCAAAATTCATATTCTAGGAAATACACGAAGCAGGATCCTTGCGATCGAAGGCATCTTTTCAACAAGGCCAGTCTTATTTGATTGGTTGGCTGAAAGTTTCTTGTCTCCTGGGGCTTACAATCGGGACAACAGTCTATTTAAAAAAAGAACTCGAATTCTAAATGATTTTTAGCATAGTCTATAGAAGTTTGTAATTGAGACAATTTGAATGAATTGTAGATAAAGCAAATATTTTTAATCTTAATAAATGGTTATACTCAGTGTTTGGTTTTCTAGAAAAACCAATTAAGCTCTTTGAAAGACAATCTTAGCTAAAAACTATAAAATGAGAAAGGAAATTATACTTAACAGAAAAAAACATGATAACGTCTCCTAAACGTAAAATATTTTGTGTCGTGTACTCCAGTCCAACAGCTTCTCAATGAAAAAACTTCATGCAGACGACTAAAGTCAAGCTTGCTTTTACAAAATTTAATTATGTTCTAGTTTTTTGTAAGGGTCGTTTTGCACTAGTGATCCTAAATGACAAATTATTTGTAGAACCAAAGAGCAGTGGCGAAGCTAGCCAAAAATTGTTGGTCCTGCTATATGGACAGGGCCACGCCCTTATTCAATTGGAAAGCCTATGGACAAAAATTCTATTTTGCAGATGAATTTTTTCTTAAATTCAGTGAAAAGCAAATTTTAAATCGATGTCTATCTTTTGAAAAATAAACCCATACTTAAAGACGTGCTTTAGGGTGCTTACTTTTCAAACAAATATATGTTAAATTGTAGTAAGCCTCTACAGCTGAAGTAAAAGTTCAAATTGGTGATAACTAAATTTCACGATAAAAGGGGGTAGGGGTGGCATTTAAAGTTGAATATCATACATTTGTGTTATTCCACACATAATATAAACCTGACCAATCTAGATACTCTATTAAAATAATTTTAATAAACAACAGAGTTTAAAGTCTGTAGGGGCAAGTTCACATATTCTGCAGAACAATTATTCTGCAGCTGATAAAGAGAGGTACAATCGAATAATGTGTCGCATTATCAATGAAAACAACTTTATTAGATAAACCATTAGACGAGAAAACAATTCAGGTAGAAAAATGCAAATTCCGCTGAAATTGGTTTATTCTCCAACTCAAAACTTTCAATCACACAACAGTAAATTCAATTATGCTTTCATCGTCCTTGTCCAAGTCTAAGAAAATTTTATTTAGGCCACCATGATATACCGTGCCTCAAACGATCGTACAAAGGCCGAAATCAGAGTGCCTCATACAGCCAATTCTTGTTGTTTGCATTTCTTTCTTGCGAACTTTGGACTCTGTCTTGTTACAAATAAAATTTATGCAGCTCAACTGAGGCAAGTTTTGCTGTCAATAATAATATCATTGGTATTGCCAAAGCAAGCAGAAAATCCGCATTCACATCGCCTCGCCATAATACTTGAACTGGCCTCCTTGCTAGTATCTCATAGCAGAACGAGAATGCACAGGGCAATTCTTGCAGTCCTGCTCTCAGAAATAGCAGGACCAAAGGTTTTCAAACAATGCTCTTTGACCTACGTAGGTGAACCCTCGACCAATCAAATCACAACTGCTTACGAAATGTTATGATGGTCATTTCGACGAGGTCCTGCTCCCGAGATTGAGCAGGACTGCTCTTTGTTCTAGACTATTGTGAAGCAGGACTAAATTCACAAAAGCCTATTGTGAAGCAGGACCAAACATAGGGTATCATAGTTATGAGCAGGACCAAAATACAGGGCTGCCGTAGAAGAGAACAGGACCTTGAGATTAGCACGGGATGCCTGTATCAGCTGGCGGAACTGGGGACTGTTTATCAAAAAGAATTTGAAACTTCCTTTTTGCAAAGAAGAAATTGTTTATTGTTTACAGTAAATCTTATCTTTGGAAATTCTTGGTCCTGCTCAGCAGGACCAGCAGGACCTTTGGCTTCGCCACTGCCAAAGAGAGCAAGGTTTAACATCAACATGTTGCCTGCTTGCACGTTCAGGCAACTTTATATTGCCACGATTTGGCAGAGACCACACAGTAAATTCTCTGTTATCCACAGTGAACATTCAAATAAAATTAAACAATGATTACATGTACCATCCAGTACCATCCAGCCCCAGATTCGCTGCCATAGCGATATATATCCCTGTGGTCATTTGTTATCCCTGTGGCGGCGAATCTGGGGCTGAATGGTACTGCCTAGGCCAACCAACAACATTTGAAACAAAGTGGTTGAAAAGTGACATTTATCAAGTAGAAATTGACAGGGAGCCACCTATTACTACATATTCTCTCAAATTGTTGTCGTTTTGAGACATCTCATGCTCTATTAGACTCACATTGTGCAAAACGCGAATCTGGGGTTGAATCTGGGGATGGAAAACACGCAAGACTAGGCCCACTAAAAATACCAAAAATCAATTGGCAGAAAAAAAAATTTTATCGAGTGGAATTAGAAAGCAAATTCCAGAAATAACTTATTTTCTAATTCTAACTAATTATTGTCATCTCGACATATTTCAAGCAGTACAAGCAAGTTTTTGAATCTGGGGATGATTCTGGGGACGAATCTGGGGATGAATCTGGTGCTGAATGGTACGTGGTCACTTCCTTTCTTCTATTTCACTCTCTTCGAATTGCCTCCTTTCCCTGCTATCCAGCTCAATAATATCTTTGGTCTTGTTTCCGTGCTTATTCAATTCAGTTCAATGAAATGTCTACTTTTGTGGGGCCTATAAACATATGTCTTGACATTATGTTAAATTTTAATTTGCCTCACCGCTTCAGCAAATTAGATTGGCAAAGAAGATAACCTTCGTCCCAAATTGTTTTACTACTCTCTTTCAACTTCTTTGGGCATATTTTTCTCTGCTTATTGATATTATATTGCTAGCTATGCACTTTTAGGTATTATATGATTTATAAGTTAAGGCCAACTTCAAATAACTAAAAAGCATTTATTTAAAAAATATAAGCAATTATAACTCAAATTTAGAAGTCTTTTAATTGCCAGAAGGCCATAATTTACGAGGGAGTTGATAGTAGAAAGTCAATCAATAGAAATGCCTCCTTGAAAGGAAATCTTAGCTGACAAAGATTATAACGACTTCTGGAACTTAAAATGTCTTGTTTCGTAAACTTCAGTTCACCAGCCACTCAAAACACATGAAAAAACTTTACGTAGGCGACTACAGCCAAGCTCACTTTTACAAAATTTAACTACATTCTAGTTCTTTGTAGGGGTGTTTTCACACTAGTGATCCTGAATGACAAACTATCTAATGCTTGAAATGAACATTGGAGAAGGAGAAGGATGCGGCCTAGCCTGTTTCAAGTACGTGCTTAGCTGTGAGACAAAGATAATGTGGAATCGCTAGCAGCTGTTTTTAGTAGCAATTTTGATGTTAACTTAGTTTCTCTTTTATATTTGTCGATCTTCTCATTCTGCCATGACAGGAGAAACCATTCTGCCCGTTTCTTTCTTAGCGAACCTTTTACCATATCGAAAATCACAGAAGTCTTAATAGAAACTACGCCCGATTTTCTCTATAAACGATTTGAGAGTGTCATTAAAACTTAAGTTTGCTCTAAAAAATATAAACACTGACTAGGATATATCCATTTACGCTAATACATTTCTTTAGATTTCTTTCGCAATCTTGATACCTCCAGAAACAAGTTATCATTCAGTTTCAAATGGAAATTGTCAAAGAACGCAAAAAGCCCGGTTGTGATTGATTACTTACTGATTTCAAGCTTCACAACAATGCTGAGGCATTTCTTAACCAACAACCAATGAGTCAGGAAATATTTAAAACTTTGACTGAAGAAATACACTTGTCATTATGTCGCATGCTCTAACTGCGCATATTTCTCGAGGATTTGAGCGTCCTCAGAGGTTGTAGACAAAAATAGCTCTTTATAGAAAACCATCACTCTATTTACAATGGCGATATGACTCACAATGATAACAAAATGATACAAAAAACAACCCATATTTATAAAAATACATTTGCGTTAAATCCATAAACATTCACGCTTAAAATCCCCTTTCATTTTTAGCCTACGATTCCATAGTCTTAAACGACTGACAGATTTCTAAGTGCTTCCTTCTTGACAACTCTTTCCTATTGCTGACCAATGCCGTCTGTAGGGTCTCACGTTGCTGATATCTGTCATATTTTGTGACATCCTTTTTCTGAATAACAGGCAGCCTACAACTTGATGGAGTACCACCAGGTTTTACCTTTACTTTCAATTGTCCATAGTACATCCTCTGGACGTTTTCTGTTTCTTTCATCTCGGGGCCAATGCGCATAATTTCCGTTTCTGGCAGATTCTAAATAAATGGTAAAAAATCTTAGTGTGTAAATTCAATATGAACAGGGCGCTCCCAATTATTCCCAAATGGAGCTAATTGGAAAACAAATTATGCAGAAACATAGAAACTTCACGTTGGGTTGGGTTGGGTAGGGTAGGGTAGGGTAGGGTAGGGTAGGGTAGGGTAGGGTAGGGTAGGGTAGGGTAGGGTAGGGTAGGGTAAGGTAGGGTAGGGTAGGGTAGGGTAGGGTAGCTTAGGGTAGGGTATGATAGAGTAGGGTAGAGTAGGGTAAAATAGGATAGGGTAGGGTAGGGTAGAGTAGCGTAGAACAGGGTAGAATAGGGTAGAATAGGGTAAGATAAGAAGGAGGTAGGATAGGACATTGTAAAGGTAGAATAGGGTAGGTTAGGGTAGAGTAAGGTAGGGTAGAAAAGGGTAGAGTAGGCAAGGGTATGGTAGAGTAGTTTAGGGTAGAGTAATGTGGGGTACCCTGGGTGCCAGAGCCTCAGAGAGTCAATCGCAATTCCTTTCCCCGTTATTCATCATTTGACTTTCTGAGGCTCTGGCACCCAGGGTAAATGTAGGGTAGAATAGGGGACAGTAGGATAGAGTAGGGTAGGATAGAAAAGGGTAGAGTAGGTTAGGTTAGGGCAGGGTAGGTAAGGGTAGGATAGCGTAATTTGCAGTAACATTGGAGCATAAAAGTGTTTAGCTGTTTTTGTTATTCCTACCTTAAAAAATGTTAAAAAAATGTCACCAAAGAGATCATTTGGATGGAACTTTCTTTGTAGATAATGTGAATGATTTTGTAAAACGTCAATTAAGTAATTAATGTCAGCTACATCATTACTACAAACTACATCAATTTAACCAATAGACATTTTTCTTAGGGGACTGCTTACCCATGATTTTAAAGTCGAGTCATGCCAGTCCTGCCCAGTTTTCTTGAGTCCATCGAATTTTTTCTTTGTTGAGATTAGTCTGTAGAAACAAAATTGCTTCAAAATGCAAGCAAACGACATGCAAAAATGTTGTGTTTTTAGATGTGATAGCATGTTCTTAACATTTAATCCTTATATTGAAGAAAGCATTCGATATAATCAACAAAAAATTGTAGTTATTTTCTAAATCATTAATGTTAACCATTCTTTTATAGTGAATCTTTTACAGTTTGTTACAAGGTTTTTTTCATAACGGTAGACTTGTCAGTTTGAGAAACAAAGTGCAAATGAGAAGCTAGCTGGTAAGATAAACAAAATTAAAAAGAAAGTTTCACCAAAGAAGTATCCTCTAGATTGCAAAAAATGGCTTGCTTTTGAAAAGGAACTTTTTTCGTAAGCGGCTTCACACTCTACACCCCCAAGCTCCCAAAGGTAGTACGGTTCGGTATGCAACACTATTGTAACTTAAGAAAAACTCTAATCCTTTTCCATCTCTTGGAGCTGAATAAATCATATTAATTTTGTTGGTTATTTGAGAAGAGCTCTCTGGATAAAAGCAATGGCAATTCATCTGGAGAATATAGATAAAATGTCTAATTTACAACTATATGGAAGATTATACAAAAAATATTAAAAGTTGCAAAATGTTCTGAAATAAAAATGCTTAACTGGAAAAGCAATACAAAAATACTAAAAAACCACCGGATGTTAGCAAACCTTTTTGATAACAAGTTTTTATTTTTTATTTCTTCTTTCGTTGGCTTTCTGCTGAACCATGGAACATCTTTTTCAACCTAAAAAAACAAAGAACAATGGATGTGAATAAACTTGCGAAGCATAACAACAGCATCACAGTGGTTTGAGGATAGTCTTGCTTGCATACATGAAAACTTGGAAATTACTTCAGCAATCATATAGGAAGACCAGAATAAGTTTGACATGGTATAAGAGGGAGAAAGATTCTCTAGATATAAACAGGGGTCATGAAATCCGTCGGTATTTCTAGGATTGTTCATTATTTAGGTTTCTAAGGATAAAAAACACCATTTTTCTCCAATGCATTTCTGCATTTCCACAACACCCCTGGTTTTTTGAAAAACTCTTTTATATTTTCTTAGAACTACATCCCTGCCAAAGACTTATGCTACTGAAAATACATTTTTTATGTTTTCATTTGAAAATCTTTTAATTTTGATGTTAATTTATAGAATTTCAGGATGTTATCTTGAGAACTGAATAGCGCTTCGAAATGCTTTGGGAGTCCAAACTCCTAAAGCCTTCAAAAGAAAGGGAAAATGTTTGTCAATTCAAAATGAGCCATGTGTTAAGAAGTTATTTCATATTATATAGCATATTCATCTAACTCAGGGTTTTCGTTATTAGTAAGAAATTGCGAAGGCAGAGAGGGACTTCCAAACTGTGGTGGCTTCTATTTGGGCCATGACGTCATTTCCTGATCTAACCTAGTGCTCAATTCAATCAAACAAGATATAAAACGCTTTGGGTTCATTTAAAGTTGTACGAGAGTACGTTGCTTTTCAATACACCGATTCAACTTACAGCCTTATTTTGAAAAAAATCTTCAAATCTTTTTGTACAAAAATTTTTGACCCCAGATTCGAGTAAGAATTTTAGTCTACTTGGAAGTTTTCATTGTTTCATTGCTCACGATATTGGTTTTAAGACGACATAAAGATCAAAATTTGATTAAGGCATTGACCGAAATTGAAAGGGGGTAAAGTTTCACTTGGAACGAATTTTGGGTCAAATCCCTTACAAGTTTGCGAACTTCATTTCTCTGTCAAATCTAAAATACCAGCACAATCAATCTGAAACATTGTATCTGGTTAAAAAGTATGGCGATAAAATAGAATCTGAAGTTTGGTTGAAGTTTGGACTAATTTCGAAAAAAGAGGCCGTCAGTTGAATTTGTGTATTTCAAATTAAACAAGACTACTTCCATTTAAACAACCCCAACAATACTCTAAACATACGTCCAATATACCTACCCTGGTTGAGGAAATCTGTTTTACCAGTATCTCCCCTTCTCTATACATTTTCAGCAACACAACAACGAAATCTTGTGTTATCTTCTGCATATCATCAAAGGGAGACCCGTTTCTTAAGAACATACTTGTATTGACTTCATAAAGCCCGATGCTCTCCAAAAACTCTTTGCATTCACAGTGTACCCACAAACGATTGATGCCATCATCTGTCACATAAATTCTTTGCTCTGGATTATCCAATAAGTCCTTCAGCTTTAAGAGAAAATTTTTACTTCAAATAAAGCAAAGAAAGAAATGGGCATTTTGTTGAGCAAAATTCTGATTTGGGAAAATTCCGTCTAATTGCAAAAATTGAGATAGGTGCACTAGACACAGTCGAAACATTACACATTTTCTCCAGTAAAAAAGAAGCAAGGAAATAAAGTAAACAAAATTGGTCAATAAGGACCATTCGGTGGATTATATTGTATTATATTGTATTGTATTGTATTGTATTGTATTGTATTGTATTGTATTGTATTGTATTGTATTGTATTGTATTGTATTGTATTGTATTGTATTCTATAGTATTGTATTGTATTGTATTGTATTGTATTGTATTTCGTTGTATTGTATTTCTTTGTATTGTTTTGTGTTGTATGATTTATTTCATGTTAGTTGTTACAATAGTGGATACACAAATTCATACTAACATGAAGGAATTTCATAGTTTACATAAGGCAGTTTATTAACTGCAAAAGGAACATGCGTATTTGATTTCATGGAACCAAGTTTTAATTAGCCTGAATGCAGGACTCCATTACTTTTAGTCAGGAGTTTGGGACTCAGGCTAGTTTTTAATTAGACTTTTTAATTCTTTAGAATTTCGGGCTTTTGAATGCATCTGGAAGTGAGTTACATATTTTCAGCCTTTTTAAAATTGAATGATATGATATAATAAAGAACATTAAAAACAGACAGACTGAACTATTAGCATCCAACTTTAGTGTGCAATGTTTTTTTTCCTAAAACTGTTACTAGATTCTTAGATTAGTTTTAATTTCTGTGGAAAGTTTGCAGCCCATAGAGTCCAAATCCTTGAGACGTAATGAAAGCTTAAGCGGCCTATTTTGGTAGACAGTTTTAAATCCTTACAATGACATTTCCAAGCTCAAAATGCAATCATCACCATTCTGTACTCAGCAGTTCTCTTTTCCTAACAGCAATTAAAATTTTTTTAAATTTTTTAATCTTTGAGTGTAGTACAAAAGTTTGGAAAGACTGTTTATCAAACAGAAAGGGTATCTTGATCTAGAGAGAGAGAATGCTACAAATACGTAGGGTTTGCAAAAGAATGCGAGAAATAACGATAAAGCCAAATTCATGGTTTGGTTATTAGCTTACCGTATTATGAAGTGCTGTCAAAATGTATTCGTCGAATTCCGCTATACATTTTGAAAGATGGAAAATTGCACTATTTGATAGAGACCGTAAAGCTAAAAGAAAAAACCAACTAACTAAGAAAAATAAACAAAAAGAGCAACATATTTAAATTCATTTATCAGAATGGTAAAATCTAGTTATCTGAATTTCATTTTATTAGGTTCAAATTGCAAATGAAGTGAAAAGGCGTGCTCTTGGGTAGGCCGATGCAGAAAAAAAACAAACTGAAATTTGGAAGATCTCAAAAACGCAAAATTTTTAGTTAATGATGTGGAATGACTCAACATAGTTTGTAGATCCCTTTCAAAAATTAGAATCAACGATGTTCGTCTGTAAACGATAAATCAAAATTTGATTGCCAAAAGTCGACACATTGAGCACTATATAACACCATAGCCTTTTGAAAGGGAAATAAGCTACGGGGGACAATAACCTTTTGTTTAATACCATGGAAAGTCACTGGGCTGCAGGGGCTATTGCAACCCCTGCCCCCCTTAGCTAGTATGTGAAAAAAGTCCTGTGTAACCCATATAACTAATTTTGAATATTAAGAGGTATTTTTGAATTATCTTTTAAGCAATTTATTCGAATATTAGATTCTAAAAGCATGTGTTCATGACATCTTCATTTTGGACCTCTATGCAGGGCCGCCAAGGAGTGGGAGAGGAAGAGGCGCAAATTACCTCCAGAGCGTCAGGTCTAGGGGGCCAAAACAATTTGAACGATTGCAAGAAAATGATTGCAAGAAATATTCTGAAATGTTGTTCATGCTAATCCAAATGGTGTGGTACCGAAAACGTTCTGCTCGCTCCGCTCACAAGGGCCTACTCATGCTGTTTTGCCCTAGAGCCTCAGAAACCTCTTGGCGGCTCTGCCTCTATGTTCTTCATAAGCTACGACACAATAACGGTATAGCAACACTTACAATGTAGACATTTCACAAGGCCTAGGACCATCTCAAGCAGCTCGTCAAAATTCCACGGTGGAAGCATCACAAACTGAATCGCTGTATCTTCTAAGGAAGGCTCTATTCTGTACCCGAGAAAACGCAAAATATTGTCGAAAGGCTTCAGGTTTGTGACTGTGCAGCTTATTTTGACTGGAGGCAATTTGTTTTCTGCTTCTTCGGTTCCAAATTTACGTAATAGGTCAATTGTGAGCGATATCTGGATTAAAAAAAGAGATGCTTGCATAAATCATGAAAATGTTAATCATAAATCACAAATCATTTATCAATAATCAATCGTTTATCAAAAACCTTGCGGGGAGAGGGAAAAATGGAAAAATGCCCGGATCATTTGATTTTTCGAAAGGTGATTCCCCTGTCTTTTAATTTCTCATCTGGGACGGTTTTCACCGGTTGTGTTACACAGAGGTGTTGTTATATCCGACTAAAGGAACATCAAAGCATAGAAGAAGTATCTGACAAATTTTTTAAAAGGTAAGAAAGAAGTTAAGGCATTTTTAGTTGTTAACGGACGCAAGTATAAAAAGTCTTACAAGATTTTGTAAAGAGTCTAGAGCGATGAAGTTCTCTTCGATGGACAACAATGATGCCAAAAGAGACTGCAGAGTTTTTGCTTTACTCCCGAGGTTGAACTCTGTAGAGAAAATAGATAAGTTGTGTTTATACAAAAAGTTACCCTTCTACGCATTTCAAAATTTTTCTGGTAAACTAATAAAAGTCCAATAAACTTGCGGAGTCCAATAAAAGAAGTCAAATACAAGCACAGCTATAGTTGGCGTAAACAGATGAAATATGATAACCATAGTGATTTTATCCACAGCGACAAAATAAAGCCCTTTATAGTACGCAGCATTCATACATAGGCAAATTCGTAGCGGACAATTTGTAAGAAAATAGATTGCTGTCTTTTGGCTGAAACGTAAAATACCGACCCATGTGAAATCTATTGGCTTGACAAATCTATTTCGAAAAACACAAGACGCAACCAACCTTCAAAAGTCATATTCGCTTCCATTAGGCAAACGGATTCCCGCACTAAGCCACTTCCATTATCGATTGCTTTTTCAAGTGCCTTTCTTCGAAGTGTTTTAATGTCAATGCAAACATCTCTGCCCATGTGAATGATGCCTCCCCAGTAACCAGGATGATTTAACTTCTCGCATGAGTCCATCTCGTTGTATATGTGACGCAGGGCCTGGGCCACACTGTTGCCCTGAAAAGCCATGGCAACTGTAAATATTATGAAATACTCCACAGCTCTACGCCATTTTGCATTTGAACATGGGGAGCAATGCTTTACACAATACCAAGAGACAATCAAAGTGTGATCCATGTTAATTTCAAACTGGTTTACAACATTCAAGATTATCTAAAGTCTTTCTTTACTCAAACCCGTCATGGTCACACTAAATGCTACTTGAAAGTTACGATGAAGAGTGTTATTGTAAGAAAAGAGTCAATGTAGGCTTACTCAATAGCTTTAAGTCTTTGTTTCAAGATTGGAAGAGGTTGTAATTATAAGTGATTTTTACTGAAATTGGTCTTGCACCTAGCGGCTGGACAGGTTCTATCGAATTTTAAATTTTTATTGTTTGGAAACGTAAACAGCATTTTGAGGCTACATGTGTTGGCAAAAATCAGCAGCTGTATGACTCTTGCGTCAGTTAAGATAGGAACATTAAGGACGATTAGGAAGGGGTTAGAAGGAAGTATACAAAAAGTGACAATCTTTATGTTGTTAGGGGATTAATAAGTAGGTTTCCTATTAGGTTTCCTAAGTAGGTAGGTTTGGAAGCAAAAAGATTGGTAATTATTAGAGGAACTTCCCTCAAGAAGCCCCAACTGGTTACAAAAAAAGGAAATGGCTTTACCTTTTCTAAATTTCTGAAAAGTTGGTGCAGCAAGTACAATTGGGTTTTGTGTGGCATTGAGTACAAAAATGTGACAACTGCAACAACACCTGAAGCAAGAAAGCCGGCAGCTAAATTGCTTTTGAATTTCGTTGATCGAGCAAGACCATGTGGGCACTGAGAGCAACTGCTAAGTACAACAAGCTTTGCCTTTAGATCTAGCTGCATTAGATCATTCAATCCGAAAACATACGACTCTCGTTCTGCATCTGGTAGCTGTCTGTGGCTGTTTGGTGTTAGAAGCAAACACCCATCTGACTCACTACCAATAGCTGAGACGTGAACAATTTCAGCTTCGGGCAAAAGTTTCATAAAGGAATCTTTAGTAGCTGCTTTCCCTGCAATGGCTCTCACGCCAAGGGTCTTTGCTACAAGATTCAGTTCTTCCTCGACAGCTTCTGACTGGTAAGAGATTGAATCACCGTTGATATTCTTTAACGAAGCATCACTCAAAGACGCATTGCCAAACACGACGACATCAGAAGGCTCAGAACGATGACATGGTGATTGTTTCTCAAGGGCTGCAAGACACGGCGAAATTGATACTTCGAATTTCGTGTGCATTGGTCTGTTGTTCTCGTCCAGAAGGAGATGAAAAGGGACAATGTTCAGTATACCATCAGTTATCACAATAACGTTTTTAGTCTCTTTGAGATCCAGCAACAAATGCTCTACATATCCTAACAAAATGTCAAATAATTCACGTAGCAGCTTTTTGTGGTCCAAGGTGTGATCATTATTTTCTCTCGTGTCTGCGTGCTCCGGTGATGGCGAAGTTGCCAATGGATATTTTTCGACATCAATGTCGTCTCTTGATTTCAAATCCCTTGAAAGACTAGAATCATAACCTGAGTCATATGTTGTCTCCTTCGGAATTTTCACAGGGGATTCATCATTGGGTAGAGAACAATGCACACGGTCATCTACATATTTAGTACCCCCCTCCGATCTGAAAACCCTACATTCTATTTTAGGGGTCTCGTGCTCGAATCCACTAGACTGCTCAAACGTCTGCTGCTCTATTACATCGAGGCTTTGTGGTGCGTTGGTATTTGAATCAAGTTTTCGAACAATAGCTTGTGAATGTGATTCCATGAGGCCTAGCGTTTTCTGCTTGTACTCTGAATCATAACAACATCGATTTCCCTTCTTTGTGGTAGCAAGGCTTCTTACACATGTCCGGACAAGAGAGTCAAGCGGGTATGCAGCCATCGAATTATGACTCACAAATTTCACAATTCCTTTACCAGGTCTCATCATCCATAGATAATATCCATTTTTAGTCAAAGTGTAGTACAAAACAACAGTGGTATTTGATTGCTCGGATAGAATTTTTTCAACGTGGCTGATTGTGAGAGGTAGTGCTATGTCTACATGAGAAACACGCCTTGCATTTTTTCTTTTAAGTGCATTGAAAAACGTTCTAGAATGGCAATGCTCAGCTATTTCTAGAGCTTCGGCGTGACGTTTTAATTTGACCAAGACATCTTGCAAATCCTTACAACAATTTTCAAGTTTATTTGAAATTTCACTGCACGCTTGAATCTCGAAGTGGTGCTGTTTATTCAGTAATTTTTCGAAATGTATGATCACTTCCTTGAAATGCTTTCGAGACTTTTCATAATATCCCAACACGTTAAGAACCTGAGCTAGGTGCATTTGAGCATCTATTTCATCATCCCTCATACTGCATTCATAAGCACGGTTCATTGCTTCTTCTAGATAGAACCTGGCAAAATTGAAAGTCCTTTGCATTTGATAAAGCTTGCCAATATTTTTATATGCTATGCACTGAATCGTCCAAAAATGATTTTCTTTTGCTAATTTCAGAAGCGACTTAAAATTTTCGATTGCTGTTGTTACATTCCCCAAAGCCATGGAAGACTCTGCTTGATTTTGAATAGCCTTTAAAAGAAGGTCTACATCTTCAGTTGACTTTGCTATACGAAATTGTTGGTCCAAAAATTCACTTGCAAGAGGTTCTTTCTGAACTGCAGCATAGACAAGTCCAATATTTCCATAGGCATACCCCATTCCAACTCTGTCATTAAACCTTTTGCAAATAGCAAGTTCTGTTTCATGCATTGTGATGGCTTCTTCATATTCTCCATTCTGGTACAAGAGCTTACCGACATATGAGTACATATCAGTCATATTCTCTTGGCTGCCAAACTTGATTGCATTAAGATATTCTTTGGCATAAACTAAAGCATTGGCAGTGTCATTTATTGAATTATAGCAAGCAGAAATATTCCACAAAACTCTGCATTCCAAGTGATTATTCCATTCAAGCCTTTCTTTATCTAGTGCAGTAGCCTGCCTTCCAATATCAAGCAACTTTGTATTATAGTAAACAGCCTCCACATAGTTTTTACTTCTCTGATATGCATTTGCTATGATAATGCAACTTTGCATTTCAAGCAACTTATTACTTTTCTCTATGGCATCCTTCAGGCAAACCATTGCATTATCAATTGCTTCTTTAGTATTATCCAGCTGCAAATTTGAAGAGCTGAGTTTCAGAAACAGACTCATCTTTGTTGGAAGATTAGTATCAGTTGAATCCTTGGTAAAATTATTCAGTAACTTTAATGCAGCTTCTAGTGATAGACAACAAAGAGAAAACCCTTTGGAAGCAAAAAGCCAATCAGCAATGAGAGATAGCTGGATGACGGCTGCACTGTGCTTATCAGAGCTCTTTGGTTTCCCTACAAACAGGATAATAACATTTGAAAGAAGGACTACCTAATTTTTTTACTACCTTAAAACATGTTTTCAGTGTATTTGCATTGTAGGAACAATAAAAAACTGAAAGAAATATTAAAATGAATATTAAAAATTATTGAAATTAATGTTTTCCTTCTTTTCTTTCTTTTCTTTACAGGACACAGGTTGATAGCACAGCAATTTTTACTGAAATGCATATCCTGCTTTAAGATTTGCTATATTTTTATATAATTCAGCTATTTTATCATTAGCCTGTTGCACTGGGTTTTTACATATCTTAAAAAATGCAAAATTGCTAAATAAACTCATGTAATATTTCTTGGTTCTTGAAAAATACAAAATTGTAATATGTATTCCTGTTACAATTGTTAAAAGGGCTGGGTCACATGTGAGGCTGCAGGACAATGTTGTTGTGTTGATGCTTTGACAATTGGTAAACAAAATTCCTCTTACAAGCAGACTGTCCTACAGAAAATATTTGTTTATTGTTAGATGACCCAGCCCCTTTATTCCCACAAGATTTACTCAGTGCCAACAGTCATCAGAATCACCTTCATCAACACAGCCTCCATTCTCCTCTATGTATTCTATCAATGATGAGATGGCTTCAAAAAGGTAGTATTCATTTTCATCTGTGCTTTCAAGGTAAGATGTGAGGAGCTCTACTGCAAGATCCTTTGCTGCTGAAATGTCCATTGTTGCAAAATCATGGATAGGTGATGTTTCTGAAAATCATTAGTAGGTGAAAATGGTTATCTGTGTGAGTTGTCTAATATATACAAAGAATGGTGATGAGCTCTAAGCTTTATTTTAGTAACATTAACAAAACCTTATAATCTAAAGGATGAATATTGTCACAAAACTACCCACCTACTATAAGGAATTCTCTGATCCAGGCAATTTTTATCTTCACATTTTGCAAAAATGGATCAGAGAATTGAAATCTTCATGTTGAAATTAGTCTGTGCAGGAAATTTCAAGTTGTTTGGGCTGTCAGACAGCAAATTAACCCATCTTCAAGATTTAGTTTTTCATATACATTTCAATGGAATTTATTGCTGTAGTGAAAAAATTTCACTACAGCAGCAAATTCTGGTCAAATGTAAAGAAATATCTTAATATTGAAAACAAAGCAACTCGTGACTGAATGGTCCAAACAACATGATTTTTCCAGTATAGACTAATATAGAGATGAAGGTTTAAATTTTGAAGTCCATTTTTGAGATAGATCTGTAGATAGTGAGATACAAAATCAATGATGTCAACCCAAAAAGGAGAATTTATGCATGATCCTTACCAAGAGAATATTATGTACCCCCTTTAATATCATCATTATTGATCAGTAACATGCCAAATAGCAATCAAATAGAAAGGCCTGCAAATAACTTGGGACCATCTGTTGACAATTATTTTGAGTCTTTGGTTTTAAAACCTTGATTGTCAGGGATCATCAGCTTTGTTGAGGTCAGGGGTGCTTTTAGCTCATAGCTGCTTCATCATTTATAACTTGAAGTCTGACATAATTATAAAATTCAAGATAAAATATTAAACATATTTTTCACAATTAGTAAAATTCCTCGCCAGAACCACCTAAACAGTAATTTCATGCAATAGAGGTAAGCTCACAGCTGCCTTATAATTACATCTTCTTATCGCCATTTATAAGTATAAGTTTGACAAAATAGTTACATCTGCTTGAAGCTTTCATTTTCCCAGAATATTGGTCCAAAAAAGGACTTTTGTTTCCCCTAATATAAATGTGAACACGATCTGAGAATTCATATAACCCGTTTACGCTTCTTTTATAAGAACACCGTTATAAGAAACATCAGGCTAAGATTTGTCCACTAATAAGAATAGCATAAGAAAATAAGATTCTCAGTATTTCTAGATTGATAAGCAAGCTATATGGCATATGATCATCGATTTAAACTTCGTAGGAAACTAATATTCTAACGTATTCATACTTTTTAGGCCATCGAAAAAAACGTCATTGCGCACGCACTGCTCATTTTAATTCTGATTATTCAATTAAAACTAGAAATTCGAAATTATGCTGAGCAAAAAACTGTCTTTCAATTCTCACCTAAACATAGCAGTGGGTGATTCAACATAAAGCTTTTTGAACAAATTTGTGAACTTGAAACGATTTCAAACTGTGAGACAATCCATTTGCCGCCATTTTATGGTGTTGCTTCAACGGTTACCATGGAAACAGCATAAGGACTGGAGGGATTCCAAATTCACTGTTTCTGGACCTGAAATTATTTTCACTTTATGACAGGAGATCAGTTACAACCTTTTCCAAAGAAAATATAAAAATGTCTTCGCTAGAAACTTGACTGCAATTAATTGTGAAAGTTAAAAAAGTTATCCTCAAAAATGGTTGTGTTTTTTGACAATAACCCTCCAATCAGTGGCGCCGGAAGCTTCATGGTGCGGCGGGGGCAGGACTGGCAGAAAGGTCACCTCGAGGTGTCAAAGTTTGCTGATGAAACAGATCGATAATCGTCGTTTAGTCAATGACGAAGCCTGGTTGTAAGTGAAGGCCCTATCGAGGCATACAGGGTCGATGTTCTGGGGGCGTAGCCACTAGGGAAACTTTGCGTTGCTATGCCCTAAAGACTCTCGGAAACGAAGGCAACACCCATAAAAATGCATTTGAATCAAGACTACAGTCAAATTTCATTCTCGAAAATCATTTCACCTCAACATCAACCATCATTGGAGGCTGGACCAAATCCTACTTTACAACAGTGGCGGACACTTGGGGGGGCAAGGGGGGCGACCGCCCCCCAATACTTTAGAGAGCAATGGTCTTTTGTTCTAAAACAATGGGAAACGTGACGTCATCTTATTAAAACAATAGGCTTGCCCCCCCCCCAATGTTTGACCAAGTGTCCGCCACTGCTTTACAATCCTACTTAAAACAATATTTTGTTCTGATGACCATCTACATGGCTTGATATACACTACCATAACAAAAGTATTGCAACACCCTAATCCAAATGGCATCAAAAAAATTTAAAGTTTTGTAAACTTTTAACTTTACGCTGAAATATTCCCCTCAAAACCTCAATCATTCTAAACCAGGAATCAAATTCTTCGAAATTTATTGAGGATTTCGAAAAACTTAGAGTTACAATATTAACGTAAGAAATTTTACAGTTATAAGAAAAAATATCTGCAGTGGTAAATTCAAGATATTGACAAGATAAGGAGCGAGTACATGAAGTTATAATGATAGCAAAATAGTGAAAGTTTAGGAAACAACAAATGAAGTTATTAGCTCTGACTCTTTTAGCCTCGAAATTCTCCAATAAAACTTGGATAATTTTTTTGGTACATTTAGGCCTATATAAATTAGTAAATCATGAACTAGCGACGTGCGAGTTAATGTAGTGAAACATGTCAAAATAATGCATAACAGTTTCTTAGGTGGAATCAAATTAATGCTAGGAAAATGAGGAAAGCAGTTTTTATCATAAAAAGCAATACATCCCTGTTACAAGGCCATTTTTACTCAAATTTACCTGAAAATCTGCAAACTCTATGTCCTTCCTCGGCCATCACAAAGACCTAACCTTGAAATAAGCTAATATTTCTTGTTGCCAATGAAAATGATCTGATTTGAAATCCACAAGGCTCTCTAAGATCCAAACAAGAACTGACTTAGAGAGTTTATGGAGAACGAAAGAGAATCCCAGTGCCTTTCATCAACAAATTTTGTGCATCAATTCCAAAGCAATTTTCCGCACTTATCAGAGCCAGAAGCACCTCCACAAAATATCTGTTTAATTAAATGTTACTTGAATTGCTGATTTAAAATTTTGGATCTGCAATTTTATTTGCGCGCCATTGGCTGATTAAACAATAGCTTAATCAGACAACAACAAAAGTTATTGCGTGATCCGCCATTAATCGTCTTCGCAGGTGTACACTACCAGGACAAAAGTATTGGCATAAAAAAAACCCAAACGAAAATGGAATCCAAAAAATGAAGTTTTGTAAACTAATATCTTTATGCTGAAATATTCCCCTTAAAAGAGAAAATGATAATGCTAATCCAGCAGTCAAATTTTTTGAAATTTATCGAGGATTTCGAAATACTCAGAATTACAATATTAACCTAAAAAATCTTACAGTTATAAGAAAAAATATCTGCAATGACGATGCTGTAATTGATTTTAAAATAAATGTACCTTTCGATGAATTGATAATGTAATAAATGACTTGTGAAGTATGACTAAGTTTTTGGCGCTTATTTACCAAATAAAGACTAAAGGAAAAGGTTTTGAAGCATAAATACAATACAGTTCTATTAAACTTAAGTTAAAAATATCATATTGTTTCTGTCTATCGGTGAAAAGATGAATCCTCACAAGCATCACAGTCTGTAGATGTCCTTAAAAACTTATTCATGTAGTCGCGATCTTTGAATAGTTCAGCTTCTGGCTGCAAGTTTCTGCGTTCTTTTCGTTTCAAGAATGTCACTACAGCTTCCTTTGTTATATATAAGTTTGTGGTGCCTTTTTCTCTTCAAAGAGACCTGTAGGATGCTACTTATTGTGCCTTGGTTTAATGAAGACCGATCATACGTCTTCACGCGGTTGTAGTGTTAGACAACACGCTCAGTGGCCATACTGTTAGGAGTAGCTGCTAGGAACGAAGGAAGCTAGGAATGTCTTTAAAAGGCCACCACTAGCTCGAACCATTTTCCGAAGCCTCAAAGCAAGTGCAGTGCTTTGATCAGCTATCTCGATATCTCGAAACGCCTCAATCTTTCCAAAACATCTACAAACATCCGAGACGAAGTCCCTCATTCGTGATTCGCCAAATAATTCACGCACTAATTCTCTGCTAGTATTTATGATTTCCTTTTGAGACCTTGCACTAAGGATCCTGGTGAAATTTTCAACCGTTCCATCTTCTTCAATCTGCCGTCTTTCTCCGAGAAAATTATGGCAGATTGCACAATCTCATTTCTTATCGCTGCATTCGATCATTTTCGTCCATCGACAAAAGAGTGACTCTTTCTTGCATTCCGAATTTCTCTTTCGTCATCATTACTCATACTGCACTTCTCTTCCTTACCTCCTCCTATTGGACCATCCCTTCTTATATCCAACTCTCTCAGGGCAGTATCACTTGCCATTAACACAT